CCGCCGCATTCATATTCGTCACCGACATCTGAACAGTTTCCTAATGTGGCTGTGTTGGAACGATAAGTCAGGGTTCTCTGGCTGCGCGGCGCATTGCCAAGGTGCGGAAGTCAACGCGTTATACTGACCCCCTCTGCGGTGGCTGAATCACTATTCTGTGTCACCGTTCGAAGCATGCGTAACCCAGTGAACTGAAACGGTTTCAAATTCCCTGCCAAGTTGTGTATTCAACCAGCTGACATGATTATCCCCCCGATCACCGTTATCGTATCGATCTGATAGTTATGTTCGAGAACGCACTGACACGTGCAGTGACATACAGGTCATTGTGACTGACATTTTTGGACACTGTCGCGCTTTGCAAATCACTCCAAGACATGTCACACTATAGCTAGTAAGTACTGCTGATACAGCCAAGCCAGTGTGTGCCTACACTTAGGAGCTTGAACGCCGCAATATTATTGATATCAAGGTCACTTTAATCCCCGAGCCTTCGATCATGCCAAAACCCCACAATCTACTCAATCATATGCAGTTCTAAGTGTTTCTTGGCACTTGGCACTGATTATTATTCTCCAACTTGACATAATCGGGGGTATATGACTTGAAGGAAAGGGTTCGATTACCCTCATGCCTTGAGGCACGGTGACTATCAACTCCAAACCGGAACTCAGGCCCGACAAAAAACAAACATTCTTGTTCGGACTCAAAAACATGGCTACTAAACGACATAAAGGGCAAAACCCCTGAATTGAACAAACCATCATGACAAATTTTAATGAAGGCACCGCTCTCCATAGCCTTTCGATGGTGGCGCTGTTAGTCATCCTTGAACCTATCCTTTATCGCGCTCCGCGATAGAATGGAAGAAGTTTCGAAATCTAGGTCTAGGCATCTACCGGGCGCGCTCTCCATCGTTGAAACGTCAACGACTTGTACTTATCGTTACAGATACAAGGGTCCAAGCCGTAAGTTCACTCCGTTTGTGCGACTGTGCTCTAAGATCGGCACTGGTAGATGGGCGAAACTTTTAACATGCATGGAATTCGAAACCCAACCCTTGTCAGGGAGTCTTTCATCAATCGTCCCCCGGAGACCTGGTAGGCCGCGTCATGACATGCCGATGCCGTAAGGCTTACCTATAGGCACAACTCTAATTACTAGTACTAGTGTCAGCAAGCGCCGGTGACATAGTATTCCTTGGTATAACACCATCATATTCGTGTCCACCAACCAACCAGGGGCACAAAAGTACGGTTGCCATGCACTCATCTTTCCGAAACGCGCGTGTGAGTCTCAGAACACGCACGCAGTATCCATCGTCTGAAATTCGCAGGGATCATTTCGTAACGACCAGCGCACGCCTTGAGCTTGACTAAGTAATGCACGTTTATGGAGAAAGAACCGATTATGATAAGACAGATTCTGTTAGTGAGAAATGGGTTCTGGAAGATTGAGAAGCTGTCAGACGGCGTATGTGTGGTGTCCCCATATGATATTTCAACAAGTCGGGCTGACCATGGTGCTCCTCGGAGTACACGACTAGAATTTTGACGATCTTGAAATTCACCGAGGTAGATAGATACGCGGTGAGATGTCCGCTACAGGGCGCGCATTGCCGACGTATACGGAAGAAAAATTGATACGTATCCGACGAGGCTGAGCTTGACGACAGGATGACACGCATCAGAATTTTCCCGAGCGATATATAACGTTTTTTCATTACAAAATTCATGCGAGTTGGAAACAAACATAATGAGAGTGCGCTTTTGCGTGGACTGGCTGGTAAGCAACCCTGCGTAGGGGGACACACTCATATTCCTGAAACAAGCGTCGTCTAATCAATTTGACGAGATAAGGGCGTCTGGGCGCGGTATAGCTACGTACAGAGCCACACATGTACACCGATCGATTCGCGATATCGTCGTGCCGAGGATTTGAATGCCCGTGTAGTGTAATAAGTTGGTAAGTAAAGATGAGGGGGAAAAGGGACATCCGGATTTAAAATTAGAGGGATTCCTGCAAGGTCCGTTCAATTCGTAGAGTCAATGTCCACGGAACATCCAGCGCATAACTCCGAACGCACGAGAACGTCGAACGGGATAAAGTTGAATGCGTCATAGAGCATGCACTAGCACTGAATCGGAATCTGGTTAAACTTGTCGATTTTCTTGACAAAGGTGCACTTGAGAGCTAATTCAGTAACTGAACCAAAAATACGCTTGGGCGAAGAAAGAAGTTGGTCGGTCGGGTGCCTGGGAACTTCCTATCCGGTGTAGTACTGCGACTTCGACTTCCAGCGTCCGATCTATGTGCTAGATGCTCCGATGAAGCCCAGCGTCTGTCGTTTCATCTGATCTGATGGCGACTTGTCTGGTTCATGTCTGCCGTTTCAGGAGCAGCCAGCACATAGATTGCACGTCGAAGGTCGATGTAGTGGGGCTCAACGTGTGTCGAAAGAAGTCCAGTCGTTGGCGACTCGCGTACATAGTTCGCAGTCTGCCATTTCAGGAGTATCCAGCACACAGATCCGCAAACGGACGCACGTTGGTAGTCGAACGAACAGGGAGTCGAACGCCGACAGCAATGCCGGCTCCCAATTCAAAATCAAAAAGGTCATCAAATTCCAAGTCAAGAAGACAACGGTGAAATGACTAGGCACCGGGCAGCAGAGCGGACAAATTGAAACATAAAAAAGGACATGCGCCTTCCATATCTATATCTAGAAAGAACAAAGAAGCCGGTGCGCGAAGAAAGAAGAGGCAAGCATCGTCGGGTGAGAAACCCCTGAGTCAATGGTTACTTCGATGCGAGAGCAAGGGACGGAGGTGACCGGAGGTAGGTTCTCCCGTCGAGATAAGAAGTCAACATAGCAGCGACTCGAGCTCGTGTCTTCTCTACTCTTTCAGTTAGATCGGAAAACCCGTCCAATACAGGTTTGAGTTCCAGGGGCGTGAATGATCGTGACTTTTGACCGAGCACTAACAGGAGGGGACTGACTGAGCCAAAAACGCCCTTGGTGCCAGAATTGAATCGAAGGAGCAAGGCGGCGGGTGGGAAAACCCAGCCTTCCTTCCACGTATTGATCTGCCTACGGCCCGACGGGAGACTGAGAACATACGACGACACTGTGGACGGCAGATCCCGACGATGACCGGTACCCTCGGTAGTTTTCATTGATCGCGTCGTCCTGAGAAGACGAAGCCGGGTATATAGAGGGCACGCTGTAAAGCTCGTGTATGTCTGCTATTACCGTCGCGCCAAGCCTATCTGATGCCAAGCAGTGTCGACAACCATTAATCATTGTGAAGAAACATTTTTTTTTGCACTCGACCTTTGTCGGGGCTCGGCTCCACACTCCGGATGTGGATGTGGCGCGAAGGGCGAGTAACTCCTACATAAGGATGATCACTGCGGCGTAATGTGAATATTGATGCAAGGACAAATAGATAGAGGACGGGACCGAATGGGACAATGGCAATGACGATTACCTCTGAGACGAGCCTTGGATCTCCTATTCATTTTATCCGATCGATATGTCCTGGGAAGACAACGTCGTGGAGCATAGAATACCGTTCTAGAACCTTCGAGCCAGTGTCGGTGGCACAGAACTCGACCACAATCTTGACCACGACCTCTCTAGATTCTGCCACCATCAAACTGCACCATGAAGTGGTAATCGCTGGGACAGAAAAACCTAAACCAAAAAAAGTGCACTGCATGATGTGCATGCGGAGCTGCTATCCGACGTCACGTTCTGAAGCTAGTGAACATGACCCCCTGTGATATAAGTTCGATCCAGGTGCGCCTAGGTAAGGAACGAGAGGGTTATTGGTTATGCGAGGAATAAAACCCCCGGTAGCGAAACCATGCCGGTGGAATCCGTTGCGGGCGACATGGCTGGTACGCGAACGCTGCCAGTGATATGTGAGAATGCGAATAAAGAAACCAAGCAAGACGGACGGACGAGTCGAGGCGTGCCTGGAGGTGCTGACTGCGAAGACAGGAAAGGGGACAGTGATCGGCGTCCTGCATTGATTGGGACCTCATAGCGCAGACTAAGGGGCGCTTGTTAGATAAACTTGGCGCAACTTGGCGTGGCGATAGCTTGCCAAGTACTAGTGGTAGCGATGTCATTGCGTGGTAGCCCGGGAGCATCGGTCAAGAATGGAAAGACTGATTTGACAGGGTGACAGTATTCACGAGGTGCATGGACGTTATGACTGCGGTAACGGGGTCAATGTGGAACGTTTGACGATCAAGTCGTTGAGCACTCCTCGGAGATGTAAATGGTACAGTCCGACATTTGTAAGTTGATAAGGTCAATGAAATTTTCACACGGACTTATTCCGTGAAGCTATGAGCTACGGATGTTATCGTGTAGACTGAAGTCGACGAGGACAAAGTCGGAACGTGGATTCGGATTGGTATCCTCCCCCTATTCGATGTGTCGTAAGCTCGCGACGGCAAGGAATGTTGAAAATTCCATCAGACGTTTTCGAAATTAAAAAGGAGAATTTGGCATGGACCTGGGGAGGATTGGTGATTGGGGCCATCAAGAACTTCATCGAAAGAGATGCCTGCTCCGTTTAAAGGGAAGTAAGACGGCTGACAGAGCTGCGGATGGTTGAACTTCTAGAAACACAGGCAGGAGTCAGGGCACGGAAGGGCCCGAGGATGCCAAGGTCAAGCCAAGGATGGCGATTATGTGTAATCATAACAGACGTGAGATGAGGATTGTAGATCTGCATTGAGATCTCACGGGGACCGGTATATCGGAGAGAACATTGTTCTTTGATTACCAACGTTGCCAGCGCGAGGATATATATTTCAAGAGAAACTTTGTGAGTTGACGGCGGGAAAGACGCGTAGCGGAAGCAAGTCTAAATTTGGTAGTCAGATCTCGATCGATCGAGACCCCGGAGACTCCTTTTGATACACAAAACCATTCATTTAAGAGTCCAAGAGAGTGTGGATGTTGCATTTTTTTTGCCCCCAACATGATTCGTACCAGCAGCATTTTGCTGAATTCGCCTACACAGTCACCGAGACTAACCTCCCAACAACTACCAAGTTCCAGTACTTCCAGTAGCTGCTCATCATCAGACATCCATGTATACACACCACGTCGTATCAGATTCGCACCTCTACCAGAACAGAATCTATCAATCGACACGACAACAACCACAACCATACCAACACCATCAACACCACCCATACCAACTTCACCAGACCTCGAATCAAATCAAAAATCAAAACCATCTTCCTTTTTCCGTCACATATTCAAACGCTCATCACCAACAAGGCACTTCTCAACAGAAGACATCACCTCACGTATCCTTGGTCGTTCCCCCACTCCGCAACCTTATGACCTCGGTTCACCTCTAACCCGGACCAGTTCATCATCATCAGCACCGCCTAAATCTTCATCTGAGTCAAAATCACGCTCTTCAATCAACTCGATCGGTTCAGGAGGCGGTCGTCATACAACATCCCAACACCGTTTCACTTCCCCATCTGTCCCTACAAAATCAGGTAGGCGCATGCTCAACGGACGCGTATATGGTTCAAAACGAAATCCACCAACAAACCCCTTTGCAAACGTTCGTGATGAGCCTGAATTCGTAGAATGGGGTTATGGCGGTATGGGAAGCGTAAATTGCAGCAGTGACTCAAAATATTCTGTTTTGGCAAAGGGCGCACCCGCTTTACTTTCTCATGGCCAAGCAAAATCCCCTGGCCCCCGTGGTGGCGCTACAGAACCCGTGGAAAGGAATGATGGCGTGGGTGTCCCAGCTCCAGATGATGAAGATGACGGCAGTGGCATGGGTTGGGTAAAGAAAAGGAGACTCGAAAGAGAACGTCTTGCTAGGGAGAAAGAGGCGGCCGAGACAGATTCAAGACGCACAAGTACCGACGGATCTTCCGCCATGGGCAGTACAAGCACTGATCTATCCACTCTCGCTACTTCTTCAGCTCCTACAACTCCTACTAGCACAACAGATACTCTCCCACCCCCAACTCAAGATTACATCTTGGAGGCCGTTAGATTGAGTCCTACCCATCATCACCACAAACGCATCCCTCCCGTGGTCGATACTACACACTCCCAAATCGAGCCTGCCAAGAACAGCCCAAGCCCAACCAGTGAGAGCAGCAGCGATGAAGATGACACCCCTAAAGAAGACGATTCAGACGAGAGCGAGGTCGAGGAGACAGAGGTGCGTCTCTTATCTCTCCCTTCTCCCACCCGTCTCACCTTCCATTAGGATCACCGAAAGACATCCTTAGGTGCTGGTGTCGAGAAGATAAGCAGGCACAAAGAGGCCGTCCATTGACGTGCCTGTCCTTAGAGGGACATTCGCCCCGACCGCTCTTCCAATATACTTCGCTGTCCATATCCCTTTGCTCTGTTGCTCTTCTTGTCCATGCCGTCCATTTGCTCTATCCTCGCCATCACATCATCGCTCAATTCCTGTACATATTCTGTTGCGCCGCCCCATGACGCGTCCATCACAGCCCCCCGTAATACTACTACTTATCCCTGCGTAAATCGCTCATATTTTTTATCACTCCCGGATTCCATGGGGTATACCGCTGTCCTCACTACACCGGCGCCGTCTCTTCGACGTGGGATGATGTCTCTCGCGGATTATCATGGAAGGCGGGCATTCATCGAGTCCTCGTGGTCTGGAGATTGATTAATGGTCGTCTAAGGTACTTCTCCTCCATATCTGATGCGCAGCCTGTACTGAAAATGGACCATCGTCCTCGCAATAGTGCCGTTTTTATCCTCGCATGCAGTACTATTTTGGTCCTCGCGTCTAGCGTCAATTTGATCCTCATCCCGTGTCGTCATCCTTCTTCATCTCCGCTCGGTCGTATTCGTATCCGACGTGCAAGGTCTCTGTTGGCCGTTCAGAACTAGATCCAGAACTAGAACCTGGTGTCATCAGTTCATTTATCGTCACGTCCACAAGTACTTTGACGACTTCTTGCCGGCCGATGTTTCGTGGACATCCCCGGACAATTATCATTATCTCCATCAAGTCAAGTAGAGATTCTCCATCAAGTGGAGGTTTTCTATCGAATCTCCATCTCCATCTTCGACTCCGACCGGGGCAAGGGTTCGGCTTTATGTTTCGAACCCGGATTGGCAATGATACCGTTAGCGATAGTTTTTGTGACTTTCCCTTTCATCGCAAACCCCCCGCTCCATCTCCATCTCCATATCCATGCTATATGCCCGATCGACTTCGGCATCTCCCTTTGTCCTCAATCGCCACTCATACACCATGTATCCCCCTACATATCTAACTTGTATCCAACAACAATCGTATTGCCTGCTTAACATGGGCATCGCCGATGTACGTCCTATCTAACATTGCATGAATCCTGACAGTGAAGCTTATCGCGCTTGTCTTTCACAGTGCACTTGTCTCGTCTCGTCACTGTACTACGGTGCTGAGAGGAGCCATGGTCGCTCCTGTCTCGTCTCGTCTCGTCTCGTGTTGTGCTTTGATTTCTTTCCTTGTCCAATCGCTTCATCTCATCTCAACTTGACTTTTTATTTCATCATGGATTATACGTCGCAATGCATTAGTTATACCCTTCAGCAGTTTAGCTCCATCTCGTGTTGTCTTTTTTTGTCTCTTTCTTTTTTCCTTTGTGACGATGAGGTATATGTTTTTTGATGTAGATGCTTGGGCATACTGGGGCCCATCTGTAGGGGAGGGGGTTGGGTGATTCTATAGTGTAAATCTCGTCACGACGATGAGAATGCATATTGATAACATAATATACACATAACACATATCACTACTGTGCAGTGCGGGAGAACTCCCTCTAAGCAAGTGTCATACATGAAATATTTATATCTGGATATCGTAAGGTGATCTGATAAGATCAGGGAGTAGACACAGCGCCCATATGCATTGTCTGCAGGGTAAGACACCTCCCAGAAGTCATCCCATAGGCGTGTTGATTTAATATAAGACAAGACGCGAAAAGAAGGCCCTAGCGCTCATGTCCATAATCCAAAATCTAATATTATACAGCACGCTCAATCGGGTTTAGGACGATGATTCACCTGAAGCTCCACTTAAATTTTTGAACCGAATGCTCAAACTTCGATGCGCACTCGTTTATAGCAATACTTGGTATGAGAAAAGAAGTGTCCAAGTCTAAGATTATATGTTACAGGGTAGGAGCAACGCCTGAAAACTTTGAAGCGAGTGTAGAAGGCGTATTATATGTCATACTTCGCGTAGGGTCGGAGGAGCGAGGAGCCGCGGTATGATGACGAGGTCTTGACGCGGTTTTTTTGTTTGAAAATAAAAATAAGAGATCCGAGATTCATTTTGTGTTCGGCGTGTTGGATGGTGACGTGACGTTGTTCGTCTAGTGTCTGGACTGGACTGGTGCTACAACTGGGGTCTAGCGGAGTTAAGGAGTTCCTGGATGACGGGAGGGATGAAAATCGTCGTCGCCAATGTTTGTATGCGTCCAGTTAGAGATAGCAGCAAATCTAGTGGTTGTGTAGGCAGCCCGATGACCGCAAGGCACTACGACCTTCAAAGGCTCCGAGGTCGGTAGTGATACTGATGAACGTGTGACGCGGTCAGCTATTGAATGATTCATTCAGACCAAGTACTGTTGAGCCGAGGACATTCATGTCGGGAGGTCGTCATAGTATCAGCTCTCGAGAAACTCGGATGCGTCCAGGAAGTGTACGAGATGTTGTATTAGTTGCGTACCAGGTAATTGCAAGAGTCCGCGGTGACGTGACGTGGTCAGCTATTCGCCTAAATATTGCTGCGAGTCGAGTCGAGCGGAGTTAAGCGGGTGTTACGAGTTGACAACACTGTAGTTAAGGTGTCGTTGATTTCGACTCCTGAGGACTTTGGGCGCGTGCAAGGACAACATTGTTGAATTTCCACATCGTCGAAGTAAGGCGTTTACATGGAACCCGAGAAAACAAACGCGTACGTAGGATACACGTGCACAAAATGTCAACGAATTTAAGGTTCAGCCTGAACTATAGTTTTCGGCTCTTTCCGAATCGAGCTCGTCAACTACCAAGTCCAATAAGCATATGATCTAGTAGTGCTGGAATTGCAAGGCGTTAGGACCCCAAAGTTTGGTTGTCAAGAGGAGAGGATGTGCAGCTCGACCAAAGAGGCGATTCGGCGTGGTTAGGAGTTCATTCGGCCAGCCGAATCAGGGGCAAATTCGGAAGGTTGGCAAGCGAATAGCCAAAGTCACTATGGACATGAGCGAAGGCAACGTCCAATCCAGAAGAGCAACGAGATAGCAAATCCAGTTGCGTTAGTCCCATGCCAGGTAAAGCTAAAGGTTTTGAAGAACTCTGGACATGTGGATAATGGAAGGGATCAAAACCCCTGTCAACGTTGACTTGAGCATCATGGGCATATATAGGTCCAGTCCAGAAGCTTACGCGATAGCAAATCTAGCTGCGTTGATCGTGTGCTAGATAATTTGGGACCCCGGGGTCTGGCTTTCGGATCATATCATTTCTTGCAGAGGGTGAACCGTCATCCCGATCTTAGAGGGATTTTTGCCCGACGAGAGCCTTGAATAACGTAGCTCGACACACCGCCTCCTGATCTTACATGCCTATCTTGGTCCCTCACCAGATTGACTATACAGGCCTATCGCTGCCGGCGGGATTTTAGCCATGTGATGTAGTTTAAATTATTACGCGGGGTTTGGATGAGGCGGAGGAGCGCTGAGGGATTTTGGCCATTAAAAATATTTGGTGAAAACGGTGTGAGATATGCTAGTTCGGATTATGGTGCGGGATTTTCGCCGTTTGTGAGTTAAGTTTTGGAAGCTGCGGGGTAAAATACCTACCCCAGCGGCAGAACTTAGCTGGAGGGATAGGGGCGCATGACTGCGCACGGACTATGTTCGTATCACCGACGGGGCGGGGTACGGACACCGCCTGAACTGTGACATCCAGTCACGACAAGCAGGCACTACGCTGTGCCCATATGATTATAGAAATTTTCGGAAAACCCATTTCGGCGTGCAATTTTACAATATGAACAGGATGTACTCACAGATGGCCGCAACGCATCAAACTCGGCCCGTTCCGCAGCCCTTTGACAGTATTGCTGTGGAATGCCGTACATCCTGTTCATCTAAACAACAGAAGTATCCCACTGACTTGACAAGCGTTGCCTTCGATTGGCAAGATTCTCAGGGAATTAGGCACATAGCCTGGCGCTGTCAGAATCTTCGCGGGTTAAGGGCATGAGATCACCTGATATGCAGGATGAGCTGAGGAGGATCATTAGTGAACACAAATGGCAGATTAATGTCTCGCTTACCTTGTTCTCGACTTCTAGATGGACCATGTGAAGAGAGAGGATACTTGATTTCTAGATCTTGCTCTAAAGTTGTTTTGAGAGCGTTGGTAAGTATGATGTGAAAATATTGCGAATACGAAGGACATGCCGTGACTCACTTGTAAGCCGCCACAATGCCAGGCTGACGTGAACCGTATGAGCTCAGCAGGACTGATTGATTAGTACTATATCAGACAAACACTGTCAGCAAACACATAATGCATAGGGGCTGATTAATCTGTGCTTGCATGAACACACGCGTCTTGATATATGAGTAACTGATACCACAAGACTAGGGATACATTAATACACACACAAATGAAATGAAACACGCGTACGATAGGCAATATTATGGAACATGACTCGACACAAGCGAATGAGGACCTTGGACACTTGCCATCCGGAAATCCAATTCGAGTAGGCTGACTCCTTTGCGGTGGTTGTACGCGCATATGCGGGCCACGATGGAAGGCACTGGCCGATCGACCAGATAGGCACCTCGTACGTGATTCCATTACCAAACCGAATATTTGGTAAACCGTTGAGATACTACCACGTATTCGATAATTTATGATGGCGTGGCCTGCATCTAGACTGCTGCCTGCAGGTCTTGGCAGTTTCAATGAGTGCGCGCACATGCTGGTGCATTTGGCACATGAAGTTAGGCATTCCCCTAGCAGTCGGATCTGAGGGTGTGTGAACGCTACCACTCCTGATTGCCTCGTGGGTAAAGTGCCGTACGCTCGCCGTGGAGGGCTGAGGTAGAGGTACCCTATGCTGAAGCGAGCCTAATAGCAATACGCACAAAAATATCCGAGATCACCGGTTAGCTCCCACAGGGATGCGCGCCGGACAATACCATGTGATACCTTGTATCTGTTGATGCGTACGTGAACCACAAAAGAGGATGAGTCACCCTCGTGGCGTTTCACTAACTCGGAGCTTTAGAGTCTAGATCTTCATGATAAATGTATGAAACATAGTTAATGTGGTAGCCGAGTACCACGTGGAGAGCTGGTTGGCACTGGCGGTCTAGTCAATCGGAGCGAGTGAACCTGTGAGTTGTGATTTCAGTGTTTTTGATTGACGATATGAAGGTAGAGGTTAAAATTGCTCACAGAACTCTAATCTTCACCATGTGGCTACAATGTCTTCAGCGTCCCGAGTCGACATTTGTCATGCTGTAAGTCAAGCTATATTTGACTCACCCAATGATATTGTGATCTGGTGTGATTCTCTCATATTCTCCGCCGTGCTGTTGCACCAGTGATAATGACAGCGAGGAGCCGCGCGCCCGATGACTTGTATAACGAAAACTCTGGCACGGAGAAACAATCGTCCGAGCTTTGTCCGCAAGGCCAGGCAGCCCGAGGACATATCGGTTTCATGGCCAAACAAGCATGGATATCTGTGGTAGCTTTGCCAGCAAGAATGGAATTAGGTTGTCTTGCATTGGGAGATCATCAAGCCCCTCTGCCCAGACAACATACGTGAAATGCGTTTTCCGGTGTTAAGCATGCCTCCGTCTGACTTCTGTGACAAAGAATGCAAGGCAAGGCAAATGCAGTCAGCAGTTCGCGGAACGAGGAGCACTCGTTGTCAACCAAGACATAAAGTTCCAGATCTCATTTTGTTACAGAAATGGCAGCGTGGAATGATGTGCGGGGTAATGCTGACTGGAAGAAAACCACTGGATTCCGACCTAGCCCAGGCAAGAAGTGTCGCCTAGTCTTGGCACGATCTCCTCTCACATGTGGTTGGACCGAAGCTGTTTAATAGTATGCGAAGTCTCTGCAACGAGGTAACACGCGTCGATACCTATTGTATTTTTTTCTCGGGCACATTTCACCCTTGGGTGAAAGGTGACGAAAGTCCGTAGATCTATGCTCGTGCGTCCTCCAACTCCCCGAATCACGGCCAAAGGTTGCAAATTTACGATATCCTGGATGTTATGTAGCAGCAGCCCATCAGGGATAACTCACGAACCTGGGCTTGACTGGGTCGATACTCACTTCCACAATACGAGGGGCAAGGGTATTGGTTTGGGACAAGCGGTAGCCAGCTCCTGGATACGCAGCATCGCATCCTCGTGTTTATTTGAATGATACGCTTGTAGAACCAATGGGGCCGGAAATATCATGCGCGATGCCACAGGGGTTTCTAGCGCTGATGATCTCGATGCAGCGCGAGGACAAATGGACAGGGGACTGCTGGAGCTTGATATTCATGTGTCCTATCGACACAGTCCTGATAGGACAAAGTCTCCAGAGAGTAGTCCTCAGCGATGCGTGAGCGCTTGAGCTCATATCTATTAGAAGGTCGGTCCAATCGAGTCAAGTGACTCCCAGTGCGGGGAGATATCCTGAGAATGAACTTTGAGAGGAAAGACCGTTGGCGCACAGTACCTGAGAAACATCCTGGAGCCGATCAATTCGATGCAGCAAGAGTACAAATCAAGGCAGACCAGAGGGTGATGTTCATTTGTTCCATTGGAAATAAGATCTTGATAAGAAAAACCAACATACGGTACTCCTCGGCGATGTGTGAACTCGTATCTATTGGAAGGTCCATCCAATTTGAGTCTGGTTTGATGCAGCAGAACGCAAACGCATGAGAGAGAACTTTGAACGAGCACCGATGACCGGGCAGGACCTAATTTCAGTGATTGAACGGAGAATACCCCTGGTGAACGAAGATACAAGCGAGGCGCCCGGGCGTGCCCGGGAGACTTCTAGGGATGATCAGCTCAGTGTAACCTGGATGCAAGCACAAAGAACATGTAGACCGAAGGTTGGCGTTCATTTGTCTTTATTTTACTGATGTCCGACCTGGCGACTCCGTGGACCCAACTCTATACAGTCGTATTTTTTTCACCAATATTAAGATCCCCCATCGATTCTCCACACTTCCATTCCCCCCTCGCCTCCAATGCCCACCACATCTCTCACCCAATCCACCGCAAGCACCTTCATCCCATCCCAGACCCTGAAGCTAGTCACAGCACTTTTCGTGCTCCGCAGGTCCCAAAGCCGTGCAACGCCATCGTAGGCACCAGTTACTACCTGCTGCTTTCTGCTCTCAGATGTAGCAATGCAAGATGGAGTCGCGGAGTGCATCATGATACCTGTGGAAGACGAGAGAGATGAAACACGGAGATCGAAGATAGAGACAGTGCGGTCTGTGGATGCACCAAGGAGGGTATTGCCGTCGGGTGTTTCAGCGAGATCAAGCATCGGTCGCTCAGGGACGTTCTGATTAGGGGAATATTTGGCTTAGCTCGGGCAGCGCAAAGATAAGACTTACAATAGTGTTGATGCACACGCCACTCTCAACGTCCCAAGTTCGGACCGTCGAGTCAAAACCACAACTGTAGGCTTTCCCTTTTGCATGCTCGCCGGCAGCAAATAATGCTTTTGACACACGTGCGGTGTGCGATTTTAGCACTGCTATTGGTGCTTTCCGTTTTATGTTTGCAGAGGCAGTCTTACGCCGCTTTTTCCTGTCATCCTCGCGGTCTAGAGGTACTTGGTGGTCATTGGGTATTGAGGTGTCCCAGACACCGATAAGGCCGTCCCACGAAGAGGTGAGGAGGTGCGAACCAGATACATCAGTAGATATTGAAGATAGTGGACTGGTGTGTAGATGTAGAGAAGTCACGGTGGATGCACTTGGGCCCTCAGAGCCCAGAAATATGCGGGTGAGACACGCGGTGAGGTCATGCGACGAACTTGCTAGAATGCGAGACTCGGTTTCTGTTGACGGCGATGGCACGACGCAGACAGAAGTGATGGGTGCTTGGTGCACGGAGATATCAAGGAGGGGATTTTGGGAATAGTCGAAGAGACGCAAGTGACCGTCATATGATGATGTTACAAAATGCCTGTAGTGATAACTGGAGGTTTAGTAGATGGATCGCGAAGTGATGGAACATACTGAGGTATTCGGCATGATACCGATGACACCCAATCCTCGTGGGGAAGCTCAGATATGCGCTGGGGAGGCATAACACTTTCGAAATACTCAATTTCTAATGTATCTTCCTATGACAATGTCAGTCTCTCCCTCAAACCAACTTAATCACTTTTCTCACCTCTCCGACACCCTTTTCTGCGCGCCATTCCAATAGGGATGTTCTGAGGATTTCACCATGGACAAGGAAGTCGAATGGAATAGGCCTGGGGAGGTCGAGTGCTTTGTTGATGAGCTGGGAGAGCTGGTAGCGTTTCCAATCCAATGGGATCATAAATTTTTGGGAGGGGAGTGCATAGGGCGTCTTGGTCGTAAATACGACAGGGTGCGAAGGCACTGCGGACGAAGACGAAGACGCCATTGTTGACGCGTTGAAACTAAACGGTGAGCGCAATCCCTAGTACCTAGGCCAAATCCACGATATTTTTGTGGCAGTGCACGTCACTGCATGTCACAGGGCCAATACTGTGTCACAAATCCTAGGGTACAGTCTTACCATACAGATCATGTTCAAACATCATCCTATGTGGCTCGAAATGAGTTCCAAATACTTTGGATCCTCCCTAATGATCATCTACGTACAGGCCCTGAGGCCCAGTGAAAACTGACTGTGACGGGAGGGGTTGTGGTGTGACGACAAGTGATTTTGTCAGCATCTCGGTGGAAAAACATACGAGAACATGATAAGACACGTAGTGAGCGAATCCGCACATTTCAATATATGCGGGGGCGAGTTTCCTCATGTACATAGGTGCTTTTTTCAATGTAAAACACATTTGCGCATTTGAGCGCATATACTCGCTCCCTTTGCCAGACAGTTGAAAATGTGCGCAAATATGCTCGGATAATATTAGGCACTGTAGCAACGGGGGTACAAAAGGTGGTACAAAAAACCTCCAAAACACAGATAGCGGCTTGAAAACATGATGCGTGCGGATAGCGGCTCGAAAACACTTGCAAACGTTGTAGGAAATGAGAATGTCGGATGGTGCAGGATCGATGGTGCAGGATCGGATGGTGCAAAATCTAATAAAGTCGTCCTTCGGAGACAGTTTTGGTCCATGTATCGGTAGCGACCTAGTAGATGATGGTTTAGCAGGTCTATCGAGAGAATCAAGGACTTACGAGTGCAGCTGCTTCCTCATCATATCCCTATCAGTCAGCATGAATGAGTCAATACAAGTGATTATACCACAAGAGATTATACGACTTACCTTTCGTTGCTCTGGTGTCAGATTCCCGTAATAAGCACAAAATTCCTCCGTCGTCCCAACGACTTTGAGTTGCTTGAGCCACCGAAGAGCACATAAATTCCTGCAATGCATTAGTAAAGCAACGTCTGAAAAAAAAGACTCATACCGTCCGTTCTTAGTTGGGCTTGGGCGCATTTTCACGATCTTGCAAGTTCCTGCCTTGACAACTTTGACTTTCGGGACGTTGGAATTGGCCGCGGCTTTGTCGGACAGGACAGATCCTTCGTTTGGTGACACAGTAGGGTTGCAGTTGGAAGGCAGCGGAGGGATTTTCACGCCAGCAGCAGCCAATGCGAGTAACGAACTGAAGACGATTAGTAATACCAGTCAAAGCAACATGTATGACAAACATAGGATTAGAGACAGTAATCTTGATTGGTATGCCCCCAATACCGAAAGGAACGCCATATCTTCGCAAACGCCGCACGTCGAGACGCACTGTCAATAGCCCACATCTTAACATCCGACAAAATCACCCCACACCTCATCCGATACATCAATAGCACTGGAAGATTCAAGCCAATATTCGGTGAGAATTAACATATGTAAAAGAACATAACACACCACAGTAAAAATGTCACAGGGAAACATACCCAAACCGCACATACCAACCCGAACCATACACTCTCCCATGAAAGGATCGACACTCCAACAAAGCTGTCACTGACGGGAACCACAGAAGACACGATTACAGAGGAACCACATAGCAAAATCGAAGAACGAACCAGACAAGACAACGAAGCTACGACCCTATAACCAACCTCCCCTACTAACACGTCTTCCTCCCGCAGCTTTCCTTTCGTGCCTGCTCACCTCGGTGACAGAGTACATGTCTGCACCATAAATGAAAAGCATCCAAACCCCCCAAAGATGAAAGATAGCTAATGACGAGACAATGTCCAACATAGGGTCTACGACCCCAAAGGACTAAATCTGAAGCAAAAAAAAAAAAAAAAAAAATCTTGATTGGTGTGGATGTCGTAGTAGTCGCATGTGGTGGCACATTCTCCTTTTCGGCAAGTGTATTGGCAGGACAAAATGGCTGAGTGACGGGATGACTGGTAGGGAGAGACTTGGGCTCTTCAATGAGACAAGAAGCCTCCGTAATGATGATGGTAGGGGTGCTTGCTTCGATGGCACGAGGACTCGGCTCTGCAGTAACAACGGTGGGAACGTTTACGTTCTCCGAGTCCGCAAGATGCAGAGATGGTGGTAGTACTGGGGGAGGAAGTACTGCTGGTGGTATCGAAGGAGTTGGTGGCAAAGAAGGGAGAATTGGTGCATCCAGAGTAACTAGAGTAAGGTAATATTAGTAGGGTAAAGCAACTCGAGCGAGAACTTACATTTGGCTTTCTTTTCTGGGACCTCGGACTTTGAGTGCTTCACTTTCTTGCGCTTCTTACCTTTTGTGTCCGAAGAGTCTCCATCGTCGCTGTCGTCATCACTGTCGTTGTTGCTGTCCTTCCTCGATTTCTAGTTGCCATTGTCGTCAAGGTGGTTCCGTCGCCATGCGGAGTAAGAGGACTTGCAGAGATAATCTAGTTTCCATCCGTCGTGAGCAAGAGTAAACAATGGGTAAGATCTTTCCATGAGCGAGTGAATAAATTGGTTTCCTGTCGAGGCCAACTTGCCCCATGACTTCGGTGCAAGCTGACGATTTACGAGCTCTGACCATCCTCCACGCAGAGTCTTGCGAATAGCTTTGACCGTCGCCTCAGGGACCTGTTCTCCGTTTTCGCCTTCGAGATAAGGAATCTTCCCGCGATGAAGCCCTTGCGCGCTAGCTCGTTCAGCCCAGTCCAAGAATGCGTCCTGGGTCCAAAATTTGACCTTAGGATGCGTCTCACGAGTGGGCCGTTTGGCGTTACTGGTGCTGGGTGCCGATAGTGATAAGTGCGTGCCTTTGGAGCTGAGAGACTCCACAGCTTCGTCAAGGCACACAGAGGAGGCGAGCTGGTGAAACATTGCCCTATCATTACATTAGAGAATGCACATGAAGTACATACAAAAACTTACTGGATAGTATCACGTTCGATGGAGAGTTTGGTGACCTGCGCTTCCAAGATCCCACAATGCTCTCGCAAGGCTTGGTTTTCGTGCATATATGCACCCTAAAACATACAGTAAGTTAATAGAAACAGTAGCAAATGACTCACCTGCTGAAACAAGCTGAACTGTGGCTGCGGGACTTTCAATGGGGGCGGCGAGAATGAATCTGCATCGGGTGACGTCATATTTGTCAAGGTGGGTCCAGGAGAAGGCGTGTAAGACCCTGAAAACGCGGTGTTGTTCCAGAGGCTAGAACCTCCCTCGCCAGCCATACTGAACATACTAGAACTGTAAGAATTATAAAGTCAGTGATAGGACAGACTGGCTCGATATAAAGTAAAAGCAAGACTGTCCGAGTCTGTATTCGATATTCTGTCTCCGCCGGAAAATACCGAATCGAGAAACTTGAAGTTCTCGGTCTCGACACGGTACCTTTCATTTCACAACTTACCACACATCGATGTCTTCCCCGACTATCATTAGCTCATCCAACATCACGATGCTCGGGGATGTTGTTGTTGTCGAGATCGATGGTTTAGACGCGTCATGGGCTACTTATGTCTTGTCTTTAGACATGGAATCTCCTGGACGAAAGGTGAGTGTTTTTTGGTGCTTATTCGCTGATTGCTCGCGCAAATCAGGCTCAGGTGGGTCAGGTTGGGGCGAATCAGGTTGGGGCGAGTCAGGCTGGGGTAGGTCAGGCTATGATTCATATGTAAGGCTAAGTGAGAGTTCGGTAGGGAATTGCAATTAAAACGATTCTGAAGAGAGACGAGTTGGATATCTTCGAGACGAGTTGGGAATTGGCCGTGACAGAGACTTTCTGAAGGACTTTTCGGTCGTTCTTGGAGCGGGAATCTGACTCTAAGATTCGCTGTAGGTAGGAGAGTACATGAGCAGTATATATACGTTTTCGAATACTTGACTAGGCCGGAACGAGAACATGAAGCGTAAGGCGAGGTGAAAATACTTCGGTGAGACAAGGAGATGGTGAGGTCTGAGCACAAGGTAAGGTAACGAAAGAAATGGACAAGGGAGATGAAGGAATGTATCCACGTAACTCGGATGCGAAGAGTTGCGCTCTTCGCATCAATGAGTCACGTGGACGATTGCGACCGCGTGGTTCGTTGGTGTTCATTTTAGAGCTTGGTCGGGGTGTAGAGAATATGGAATCCTTACACATATGATTATTAGGAAACTATATATCATGATAATGATAAGAAACGTACTTGATTAATATTGTCGTCTGTCTCGAACTCAGAATTCCGAGCGCGTTTGCGACGTCCAACAGTAGAGTTGTCACTGTCAGCGAGTCGTGCGCGTTTGGCAAATTCCCGTAATGCAATAGTTCGACGGGCAGTGTTAGTAGACAGAGCACCGTGACCAGGAGGATCAGGGTGCTGGTGTGCAGCAGGTTCTGGGGCCAATGCATGATTTTGCTCAGCCGGAAGATATACCATATGCTCTGGTAGCACCCTGCCCAGACGGATTCTCTCTTTCTCATCTTCTGGGGCCTCTTGTAGATGTCGGCGCCAAGTTGCTGCAGACACGTTGTGTGGCCTACCGAAGTTATATCTCGAGCACACACAGAGGTTGGAATTGTCATTGCACTCATTCGTAGTAATAGGCATTGTTTCGATTGTTATAACGGAGAGAACCGCCTCAATGCAAGCACCAGCTCCACCTAATTATGCTGTTCGACCCCCGGTTACACCAAAGAGAGTTACTAGGCAAGGTGGGTAGAGCTCGGACAGCACGAGGAGGCGACTGTAATGTTGCGATGCATAGCATTTGCACAGCTGCAATGTGTTGCACTCGACGTTTACCTATTTCGACAGCGAGAAGCAGATTTCAACATATTACTAATACGGTAACTCTCATATAGACATACCCTGCCCTCTGTCGTCACAACCAGTTTTCACTGGGCCTGAGGCCTGAAGTGCTGCATTCACTTCTCATCATATCTACAATACTTGTCCTCCGCGTTCGTACTACTCGGGAATAATGCATAATGTAGTGTGCATCTTGTGTTTGTCTTGTATTGCCTCTAATCATTGATCTAATGCTGGTTCTCAGATGCAGTGTGAAGTATTTCGAGCTCGACCCCACCTTGTCGAGTCTGATGCAGCTTCTGTACCCTGTACTACCAAGTCAAGCCTCATTCAGAAGTACTATGTAGGTTGGCAAGCACTACTCAAACCACAATAACTTCTCCCCAGGATCCTCGCAGCCTCCATACTAGTGTCAACCTCCACACTTACCTATGCTACATCAAGGCCCACTTGCATGCCGCGTCAAACTCCACCCTGCGTGTCGGAACTGGTGTCTTTGCGCGCTCCGCTTCAAATGCCCTATCCCTCCCTCAACTCACGAGACACCTTTGCTTCTCATATTACTTCGCTTCGGGAGCTCCTTGGCAGTTCTGACTTGAACCAGTGTGGTGCAGAGGCATATCCCCTGCCAGACTACTACATCTTGCGATCAAAGAACCTAGATGGTGCGAGTGCATACAGATTACCATTTTGTAGCGATATCTCATCTCACGAGCATGCAAAAATCACACGTTGGTTCTCTGAGAACATTCCTGGTACTTCTGGTCAAGTGAGATCAGCCCAAGCTATTTTCAACAGCTCGCTGTTGTTCCATTCCTTGTTCCGATTTTGGAGGTGTTTTTTAATCACCAGCCTTCCGATGAGCAACAACGGGTGAAAGCGTGCGCCAAAGGCATGCCACCAAGCCATTTTCGAATGATAAGCTTTCCTGCTGACAACTTCCTGACTGACGTAGACCTCGAGTGTCCGACAACACTAGAAGCAGGACCTGCAGGCAACCAGCAGTGGATTTTGGATGCTGGTCAACATCTCAGACGGTGGAATGTATATCTCAACACAACGATAACTCGTATCCGAAGTCACAGCTCCTCCGCTGCTGGCTGAAGAAGAAATTTCGCACGTGAAACGTCGCCAGTTGCTGCCAGCTGGAGAATGTGTGCTCGTTAAACGTTGACGTGCTTCAAAGAGGGTTCAGAGGAGGAAAATAAAACACACATTGGCTGGTGTGGCTAGCAGTATGCGCCTCTATAATGAACAAAGTAACGAAGGAATGGTCATGAACCCGTGCAACTTGATCTGGAGGTCGAATATAGAACATAGGAACATTTGCACTGCTGCATCCGACTTAGTTTGCTGATGTTGGATGGAAAAAAAAAACAAGGTGCAGTGCACGGTGTCCCAAACGTGTGACTGCCTGTTATTGGTCTTGTCATGGTGAGCGCGGTAGTCCTGGCTTCTATGTAGGTGTGGGTTTGACTTCAATCGTACAAACATCGAGGGAGGGATTCCTTGATGAAGTTAGTGCGGATTGGCCCATCCGTGATTGGGATGTTTAGAGATGGACGAATATAATTGTTTGGACATCATGCCAAACGGGCCAGCATTTCCTCATGGTCACCTTCCATTTGCTGCTCTCAAAATTTTATTGATAACACCGAATACATACTATGACGAAAATATCGCCTAAACCGATGTCTCCTTGAAATCTACTTCGGGACACCAAATAACTACATAAGTACTACAACGAGGCTTGGAATGGAGATTAAAAAATATAATTCCTGCTCCTTACAGAGCACCAGACAACCGTGTTACACACCACTGCCAGTTGATATATGCACGCACTCCTGGGAAGTGGTTGAAGACATGCCAGGTGCTGCATCGGAGTTGGCCACGAGCTTAGCGTGATGTTCTCTAACACCAAGGATCAGGCGGGGTCCCAGCACAGATAACTGCACCGCCCTCGCAACCTGAAGAAACCCAGTATAAATCTGAGTGCCCAGAGAAACCTTCCGTAGTAATGATGAACCATGGTCGTATGCAGAGGTAAGTGAAAAATTGACATACCGCTGAGAGTGTTGGGGAGAATTCAAGAATGAGGGTGAAACAAGAAACAGCAACAAAGCTAGCATGTCCGATCCTTTAGCGGAAATGGAAACCCATATTCACGGCATGAACTCACCTCGTGAAGTAAAGCATGTGAGTTTTAATCAACACCGTGAAACAGTCCTTGAAAATCCCTCCTGCCGAATGTTGTCGCAGCTCACGGAAATGTTTTACCGCAATCCAGACTGTCAGACACAGTGCGAGGACTTCCCACACAGTGGAAAATATCCAAGCAATGTCAAACAGAAGTAGGACATGTTCCCCATCGCCAATAAAGCACTGGTAAGTGCCAGAGAAAATGAGTTCCTCTGGTATTAATCGATGAGATGCAAATTTTTTGACATTCATAATTAAGCGTACCCCCTGAACCATGTATCGTTATCATTACAGCTACCACTCCGACGAAAATGTTGTTAACCAGGAAGGTAACAATGAGAAAAATCAGGACCATTCTGGATCTTTGATACATGGCATGTAACCGAGTGATGATGATAACTTGCACCATGTTTCAGTCTGGTCAACGTCACTGAGGTCTCGCAAGTGCCAAGCTCACCAAACAGCATTGTAGATACCACAGCACTTATCCAACTTCGTATGATGTACATAATAAAGCCTGACAAATCCAGTCAGTGACCAGCCTCGGGTAGCACACACTCCAAACAGACTCACATCTGTGGCAGTATAGTGTGATAGTCATTAATGAACCAAGTTAGTAAAGAGCCACACCCACCCCTACACGGCACAGTGGTTGACTGGAGGGGAATAGCATACATCTGTGCAAGAGACTCACTGTATCTGTCAGCGAGATGGTCGGAACACTGCCTGTATGCCGTTGGTCAGAAGGAACAAAGATAGCAAATGTACTAAGGAGACGTGCTCAGTATGCCCAAGCTGAATATGAGAGATAGGCAATTAGCACAACACCGATTGTTTAGCCTTCCGAACATACGCAGTATATAAGATTCCAAGGTAGCGTACCTAGGATATTTTCAAGTCAGTACAATGACAACCGTGCGGGAAAGCTACATACACCGAGATACAGAATTGTCATCGGGGACCAGTGTTGCCTCTGGAATTAAGTGTATTTTCATTTTGTGTTCCTCTGACATGAGACTCTACTCACCCAGACCAGTTCGACCTATAAAACCATTCTTAGCAAAATGGCTGCTCCGGTCATAGCATCAACACACCTCTTGTCCGAATGTAAGTACTGAAAATACTTGTAGATTATCAGCAGTCCTTTGATATTATCATGCTTACCCCAATCATACATTACTCCAACAAAGGCGGCAACTGCGAAACCGCAGTCAAGGTTAGATTGAGACATCGGCGACAACATCCGACTGCTGCACACGAACCTACGAAATAGCTTACAGAACGAAACGAGTTAATGGCCGACCACCAAATGGGATCATTTGAGATTATGGTCATGTTGGTAGAGAATGGGGGTAGTAAGTGAGCGGCGAAATTGGTGGCCATATGACGATGGCGTTCAAGCTAGATATAAATAACACCACCCGACGCCATGATATAACACAGCGTCGCTCGAACGAATGTTGGTTGTGAAGCTGCAAAGCAGTCGGGCGTGGGATGTCCGAGTCTGGAAATGACCGAAGAACTATCCATGGTTTCCAACACCATCCCTATAATATTTACAAGCAGAAAAGACTAGCAGAAAGAAGACCCAGACATTGCCCTTACAACCACAGCCTCAAAGTTGTACAGGCTCATGGTATTCTCGATTAGCGCTGGTGTCATAAACCTTTCGCGTTTCGGTCACGGGAAACGATGTGGTATGCGTCTTCAGAGTTGTACTGTCGTACATCCTCCCTTTCTTGAACGTCTAGGAGACCTTTGTTGTTGTTTGAGTGGCGTCTCAATTCTGGCTCCGCCACTTAGCCTTACCAACATCATGATGTATATTGAACCTCGAAACTCGCCGACACACTTGTGTAACCTATGCGCAAGCAACACCTACAACCCCTATAACACTTATCATATCTGACACTAGTTCTTCCAAGCCCTTTAAAGTCTTGAAGCCGGTGGACTTTGATGGCTCCAAAGAAGCACTCGTGGTGTGGTTCCAACATGTTCTGGGCGCAGTGGAGACCGTGACATGCGGATAGCCAACCTTGCAAATTTCTCTAGGGGTGCGATACAGACTTCCTGTAGCTTTTTCTCTCGGCAAGTTTCTCGATGGTCTCCTTGCTCAAACCCTTGGGAGAGGACTTGTCCAGAGTTCGGCCGGCGCTCCACGTGGTCGAGGAGGATGTCGGATTTAGTGAAAACAATGGAAATTTTGACCCGCGTTGGCTGTGATCTGTGCGGAGCGGTAGTGTTCCATCAATGTACTGGTTCCCAACTCTCCTTCACACTTCGATGTGAGGAATTGCTCCACGCCAGTCTCTAGTAAATGCCAGCCTGCGTGGGGTATTTCAAAGCAAAGCCATGTATGTCGTCAGCTTGCTGTACAGACGCGCTAAGATGGAGGTCTCACCAAACAGCATGTAGCTGATCTTTCAGATCAGGCATTGCTCTGTGACGATCAATGAAATCTCAGACTATATCGAGGTTGTCCTTTTCTGCTGGTTCAAGACCTTTGCCATTGTGGAGAACAAACCATCATTTTGCGGTGAGATGAGCTCATGGTCCATGCTGGCCTCGCCTGGCTTATCGTGCGAAGAGGTCTATTGACAATATGAGTAGCTGTGCTCGTTGAAGTGTCGCGTTCTACCCACCGCATTTCGCACTCCAAATGCGTAGTTGATCAGCAAAAACTTGCCAACGCCAGTCTATGAGAAGTTTTGTGTCAACACTGAAGTAACTGGTGCCAGAGATGTAGAGAGGATAAACCAGCATTGAAGCGTCAAAGGATCTAGCCATGCTGAACCCTGATTCGAGTTGGAGAAGACTCCGTCGCAATGGATGCCGTGTAGGCTATGCGTCAGCTACGCAGAAGGGAAGTATCCTCCTGCACCACCCAGACTAGCTATTCACACGCACGCCTAGCTCATTATGAAATGGAAGACATGTAGGTCAAACGGTGTGTTTGTGTCAACTGTTGGTCATAAAGCTTGGGATTGGTCGAGGTGTATGGAAGCATACCATGCCTGGTTCAACGGATTAGGAAGCAAGATTAGTTGATACATCTGCATCATTACTGACCTGATCTATGAATGTTTGAACTTTGAACTTCTTCACCTTTTAATACCTGCAAACACTATCCAACGCGCACCCCACAGCTCCCCGCCTGGTACTGCGTTTTGACGAAGTCATACAGCAAGGTAGCTGCAGATAGGAGTCACCAAATGTCCTATTCATAACTTGATACTAGTGGTTGATATACACACGACTCACATGAGGTGCGATGTGATCGGTCGCCGAAGATAGTACCAGATTGGCACGGTCTCCTACCGACTAGGGGGGTGAGCTGGGGTGAGAGACCGCGGGAGTCAGACGTCAATGTAGCTTTGATCATTCGGAAGTGACGGAATCGTAAGAGTGGGCAACATCCAGGTACCTGAGTACTAGCCATAATGATCACTCAAGGCAGTCAGTATCTCGATCTCAGGTCACAGGATCCGTACCTAGCAGCTGGTCTCTAAAAGAGGCACGGTGTCTTTGTACAAGCGCGTACCCTTTTCATCCCTGGAGGGCTGTTGACGCGGAGATTAATAGAGCAGCGTTTAATTTTGAAAGGACACTAGACCCAATCATCGTTTCTAGTGGTGTCGACGCACGACGCAAAAATTTAGAGGGTACTTTTATCCTGCCCTTCACGTGCACTTGGCGCAACACGTTAGAAGCTATGTGACACTTGACTGGCTATTAGGTTTATCGCGTGTTCTCCTGGCTTCTGTCTGGATAAGTATAAGATCCCTGCTTGCCCTTGTCGGATCATTGTCTCTTGTCTTCCCTGCAGAGCTCTCATCACTTGGACACTGCATTTGCACTACTGCAATCCACACAAGAGGTGAGCGAAGCTTGAAGCTCTGTACCGCACAATTGATTGATCCTCGTCTAGGTCGCATCGGGCATACGTGGAGAACACATTCCACGCAACCCTTCTGAGCGTCAAGTTTTCCCCCCATTTGTTTGCACTGCATGGGTGCAGTTGCTTCAGTACTCCCTTTCCTAGGCTTCCCTTCGGATGATGGTGATGAGGGTAGTGGTTATGGAAGATCCGAGCAATGGAGAGTAGAACAGAGGGCAAGGGAACTAGAAGCACAAGTGCATACTGCGAGGCAGGAAGCGGAAGAGGCGAGGCGCAGGGCAAATGAGGCGGAAAGCAGATCTAGAATGGCCCAAGAAGAGGCCACGTTATCATGGGAGTGAGCCGAAGCCACAGAAAGAGCCAGGCATCTCGCGGATGAAGCAGCAGAGGCTGTAAGGAGACGTCAGGAAGAACTGCAGCAAGCGTTGGATGAGGCTGAAGAAGCTTTTCACAGAGCAGATGAAGCAAGACTCGCGACTGAGCGTAGATGGTTTGAAGGAGTTCGCCCTGAGCGCCGCCCTTCAGATCAAGAGATTATTGAGATGAAAGCCCGCTATGGTTACAGCCCAAACTTCATTCACATCGCTGTTGTTGGCTCTGCTGGAGCTGGGAAGTCATCCTTCATCAATACCGTCCGTGGCCTGTCCAATAATGATCCCATTGCCGCTCGCACGGGGATTGTCGAAACTACCGACACCGTCACAAGTTATCCTGATCCACGTCCAAACTCCCGGATCATTTGGTATGACGTTCCTGGAGCAGGCACACCAAGCGTACCCGATTGGCAGTATTTCAACGACCTGGGACTCTACATCTTCGACTGCATCATCATCCTCATCGACAACCGTCTCTTGGAATCTGACCTCGCCGTCCTCAGTGCCTGCCAGCAGTGCAGCACCGTTGAGGCATTCATTGTTCGCTCCAAATCAGATCAACACATCAACAACATGGCGTGCGACAAGATACCAGGTTTCGACCCTTGTGATCCTGACACTGATGACGAGACACGTTCTCGTTTTCTGCAAATCAAATTTGAAGAAAAGAGGAGGTTCATCCACGAAACGAACGAGAATGTGCGGAAGAACCTTGAGGACAAAAGCCTCTCTCCTCGGAGGGTCTACATCGTTTGCAAGGACGCCATGCTCGCGAGGTTGCAGAATGCGCGTTCCTCAAAAACAATTGACGAGGCAGAGCTTCGGGATGATGTCGAGGGAAGTGTGCGTAGGCGTCTACAGTCGGGGCGTTAAAAGTAAGTCAGATCGTCTTGCTCAAATGTCGATTGGATTGTAACATTAGTGCTTTTTCTATCCTATAGGTAGGCCCGTACTGAGCCCAGGACTGATAACCCCAAATATTGATAACGTTGTTGGTCCTTTGTTCGCTGGTTTTGATTTATTTTCTTGTGAGCCGTCGGAACTTCTACCCCTCCCCCCAGTCTGATACCTTGTTGCATTCTCGACCCTCGGAAAGGGTCAATTCGTTTTGTTACATTGCAAACACCTGCTTTCTTGTGCCTACATCATTTTGATAATGAATGAAAGTCAAAAGCAAGCATCTCTGTTTCGTTCATCCCTGAACTCACTGCTCAAGCATCGAAGAATCCTTGTGAATTAATGAGAGCGCAAGCGGGTAAAATGTCGGATCCATCCAGTGTATTAGACTCGTGACCAGTCTGACATACGTCCTTTGAGAGTGGGAAATCTTGATGTAGTCAGACTGGTCGACCTCGGAGAAATTTGGCAGGCGAAGCACGGAGTTTGAAAATTGCAGGTGCCTTTTGTGCCAATGCCGTGTCATCGTCCATCATATCATACAGACACTACTATATTGCGAGCCTACCCCTGTTACTCGTCCGAAAAATTTCGGTTCCCCGGAATTGCATCACTTCAAGGTACGAGCAATCAGTGTTCAAACTGTGTGTACAGCCATTCAATGACCCCTGTCACCCCATTACAGCTGAACAACGCATCAAAATTTTTATTGACACACAGGATCTATAAGACCATTCATGCAGGTTCACGCTCTACAGTGCGGGATATGCATTTGAAGCACCCTTGCCACAAAATACCTTCCACATTGGTCACATCTTTCAAAAAGCCTGTCCCAGTCCCAAATACTCACACCAGTCTTGCTGGAGAGGTCAGCCAGGAGAGGACATCTGGGAAATGGAAACTCTAGGTCCAGTCTATGTAGAGTCTACTCTGGGTCCTGTCTGGGGGTGTGCCAGCTGCCTGGCCAGATTAAAGTGGAGTTTAATTCCAAATTGGGATGTATGTAGTATGACTCAGCTAGGGAGTCATGCATGACAAATGCATCAGCCCCTAGCTTGTCACCATTCATGACAACAATGACCCATGTGGCGGGGCCATGGATGTTGTCACCCTGTTTTTGGGTCTCTCCAATGAACCAGAACTCGCAGGCCTGTTGTATTTGTCTTTAACCCACTTCATTCACTCAGCTAGTATGATCAAAGATGATATCCTCCTTCCTCAGCCTCATGCAATCTCTACCTCTTCAGTGCTTCATTTTCTACCACCAAGCATCACTGAATTCCTAGGCGAATCTTTCAGTCTCTCTCAACATGCAGTTCATGTACTATGGCTTGCAGTCAAAGATATTGTTTGGACACTTCCAGGCAAGAACAAAGAACAAGAGGCAATAGGAACAATCTTTTGACACCATGGCTGGCCTCATGGCATAGCTGCCCATGTCCTCTATCCACCAATGAAGATGTGCATCAACCCAGAGTGTCTTGCTCACCAATGACAAACACTGCTCAAGAAGGAAGAGGCTCGATGTATCTTGATTTTCACTCAGTCTGACAGTGTCCATTGTATGTGGTCTGTCCATCTAAGGTGCCAATGTATGTTGCAATTCTTTGTTTCAAGTGTGTATACCAGCTCATTTTATTATCATCAGTGTGTAATACAAACTATCACTACAACTACGCCGTCCATCAAGGATCTAGGACATATTATACTGGTATACCACAATATATCCAGGTCACAGAACATCAGTTTGTTGAGCTGGCACTTGTGATGCATTGGATGGACTTGATGCGAGTACAGTGCATGTTTCTTCTTCTCTGTTTCATGTCTTATAATTGTCTCACCAACAGTGTTTCAGCTACCAACTGTGCATGATTGTACAACAAGGCCCAGGCTCAATGTGATACCCTTGATTATGAGTGGCAGTTCAAGATGTCTGTCACGACAGAAGAAGTCTGGGACACATTTATAATACTTGCTCTCTTGGATGACCATCAGGACCAAGGCACCAGACTCTGTGTCTCCCATGGCAATAACCAGAGTGACCACTTCACAGCTGTGATGCAAGCATGCAATGAGAAGATTATAACTCATGGCCAGGAAGAACTTCCCCATGCATGCCTTGGGTGCATGCGATTGTTCACGATGCCTGATGGCACCACTTATCACACAGAGGTGGTTGTCACTGATGGCATCACTGTTGGGTGTCCATGCTGTGCTGTACCTCATTGCAAAAATGCTCTCATAAGCACCCATCATTGTTTTTGTTCTGCAAACCATAAGTACCTAGAGGCTGTCTGTGCAGTAGATGGATGCGACAAGCCTGTCATCCATGACAAGAGCACCAGAAAGCCTTGCAAAGCCTGTAGCAATCCACTCCACTTGAGGATGGAGGATGCAAAATCAGTGTTATCACAGAGCAGAAAGAGCAAGACACAGAGAATGAAGAGTGTGAAGCTGAATAATGCACTTGCTGCCTCCTCCATTGGCAATGCACACACTCTGGAGGATGTTCTGCCTGTACAGGACATTGATGAATGGTTTGAGCATGACCCATTAACAGGCAATGTATGCATCCAACAGGCTTCAGTGACATCATCTACTGGTGTTGTGGACCCTTCAGTGCTGCTAATTGAACCACAATGCAATTCAGGAGCTTGCCCCAGCAAAGATGAAGTCCCAAAGCTCAAGGTGGTATTCTTCCATAAGTGGACCAACAATGAGCAGCTTTTCATATGCCCTTGTGGTGTTATCTCTGGTCATGGTACCATGTACCATCATGAAGCTGTCTCCAATGTCTTGGTATGCTGAATGACTTATTCCCTGTACAAGCTAACTTATGTTCACAGATATTGTTCGAGAAGATGTTTTCACTTCCATGAGCTTGCAAACCCCACCACCTCATCTATGATTCAAATTGCAACACTCTATGTGAAGTTGAGAGTAGGCAGTTGAAGTTTTTTGAGGGGATGGGCATGTGCATTGACGCCTTTCACCACAAAATGAAACACAAGGCCAGCAATCAGTTCTGCCAGGAGTGCTGTGATATGAAGACCTATCCTGAGCTCCTTGATGAACAGGGCAAGTACTACTTCAATTCCTCCATCGCAGAGCAAACCAACATCTGGTTTGGTGGGTTTCATAATATGTGTCATGAGATGACACCAGTAAAATATGATTTTTTACTTGATGAAGTGATCCTTTGTCACAATTGTGCTACTGTTATTAACTTACATTGCCAGGATAAACAACCTCATCACCCTCATCTCTCCACATAGTACTTACGTCTCATTTCTTTTCATTTACCACTATGATGTGTAATATAGTGAAACATGTCTGTTGAAAGAAAGTGTGAATGTATTGTTTTCATATGATGCAGGAACAGTGTTCAACGAATATTTGTAAAGATATAGGCATGCAAGCTGTTCACTTTCTGGCCTGCAGTTCTAGCTGCACCATGAATCGCAATGGTGACTGTTTGCGATTCATGGTGCAGCTAGAACTGCAGGCCAGAAAGTGAACAGCTTGCATGCCTGTATCTTTACAAATATTTGTTGAACACTGTTCCTGCATCATACAGACATACAGAGTTGAAAGAAAATGTGAATGGATCACTTTCATAACAATGACATGAATACAAATCTACTTGAGTGAATGACAATGACAACAATGAAGGAGGTTAGAGATGAGTAATGACAGTGCAATGTGGATCACTTTGACTTCACAGACTTCTTCTTACTTGTTTGACTGAGTGCATCCCAACATGCAGCCAAGTAGCATGTCCAAAGGCCATCAAGAGTGTGTCCAGTGCATTCATGAGCAAGGAGGGAGGTATTCTTCATGTTGGCCCATGCCAAGTGATTTGCATGATAGGTTGCATGAACAAATGGGACATTGAAAATGAGACTAAAAAGTACCTCTTGGGTATAATGCTGGCGGAGGAGTAGTGAGTCCATCTGCCAAAAAACAATGACCATATCAATTGTATACATGCTACATGGCAAAACATGCTTGCCCTTGCCCTTGTATAGTGGAATGAAAACAGGTATGACAGACAGTGCTTTAGGTTCACCAGAGTCAACAGAAGATGCAGATGATGCCAAATGAGTTGATAGCAAAGAGTCAGATGATGAGATAGAGTCCACAGGAGAAGGGGATGATGGAGGCATTGGGGACATAGATGTTGCTTGTAAACTATCAAAATTCAAGTGCAAGTGTGGACATGCTGAGAGTGGTTGAACAGTTTGAGATTGCACTGGGCTGTGTTATGAACTTGGATAGAGCATCATTCCAATAAAGGAATCAAGGATCAAGGTTGATCAAGGACTAAGCCTTATCGAGTCAATGCCTCCCTCAGGAGCAATCATCTAGACTCCCACAGGATCTAGAGTTCAAATGGGACAAATGGCTAGCCTCCTTCCCAAGGAGCTAGAGTTCAAGTATCAAAGAGAACCAAGTAGATTCAAGTTAGAGGAAATACAAGTGGTAACTAGATTTTATATATGTAAAGGAATTGTGCACAGACCAAGCTGGGCAAAGGGTAACTAGTACTAGAAATGGAAGGTTCATGGGAAAACAAGGTATGAGTCAGAGATAAGAGAGACCATGAGGAAACAGCACAGTGAAAAGGAAGCGTTAATAGTACAGCCATTAGGTGTCCACAGTGATGGTGAGAAAAAGAATAGGGGCACTGTAACAGGCTGCTAAACCAGCAGGGCCACTTGCCTAGAGCTTTGGTTGATGGTCTGGGTGTCACTGGTGTATTGTCAACAATTTCTATCTCCAATGACTCAACATCCTCTGATACCTTGGTTGGTGTTACTAGTGCATCATTGACAATTTCCACCTCCAATGACTCAACATCTTCTGATGCTGGCTGAGGTGGTGATTGCTTGTTTGCATTGATTGCCATATGAAGTCTATCACAGTTCAGCTTCATGTTGGTGCAGAGATGTGCAGGACACATAGACTCCTTGGAGGCATTGTAGAGCTCATCAAAGTTGTGGCAATCAGTTATACCATAGTGCCAGTGTCTTACTACTTGAGGGTCTTATATAAGTTGAGGTGAAATGCAATGACTATCACAATTGTACTTCAATAAGACTAAGGTGCCAGCTCCTCAAGTTCATGGTCAACGGATTTTCTACTTCTCAGTTGATAATATGTTGTTCATGGGTGGCCAAAGGGTAATAAATTACTTCTTTGCTAGATCACTTCTTGATAGTAAAGGGAAGTATATATTTTGTCAGGTTAACTTAAACCTAGTAGGTAATATGGACCTCTGCTGAATTGAATACAATAGACTGTTGTATAGGTGATCCCTGTAAGATAGTATACAACCAATCTAGACTAGAAATACTTTAGTTTTCAAAGGCAATCTCAAGGCCTTCACTTTCTTCATAATCTCACACTATTAAGACAGAAAGAGGGAAAACTCCTGCACTTCAAATCTTACGAATCTCATGGTTTGAGACAAGAAAGAAGAGGGAAAAACTTGTTGATTATGTGAGAATGGAGTCCTTATATACATTTTAGAAACCATCCTTACTAAGCAATGACTCATCACTGGATTGGTAAGAATATGCTTACTAAAGTACATGAGTAAAATATTACAAAGCACTGCAAAATGTTACAAAGCATGACTTATCATGACAAAACATGATAAGTCATGGAAAAATCCTTACAAATCAGAATATTACCAGTCACATGACATGCTTACAAACATATCTGAGTGGTTCACTGATGTAATCAAGTGGCTGAAACTATAAATACAACTAAATAAATAAAGGGAAATAGATGACTAAGCTCATGAGTGAGAAATATATCCTCATACACTCTCCTAATCATCTCCTTTGTCATATGCCATTCTGGACTCTCAACTCTAAATCCACTTCTCTGGATATCCGGATCCAAGATCCAGATCTCAAATGATCTGATCTATCTTTATCTTCCTTCTGGAATCCAAACCCTATATCAGTGCCCAACCCCATTTAGACTTCCCCTGTCTCCAGACTCTGGTTAACCATGTTTCCCTTCTGATTATTGATCTGTTACATACATTTCATTTCCGGTGTTCATTATTTGTGATCCATCCTACTTACTAATAGACTTTGCATATGCTTCATACATAGCCTTTATGTTTGCTGATTGATTCCTATATGATACCTACAGTATATAAACCTCCTGTAACTCTCAGAAATACTTCAGTTTGAATATCATCTTAGTTCCTGCTCATTCCTGTGTCCTCTGGACTCAAGACAAGTCTCCTGTCATATTCCAAGTCTTAGGATTACATCCTAGACTAAATTTCCGACTCTACCTTAAGGTAGTCTATCCTCTGTTAGTTTCTAGTCTGGACTTCGTCTGGATTAGTCTTATCCGCTTGCCCAAGTAACATCTGGACATCCATTGGATTTATCTCACATTTCAGATCTGGACATCCGTTATCTGCCCTAGTCAAATCCTGGAAATGCTGAACAATGGTTCTAGCCCCTGGAAATTAAGGGCACATACTCAGGAAAGGGGCACAGTGTATGAGCTGAGGCCAAGCCCTTGTGATCCAACCCCCTTGAGTACACGACCTTAACATCCTTCTATACTTCTTCTTATATATGTCATGGTATGAACTCCATACCATGCACAACACCAGATGAAGACATGGCACTCAGACTTGAGTGTCAAGGGATGTGAGAGGGAAGCTGGGATCCACTTTTTGAAGTGATCCTCAAACACCTCAATCTTGGTGATGTTCTTGCCAAGGGCAGTGACCAGTTCCGGATCATCAGCCAGCTGATAAAATGGAAAGTATGGGCAGTCAGACACCCATTGGCATTTGACAAGAGTATTGTCCTGAAATTATGAAGATTCAATTCTAGCAGCAAGAGCATGATACAGAGGTACTCACATCATCAAACCAGTTCAAGACAAAGCATTGTTTGGACTTGCACTCGATTTCCTTCTGTCACTCAGCAACTCGCATGCTCTCTAACTCTTTCTGTGCACATTGCTAGAGGTCTTGTTGCCACAGTGGGTCTAGCTGGCTGGTAATATGAGGAGGTTTGGACATCCTTGAGACAGGAGTTGTGCTTGGGCAAGCAGATGATGGTAGGTGTGCTGAGGTATCTGCAGGGGAGGGCATGGTAGGAGAAGGGGCCATTAGGAGGTCATGGATAGATGGAACATGTTCAGGAAGGGGTTGTGGTGCCTCAAGACCATTGGCAACAAGCAATTGTGACAAGGCCTGGTGAAGTTGGTAGTATCCAAACCCTTCAGCATTGAGAGTGACAAGATTAGCCTCCAGATGACTGCTAGCCCCTTCATCAAGTATTGGTGCTAAGTGAATTGTGCACCCACCATCCTTAGTGCAGTGCATCACATATTTGCCCTCAGGACATTGCAGTGCACTTGGTCACCGACACAGATCTCATACACAATCAGGACCACACTTCCAGGGCCTCTTGCTCTGTGAGAGAGCAGGCACCACAGAAGGCATAGCAGATACTGCAGAAAGCCAGGGACTCGAAGATGAATGAGGTATGCAGGCCAGAATTTTTGGGTAGTTGAAAAGTTCTGGGAACCACTTGAAGAAACCACAAGGCCCATGCTGGTAATGATGATGAGGTCAATATCATATCTGCAACAATAGGGTGAGGTACTCACTCATGCCAGCATTGCCATTCCTATCAGACTGACATATTGTCACAGGTACTGCTACTCTGCAGGTCAGGCAGTCCATGACAAGCCTAATGGATGTTGTTCTCAGGGTGGTGCCAGGAATAAGGGGCAGTTAAGGTGGGGGTGCTGGAAGTGAAGCCATGATGGAAATGGTAAGTGGAGAGAGCAAACCATGCCAGAAGGGTGGCAGCAGTGAGGAAACAGCAAGCAGGAGGGCAGCAGGCAAGAGGGTGGCAGGCAAGAGGGTGGTGGGCAAGAGGACAGCATATGGCAGGCATTATTAGGGTGGGGTGAACTAAGTCACAAGCTGAGTCACATCATCCTGATTTGGACTTAAACTCCACATTAATCTGGCCAGGCAGCTGGCACACCCCCAGACAGGACCCAGACAGGACCTGGAGTAGACTCTACATAGACTAGACCTAGAGTTTCCATAAGCCTTACATTCACAGCCAGGAGACCTGTTTCATATGCTGTGAGTCTATTCATCACAACCACACCATCCTGGTCTTGTCCAACCAGGAGACGGGTGGACATGTGTCAACATCCATGATGACTCACCAATCCTCGAGTAGTAGTAGCAGTCTCTTGAGCAGATACTTTGTATTAATTAGTTGCATGCTAAATTGTATCTGTACTGAGCTACAACTCACAAGTGCAACACCGATGGACTAGTCAAATAAATGGTCACAGGTTTGCTGAGGTAGTACCAACCAAACCACAGAGTTGCTGAAAATCAGGCCAGACTGAGACATGGGATCCAAGATAGCCATTGAAGTAGGGTGCAATATCATGTGGGTTGGGAGGAAGGCAGCAAAAGGCAGTGTAAATCAGGGTCATATCAGGTTGGGGGTTTGCAACTGCAAACAGGCCATCAGCACTAACAACTGTATCTAGAAGAAAACCATACCAAGTGTTGGAAGTTCCTCATAGGTAGAAGTAAAAAATGAAGTGTGGTAGATGTCTGTGAGATCCACTGTTGTGAAACATGCACTATTTAGCATTAATATGAAGAGTGAAAATGTACTGACCTCTAAATCCACAATGCTCATTAGCGCACTGCATCAGGATGTGGCCATTTATGGCAGAATCCATGATCCTGGTGGAACAAGGCATGTCCGAAAGGATACCACAAAAACACTTGACAAAAAGCCTGTGTCACTGTAAGTAATCCACGAGGCCATAGGGACAGATATGAAAACGTCCTGATGCTATTGGGCTGCACAAGTCTGTCATTAATAGCAGTGAAGTGAACTGGTAGTACACACTATGCAATGGTAACAATTTGCTTGACCTCACATGAAAAAATGATGAGTTCTGTGCTTCCTCACTGATACTTGATACATGGGCAAAAAATTGCATTGACTGAGTCATTGACTGACTCAGGGAGAGGAAGCATGGCTATGATGAGCGAGAAAAATTCACGGACCTTTATACAAAGGGCCTTGCAGGTTTTTTTCTGATTCTTTCAGTTGGCAAACTGTTCAAAGGTAAATAAATTGAACTCAAGTCCCTGTTCACATCTAAAAGTGAGATTGACAGTCTGACTGACCTATGACAGTTGAGGTTAGTCTGCACTTAGTACATCGCTTGCAGCACTTGACAAGCAACCCACATCCATGGAGTAATGGAATAATGTGTACATGGCCCAATGGTTGATGGAAAATGCAAGGACAGAGGTTTGAAAATGACAGTATGGTGTGCAACATTGAACCACCATAACCCGATTTAGAAATTGATGAGTGAGTGGTCAGCATGCCCATGTCATTTGCAAGCCATTGACAAGAGCCCACGACTGTCACATATACAGGCATGAATTGAATTCAATGAGATGAGTCCCCTCAACTATTCACTCAATCTCTATCTAAAGCATGAGTCTCAGTCATTCACAGATTGCAGCACTTGAACAAGTGCAACATATACTCAATAATGTTGGTTTATCCCCTATCTCTGTGACAACCTCATCCCCATCTCCACACCCATGTCTGTTGCCACACCCAATGACTACTAGTACACCAGGAATTACAGACTCAGCCCCATGTCCAAGATACCAGTCTCCAGCCCCTTATTATTTTATGACTAATGATATATGTATCACAGAGAGCCAACTATGTGAATTGAGCCACCAAAGTCAGCACTGTTGTTGATCATCCTGTTCATGCTATCCTCAAGTATCCCATGACAGCACCTAATGGCATTGCACACTGTTTTGTTGTTAATCCTGCATCCTTCACAGAGCCTTGATCAGCATTCCAATATTCTCTTGGTGGAGGTCATAGTGGGCAAGAAAATGCAGTGTGCCAGCTTCTCCAAGATGGTGCAGGTAATGCTGTCTGTTGTCACCAGCTTTAGTCATTGTGTATGTACATTGGTGTTCCATTCCATTGATTTTATCATGCTAAGTACAAGAACACATACTACTAGGCAATGGCCTCAAGGTATGTACATTCAACAAGGCCAGTTCTAGCAGTGATTATGCTGCATCTCTGACTTCAAGTGGGAGTCCCCCTAGATCCAGTGATGACTCTGCAGAGGCAGAGGTTTTCAACAAGACTTTTGCTTTCTTTTGTGCCATTATGGAACAGGGATGTCATGGTGGCTTTGATGCGAGTCCTGACTTGGAGATGGATGACTTCAACATTTACTCTGAGTTTGAGAATTTCCATGGGAGCTGTGGGGCTCCACTTGTGATATCAGTGAATAATCTTGGCCATCCATATATCCAGTAAGTTTGATAACTTGCATGCAGTGTGCACTGAGTACTAAAATCACACAACATAGCTGCAAAAAATTTGATGCATCAGTCTCTCAAACTCACTCCCATCTTGTCCTCCAAAATTTGGATGAATTCAATACTGAGTATTTGCAGGCACTTGTGGAGAATGATGCAAAGGCAATTTCCTTTTATGAAAAACAAGCCCAGGACAATGGATATGGCCCTCTCATACCATGTTCCTTTGTTGCCTCCCCCGCTGAGCAGAAGCAATGCTGTCATGAGTCATTCTATCAGTGTCACTCGAATTATTATTGATCCTCATCTATTGGGTAGCATATTGGCATTGAAATAGTGAAGGAAATTTGGCTTGTGGGACACTTTGCAGCTGGCCCATTCCATGCAAGGTGAAGTTTGACATGTATACCCCATATGATCTCGCTGCCTGCCCACAAGTTCTTGTTATCTGCTCCAATATTCACAGTCACCCTCCACCTGCACCCATCATTTTTCACAAGTTACTACTCACACTCAGCTGGAAACTTGCTAATGCAACACCACATCAGATTCTACTCGACTCTGCATTTATACAAGCTTTAAGAGCCCAGCTTGACTGGAAGGAAACTCGAAATCCCTCACTTTCAGACCTCCACCCATCACTTGGGAACTCCAACCATGCTTGGTGTCTCATCAATAGCTTGCAATTTGATGAATTTCCAAGTAGAACAGGATTTGAAGGTGCAATACACTTAGCAACAACACATGATCTTTTACCTGTCAACAAGCACTATATTTGTTGTGTGGAGACACATCAACTACCTATCCAATCAGTAACATCAACTTCATCTTTTCAGTTGGTCACTTGCATGACACAGCAGATGTTGTGGTGTCTGATGCAAGCCAAATGGCTTTTGATTGACACTTTATTCAAACATGTACATGGCTAACAGGAATTTGAATTTGAGTCTTGGGACATTGCCCACATGAAGTGTGAGTTGTATGAAGTTGTCTGAGCTGGTTCACTGATGACCATGAAAATTTATTGTAGCCATTATTGGTGCTCGAGCATTCACAACATCTCAATCAGCACAAGCACACTTCATCCTCTTCCAACAAATATTTGAGATTGCCAGTGCAGACACAGGTTGTACTGTCTGATTTCACTGCATGCATGGGAAGGAATTCAAACCATCATTGCTGATGGACATAAAGGCCAAGGTCTCAGTAAGTATATTTTCTCACATTCTGAGTTGACGTTAATTGGGATTTAACTATATTCAACAGGCCTAGGTATGTATTGTGTATACTTGTGTAAAGACTCGATCAAGGCCTGCTGCTATGACACAACCACTCTCCTTCACAACCTGGATCCATATGACCACCTGCACTGATTCTACTGTCTATGCCTCACTCACTATAAACACAATATATGTAGTCTCCACAGTCAGGTACCAAAGGACATGGAAATAGCCATGTTGACCATTGCATCAATGGAGCCTCATCCTGACTTGCAGGGAACATTAACGAAGATCAAGAAAGGTGGAAAAAAGGCTGCAGCATGGCTTAAAGATAAAATTGAAGGCACAAAGTTCACACTCCTAGCACTCTATCAGCCTAACAGTCTTATTCCACTCGAAATCTGGAAGGCCTCACTGACTACTATGAATGGCAATGAACAAGCACACAGGAATGTCAACCATGATGGTGTGGGTCTTACACTTTTGGGAGGAATCATGCAAGGATTTCACTATGATGAAAATATCAGCACTAGTCTGGACCTTTTTGATGCATTTGGCATCAACTCCAGTGACTGTCTATCTACCCATGCTTACTGTGCAAAATGTGCTCTTGCTCAACATGGTAAGTGATACCAGTATATTTGAGTTTTTTCCAAAATACTCAAACAGTTTTCAGTGAGACACACAAAGTCTTTGCTCTCACAGGGCAATGCAAGCTTCGCATGCATTCATCTCACCTCTTTGTCTGTCAAGCCTCAACCCAAACTCATTCCCAACTCAATGCTGATGTCCAGTTCCACCATTGTTCCAGTATCAATGTTCAGCACTCTCACTTCTGCACTAACTGCGGGTGCACATGTTGCAGATTATTAAGCACATTCCCCATCTTTTAGTGCCACACTTCCCCTGGTGTCTGCAGTACATCTGCATATCTCTCCCACCCAACAATAAATAAGCACTTTCAGTGCACTGCACAGAGCTGTAGACTCAGAGTAGTGGAGCATGAATGATACAATGGCCAGCAGGGCAATTTTTATTGATAATGAGACTACATGTGTGATGTGATGATGTAAGTATGTGATGCAGGTTGATGGTCCTTTGTAGGTGGTGGCATTGTAAGTGTTCACATAGTTGATATTGAATGGGTGAATGAGGAGGCCAGAGTATTGTGGCAATGGTGAGTTTGTGATAGTACTGTGGATAAGTTAGAAATCAAACAATGAGGACATTGATAGCGTACATGAAGAACATCAAGATGCAGTGTTGGCCATGGAGGCAAGACATTGCCAGATGGCCACGTCAGCGCAGGAATAACTGTCAGAACAGAGATTAGTAGTGAAGGTGGGCTCCTCAGGGTCTTGCATAGGCTTGAAGGAGTGATGCTTGTACCTCAAAGTGACGCAACTTCTGGGAACTGAAATTTTTCAGACAAGTAACAGGGGACTGGTCACTCCTATATTGCTACATCTCTATGTTATGACTAGCCCAAATCATGAGTTTTAACATTGATTCCATGTTGCCTATGTCCATATCTGCTTTGAATGCTCTCAACAACCTTCCAACAGATTTTACAAACATGCCTTCAACCATATAGTTCCAGCAAGTGCTTGAAGCCTTCGCACACCTTGATTTTGTCTTGAAAGGCACCAAAAATCTGAAGTTAGTTCAACTCAAGGCTCTCATATCTTTACTGGCAGGAAGAAATGTGATCCTCTGAGCTGAAACTGTGTGGGTGCATTACTTTGGAAAAATCCATCCTTCCAAGTGGCCATGCTAGGTTTGTCTGAGATGGTACACAGCAGGAGGTCTGTAGCTGTCATCTGCATGCCACAGAGTATTTTCAGCAAAGGGAGAATTTTTTCCTCTGTGTTGAGGCTGTGAGGGTCCACTGTCCATGCTAAAGATTCAGATGGCAGAGCATACTGCAGTGGTGGTTAATAATATGGAGCAGATGGTATCATTTGTGGGATCCTATTTCAATTTTAGTGCTGCAGCACAAATCAAGAAAGATGTGGCACTCTATGCAGTGCGCAAACAAAAATTTCTGTGCAATTGATAGTTAACTGTAACTATGTGGCACTATTACTTTGACCGGCACAACCAGCACTTGCACATTTTCAAAACTCTGTGCTTTGCCTGCCAAATCTCTCTGAGATCGACCAGCCTGGCTACACCACTCAACTTGTCTGTGGTTATATAAGCCAGGCTGGTATCGAGCCTACCAGTGTATTCCATCTAGCATAAATGGCAGATGGGGCCATGAGATGAGATGGTGAAGAGTATCATGAAAACAAGGGTGACAATTTGCAGAGTCAGAATGCGTAGAACTTGCTGTCACAAAGCACCTGACTGTCACCATTCAACCAGTCAGCATCAGGCTTTATTTAATATGAGGACTCAGGACACTCCTTTGGTCAGCTCCTCAATGATATACCATGTCTACAGTAGCAACTTGGGAAAATATCAGCACAGTCTTGCCCTCCACTCATCTCTGCAAATAGACACATTGTATCTCTTCACATTCTCACCCTTGATAATGCTGTGTATAATTGACTGTGAGTTGAAAGGGATCTGTTTGAAGGTCAAGCATGGTCCATGCTAGTGTTGACAGGTAGTTGCATATGTGGGTCACAAAGGGAAACTGTCCTCAATTCACTGTCCATGACAAACAGTTTGGATAGAATGCAAAGTCAATGTGAAGGATGTGGCAGTGGGTTTTTTTTTTTTAAAATCCAGTTTTTTGTCTTTGAGAGTATCTCTATGTAAGACAATACTATCTAGTCTTGGGGGCCCCATGCCCTCCTGTGCCTCTAGATTCATGAATGCCCTGATGTGAGGCTTGCCTCCACTGGTCTGCCATTCCTGCCACATGTTTTAGACATGCAATCTATCAAAGGAGAGGTGGCTTTGTAAATGAGTTGCACAATGGTGTGACTGAGTATGTGTGAATTGACTGGACATGTTCTCAGTTGCATAGCAACTGGTATAGGAAAGGGATTGAATGTATATAAGTAAAAAGAAAGGTTTCTTGAGTGACAGAGAGACTAATTCTGTTTGGATGTGACTGATTTTAATGATGTTCATTATTCCATATAGGCAAGTTAATAGGTTTGGTTGTTTTGAGATTATATGGGAGGGGTATTTGATTATTTGATTATTTGAGTACTTGAGGCAATTGAAATGGGTGATGTGATTCTGTATGAAGGAGGCTGTCAATTTGGATGTTTCAAGAGCATAGTTACTTCACCGAGTATAGATTTCAATCTTCCTGTTGTGTTGATGTAGTGTGTGAGATGCGGGATGGCTGCTTCATCTGTTAAGAGATATGGGATGGATATAGCCTTGTGGCCTAGTGCATTTGTCATGACATGTTGTTCTTGTTGATAATGGGGGCATGTGAGGAGGTAGTGATGGATATTTTCATCTATGTTTGGGCAATGTGGGCAGGAGGGAGTGAGGGACTTGCTGATGCAATGTAGGAATTTCATATTCTGTGGGCTTGTATAGGCAGATATTACTTAGTGTTATGTTCGCACTTTTGGTGCTTATGTAATCATCATAGTTTTCACCACCTACCAGTACCAGTCTGAGACTGAGAGTTTATAGCATGATTTCCTATCCTCTCTGAGCACTGAGCTTAGTCCAGAAACCCTTTAGGATTGAATAGCAGCTAGGCATAGCACATTTAGCCCAACATTAGAAGTCTACTTTCCAGTTCTCTTCTTGTTGTGTTTGCCACAGTGATGAAGATGTTGGTTTAGTGGGGCATGGTGGGTGCAGAGGCACATTAATAGACCTGTGAGTCATTTAGGATAAGATTTGGTTAGTTTAACAAATGAGCAAAGCAATATATTGGGATTGATACTATGTGTTCATGTGTAGCAAGGGGATTTGGACCAACTTCTGGACCAGTGAGCTTGCATGGATTGGTGGTGAGCTTGTTTGAGAGCAGAGATACTTAGAGGTAGGGAGTTGAAGCATAGATAGTGAGGAAGCCAGGCCTGGGAGCTATTGTTCTGGCATCCTTCTGCAGCCTTCTTTGCTTGTTTGTTGGCTTCCTTGTTGCCATGGATGTTGGAGTGGCCTGGTACCCAGAATACTGTGACATCAAAGTTGTTGTGATGGTCATTGGCTAGTTTCTGCATCATTTGGTGAAAGTGGTCTGCTAGGTGTGATCCCAGGCATGTGCAGAAGCTGTTGCTACTCTGAATTGCCACTTGGTTGTCAATGGATATTGAGATGGGGAATTGGATGTTGTGTTCTGTAGAGATTAGTTTTGCTGCTAACATGAGGCCTACCTCTTCCACTTTGAATACAGTATGTTCATCTTTGGTGCCTAGGTAGTATCATAGTATTTGTGGCGCTGTGCCCATCCAAAATAGTACCACTGAGGCACCAATTTTGTCATTATGGCCTGAACCATCACAATATACCTGTATTGATTCTGTTAGTTGTTCATGTAGTGTGGAGGCTTCGTCTTTTGAGGGTGCAATGTTGGTCTTGAAGGAGTTCTTGGTGGTAGGAGGTCATCGTGCTGGGATTAAGGTTTCTATTTCATCTGGGTCAATGGAGAAGAGATGGGTAAGTCCATGTATGCAATGAAGAATGATGAGATGATACATAGCACTTTGCAGTGTGTTGAACTGGGTGGTATACAGTGGCTCAAAAAACTGTCTGCATGTTTTGACATTTTTCACTATCTATGATATTGTGTGAGAACTCACAAATGCCTCAAGGACATGCTTATACCACATTGTAGTATGGCTTCAGGGCTTTCATTTGAGCCCTACACCGTGAGAATCGGTGGAGATATGGTGGAGATACAAGGCTCACAAAATGGTGACTCATGCGGACAGTTTTTTGACCACATATTAAAACCATATAAATCATCATTTATGACACCATAACAATCATGCCACCATTAAATAAATTATAAAGTGGTGTCATTATGTCATTTTAAAACCATATCTAACTATACAAACCAAAAATTTCCATATGTCATGGTTATATTCACCATGAAAGCCACCCCCCTGCTCAAAGGGATAATATCCTCTCTCTTTCCTATTCTGGCCTCTCTGCTTGTCAAATTTCCTCTAGAACTGGAGTATCCAAGTCCACTGTGGCCAAGTTCATCAAAGAAAGTCACACAGACAAGGAAAACCTCTGTGAAGGGTGTCCATCCAAGCTCACCTCTACTGATAGAAGGGCTATTATTCAACATATCACTATAGGAAAGGCTGATAATGCTGTCCAGGTCACCTATTACATCAATTCCACCATCACATTCCCTGTCTCTTCACACACTGTGAGAAACATTCTCAAGACAGCTCATCTCAGGTCAGTAACAAGGAAGAAAAGGCTCTCCTTTCTATCACACATATGCAGAGAGGACTAGCACCCTTCTTTTTTCACATATATACCTTGCCATCTGACCCAATCCTATTTATTGTGGTCTTATATGATCATATAACATGCTTCCAGTCCATGTAATCCAATTCTGATGGGCTAAGGCAAAGGTTAGTCATCTCTGTTTATGTGTGATAGAGAGGAAAGCCTTTTCTTCCTTGTTACTGACCTGAGATGAGCTGTCTTGAGAATGTTTCTCACAGTGTGTGAAGAGACAGGGAATGTGATGGTGGAATTGATGTAATAGGTGACCTGGACAGCATTATCAGCCTTTCCTATAGTGATATGTTGAATAATAGCCCTTCTATCAGTAGAGGTGAGCTTGGATGGACACCCTTCACAGAGGTTTTCCTTGTCTGTGTGACTTTCTTTGATGAACTTGGCCACAGTGGACTTGGATACTCCAGTTCTAGAGGAAATTTGACAAGCAGAGAGGCCAGAATAGGAAAGAGAGAGGATATTATCCCTTTGAGCAGGGGGGTGGCTTTCATGGTGAATATAACCATGACATATGGAAATTTTTGGTTTGTATAGTTAGATATGGTTTTAAAATGACATAATGACACCACTTTATAATTTATTTAATGGTGGCATGATTGTTATGGTGTCATAAATGATGATTTATATGGTTTTAATATGTGGTCAAAAAACTGTCCGCATGAGTCACCATTTTGTGAGCCTTGTATCTCCACCATATCTCCACCGATTCTCACGGTGTAGGGCTCAAATGAAAGCCCTGAAGCCATACTACAATGTGGTATAAGCATGTCCTTGAGGCATTTGTGAGTTCTCACACAATATCATAGATAGTGAAAAATGTCAAAACATGCAGACAGTTTTTTGAGCCACTGTAAGTGGTGCAATTTGGGGTGAGCAGTGATGTGGATAATGGCCCTGTGACAGATGTTATGAAGAGCAAGGGGGATGGGTAGTATGTTGGCATGGGCTTTGAGGATATCTCCTGCAGTAGTGCACATGGCACCAGTCATGGCCAATGTGGTGAGTCTTTGCACTGCTGTGAGTCTTTTGGTAACTCCCAGGGAGCCTCATTGGAGGATGTCAGATCCTTCCTTGAATGCCAGTGAAAACCATAAGTTGGCCATATACAGCATTTTCAGTATGGCGATGGCTTGGTATAGTTGATGCATGAGAGGTAGTGGGATTCCTTTGGCCATGGTGGATAGATGGCAAATCTGGCATACATATGCTGTTCCCTTTGCTACTGCATTGTCAACTTGAGCAGACCAACAAAGTTCTTGATCCATGATGACTCCGAGGAAGCAATGGGATGTGGTGGGTCGGATTGTTGACCCTTGGATGATCATGTTGGGGCGTGATCTTTGTTTGTTCATGGAGCAATCTATCAATGCAAATTTGTTAGTTTTGAAGTGTGAGTTATGATTGTGTGACCATTCAAAGCTGCCTTCAGGGTGTTCCAACATGTCAGTGAGCATTTTGTGCGCAGTTTTGAAGTCATCCACTATGGTGATAAACACTGCATCATCAATGAATGCTAGAGTCAACTCCTTCAGAGTTTCTCTTCCTTTTCATTTGTTAGCAACTTCCACTAGATCTGAGTTATAGATAATATAAAGAATCATGGACAGGGGGTCATCCTGTCCTATACCATTGGTGATTGGTATCCAATCTGAAGTGTATCCATTGAAGTGTAGTTGAGTGAATCTGTCCATTAGTACTCATTCTGTGAACTCTACCATTTCATGAGGAATGCAGCACTTTCACATGTTGTGAAGGAGGCAGCTTGTGACTGCATTGGGGAATGCCCCTTCTATGTTAAGAAAGAGAATGGATGCTACACAGTAAGAGCACCAGGCATCTTTGATGGTGGCTTCTAGAAGGTGGAGAGAGTCAGTGGTAGAGTGACCTGGCCTGCTGCCAAAGTGCGTGTTTGGTAGGAGGTTGTGGTGTTCTAGGGTGTATGTTAGTTGTCCTGCTGTGACTGCTGTGAGGAGTTTGCATGTAGTGTTGAGTAGTGCAATGGGCCTGTAGGCCTTGGGGACTGCATAGAACAGCTTTCCAGGCTTTCAAAGGACCATGGTAGTGAAGCATTGCCATGGTTTGTAGTATGTCTTGTGGGAGAAGACCACATTGAATATGTAGACAAGATGTGGGGCTAAAATAGATGCATAGCACTTGAATACGATGTTGCAAATTCCATCTGGGCCTGGGGCCTTGTACCTGCTGAGGTTGGTGATGGCTCAGGAAAGTTGGTCCACTGTGAAAGGGGTGTGTGGGGAGACTGGGTCTGGGTATTCATAATCTGGTGGTACATTGTTAGTAAGAGGAGGAGGGAAGAATGCTTTGGCAATTAATGTGCTCTTCTTATGATTAGTAGATGCCTCAGTAGATGAACCATCTGGGTGTTTGACAATTAGTGTTGGGACTCATGTCTTACCACCGTCCCTGGGTTTGGACATTATGTAGCAATTGGCCATCCAAATGTTGTTACCTTCTAAGTCCTCAAGCCATTCAGTCCAATGTTGCTGCTTCATTAAGGTGATGGATTCTGCATATTCATTCTTGAGGGCCTTTAGTTCTTCATGGGATTTGTGTAGAGGCAGGGCACACATCTGGTAGGATAGACAATGTTATGAACTCGGATAGAGCATCATTCCAATAAAGGAATCAAGGATCAAGGTTGATCAAGGACTAAGCCTTATCGAGTCAATGCCTCCCTCAGGAGTGATTGTCTAGACTCCCACAGGATCTAGAGTTCAAATGGGACAAATGGCTAGCCTCCTTCCCAAGGAGCTAGAGTTCAAGTATCAGAGAGAACCAAGTAGATTCAAGTTAGAGAAAATACAAGTGGTAACTAGAGTTTATATATGTAAAGGGATCATGCACAGACCAGGCTGTGCAAAGGGTAACTAGTACTAGAAATGGAAGGTTCATGGGAAAACAGAGTATGAGCCAAAGATAAGAGAAGTTATGAGGAAACAACACAGTGAAAAGGAAGTGTTTAATAGTACAGCCATTAGGCGTCCACAGTGATGGTGAGAAAAAGAATAGGGGTACTGTAACAGACAACTGAGATGGTTGATGTTCTTGCACATAACAGAAAGTTCCCATGTCCACCACCATTTAGAGTGAGGGCATGGTTTTGTTATTGGGATGTGGGCATTGATGGTGGCGGTGATGGTGTCTGTTAGTTGGTGAGTGGCTGTCTGGAATTCCTTGTCAGTGGCTAATGGCTGGGGAGGGTGGGGAGAGAGTAAGTTTTGGAGGTGCTTATCAAATTGTTCCCATTCAACTTCTCTCCAGTTTCTCTGTGGCATGGTGTCAGCACGTGGTGTTTCCAGTTCAAGGACAAGGTGTATAGGTACATGGTCAGTCTTTGGGCCTCTGAATTCTGGCACTGTGGTGCAGGTGATGATGGTGTCGAGGAGTTGTTCTGTGCTGAAGACATTATCTGGTCTTGTCCAGTTACCAGTGCTGGTGGATTGGAGTGCTGGGATGTTAGCAGGTAGTAGCTGTATGTTAAGGTTGCATGCTCAAGGGGGTTGGATCACAAGGGCTTGGCCTCAGCTCATATGCTGTGCTCCTTTCCCAAGTATGTGTCCTTAATTTCTGGGGGCTAGAACAGTCATCTGGAGTTTCTAGGATTTGACTAGGACAGACAATGGACATCTGGATCTGAAATGTAAGATAAATCCAATGGACGTCCAGATGTTACTTGGACAAGTGGATAAGGCTAGTCTGGACAAAGTCCAGACTAGAAACTAACAGGGGATAGACTACCCTAAGGTAGAGCTGGAGATGTAGTCTAGGATACAATCCTAAGACTCGGAATATGACAAGAGACTTGGCTTGAGTCTGGAGGACACAGGAATGAGCAGGAACTAAGATAATATTCAAACTGAAGTATTTCCGAGAGTTACAGGAGGTTTATATACTGTAAGTATCATATAGGAATCAGTCAGCAAACACAAAGGCTATGTACGAAGCATATGCAAAGTCTATTAGTAAGTAGGATGGATCACCAATAATGCATATCAGAAATGAAATGTATGTAACAGATCAATAATCAGAAGGGAAACATAGTTAACCAGAGTCTGGAGACAGGGGAAGTCTAAATGGGGTTGGGCACTGATATAAGGTTTGGATTCCAGAAGGAAGATAAAGATAGATCAGATCATTGGAGATCTGGATCTCAGATCCAGATATCTGGAGAAGCAGATTTAGAGTTGAGAGTCCAGAATGGCATATGACACTGTATCATACCATAGCTAGCAATCAAATCAATGAGAGGGTTAGTGGCAGTATAATTGAATAAATGATGGTTGCGCATTTCTTCCCATAGCAGATGGTGACAGTTGAAGTCACCCATCCATAGCATGTGGTCATTGATCATTGGGCATAGTGTCATGATGTTGCTTTCAATGAATGTGTCAAGCATTTTGAGCATTGATTGAGAGTGATGGTCATTGTAAATATTGAAGATGGTGCATTTGCTGTATGGACCAGATAGCTGAAGGAGGGTGATGTCTGAGGAGGGGAAAGAAATCTGTTTCCATAAGTTAGTGTCCAGAGATGTGCTGATTAGCATGATGGCACAAGTTCATTGTTGTGGATGAGTGAAGTGTTGGGTCAGGTATATTACATGCCAATGGTGGTTGGCAGAAGTATTTCTGAGGAAGTTGATGTGCAGTTCTTGAATGAGGATAATGTCCCATTTGGAGATGCTGGGACTGTTGAGAAGGGAGGCCTGAGCAACCATAGAAGTGTTGAGGTTTTGCTGCCAAATGCATAGACAGATGGTAGGTTCATTTCGGTGTTCAGACATGGGACACAGGCTGGGAGGTGCTGGCTATGGAGGAAGAAGATGAATTAGTGGGGTTAGTAGGGTTGGTGGAGTCAGAGAAGCTTGGAATTAGGGCAGAGCCTAGACAGCCCATGAGGTCAGTGAGGATAGGAGATTGCAGGATTTGAGGGGTGTGTGGGTGGGATCTGTTGCATGGTTGGAAAGTGATGGTTGATTGCTTGGATCCCTTTTGCCTGGGAGATTGAGCTCTGTGGGGTGCTGGGTATGTAATTGGGGTTGAGCAAGGAGGCTAATTGATGTGGGTCCAGGACATTTCTGTTGGGTAGTAAGGCATGGTATTCTCCAGGAATTTTTTGTTGATGAGTTCACATCATTGAATGAAGTCAGGGCAGGTGCAGTTTCAACTGGCATGGTGGTGACTTTGGCAGTTGATACATACAGTATTGTGGGAGGTGCATTCTGTGGTGTGGTGTTGGTTGCTGCAGGTGCCACATACATCAAGTGTTGCAGAGCAGTTTCATGCTATATGTCTGTACCTCTGACATTTAGTGCACCAGATGGGCTCACATTTGTCCTTGGGGACTGCAATGCATTCATTTTGGATGCAAATGCCTTCTTTGAGGATGAGGATTGCCATATGGGGGTCTGCAATGTGAATCAGTGTGAAAGCCTTGCATTGGGTTGCAGATCTGTGCTGGGGGGGCTTGATCCAGTGAGTAGTCACAATTGAGTTGATCAGGAGATTGTTGTCTTGCTTGACTGAACAGAGGAAGGCGTCATCTTGAATTTAGAGCTGGATGGGGAGGTATTCAGCAATGATAGGGTCAGTATGAGTGCAAAATGATACTGTGTTTCCAAAGTGTTTGGTTAAGGCTTCTTTACTTGTCATTTCATGGAGCCAGGATGCTAGGGATTCAGTCTCAAGTTCAATTATGAAGCTTCTGTTGTATAGTGCAGTGATGGATCTGATGTCCCCAACTGGGGTGTCTGGCTTGCAGATGTTGGCAAGGGCTGCCTTCATTTTCTTGACCATGTCAGCATGCAGAGTGCCTGGTGGGAAGAGGTTGTTACCTGGCATGGGGTCAAGTAGGATTTCCCATGCACAGATGGCTGCTCTCCCAATGGCTTTATCAATAGAAGGAGTCAAGTTGGCAGCCATGACGGAACTGTATGTTTGATGTTGGTTTTGAGTGGTAGTGCCAGTTTCCATGTTGTCATTGTCATTGTCATGTTAGGTAGGTGTGTGTTGGGTCAGGAGCTGGGTTGACAGAGTGTTGAGGCATTCTTGGGTGGTGTCAAGTGACGGGGAGAGGAGTTTCAGGGCATTCTGACATTCTTCTACTATCATGTGAAATTTGTCAGCTACTGTTTCAATACATGATGCTGAGATCTGTAAACTGTCATTCATTTTGTCTCTGTCATTTGCTATGGCTTTGTGGACTGCCTCTGTTCAATCCAAGGTATTTGAGAGTAGGTCAGAGGTGGTTAGTAACTTTGCCATCTGTGGTGCTATAGCTCCCATGACGTGTTCTATGATGCATGGGGTGAGGGTGTCCAAGATTTGTCTTGCTACCTCTGTTGCCATTTCGCAGGCTGCATGCTTTTTGAGGATGTATGCAGCCACACATATGGCAGTAGTGACAGGGAGAGGGGTAGTATCTCGCATTTGCATTATCTGAAATAGAATGGATATTACATGAGTTAGGGTAAAGGTTTCATCAGGGAGGCTAAGGAGGTTTTTGTTGAGGTATTTTTCTGCCGATGTATAGTCATTCACTTGATTAGACATTGCTTTGATTTCATTCTGTGTTAACGGGGTTTTCATTGACTGTCAGGTAGCTGGGCCTGCAGAGGGGGAGATGTTGTTCAAGCCAGTGAGCCTGATCTTCACTCCCTTTGTTGCAGGCACATTGGTCTGTTTTTGATATCTATGTTTATATTTTTGAGTTTTATAGGGATTTCAGAGAGATACTTAGATGCCTGTGGGTGTCATTTACACTGTTGAGCATGATGTTGAAAATTTTGTTTTCAGGGTCCTACTTGGGGTGGCACTTGGTGTAAGTCCAAGAAGCGGTTTGTGGCAGTGGGTTTTAAATTGATGAGTTGGACTTCAATGAACCAATGATGCAGTGCAATCACATGCCCACATTTCTGACCAATCCTTTTCTACCAATTAGGGCCTCATGCAGGAACCCTGTGACCTGAGATCGAGATACTGATTGCCTTGATTGATGGCTAATAGTACTCAGGTGCTTAGATGGTCTCCACATTGTCCACTCTTACAGATCCTTGTGACCTAATATTGATATTCCAAATGATTAAAGCCACATTGATATCTGACTTATAGTGACTCCTTGTGTATGCCTCATGTGGTGTACAGCTCCATACCCATTGCCCATTGAACCCATGGTGCAAGTTCACTTATGCACCACTACTTTGGGCACAACCACCAATTGAAGGTCAACCCAACCCTAACCCTAGTCCAAATATAGAATGTGCACTTGAGCTGTTCAGTTTTAGTTCACAACTGTTACAATCGCAGTTACCCCCTATCTCTTTACTCTTTCTTTACTCGTGTATTACGTCATGACCGCACCCGTCTGTGCCATCATTAGACAACATCCTTCTATATCTGTATTATAGCATGATCGCTACATGCCGTCACTAGCTGACTCATATCTCTGACTCGTCTTGATGACGTATGCTTACCGGACCTCTTATCTCTGACTCGTCTTGATGATGTATGCTTACTGATCCCTTATCTCTGACTCATCTTGATGATGCGTACAATACCGGCCCTAAATCTCTTACGTCTATATAAACCCGGTCTTGTACTTAGCTAGAACTTCACTTTAATCTACTAGGTTTTACCTGAACTATCCTTCGCTTAGGACCCCCAATCCTAAGTCATCTGATAAACGATATTCAAGTCGAAGACACTCTCTTTGACTTGTCTTAAAGAACCTTACATTTGTAAGGACACGATCCGGCTTTAGGCATACTCTTATCAAGTACCTATCATCACGCCTATCCTAGTCAACCTACGGTTCACCGTAACAACAACTAGAGTCTTGCTGAAATAGACAGGGGAATGTACAGATTAAATTTATGTAAGTTCAAGTATTCAGAATGTGGAGTTGTTACAAAGGGGCTGAATTGACTAATCTTACAAGTTTATAGGAAGCTGACAAAGTGCAGAGGTGACGGACCGGAATTTTCTCGATCACGTGACTATCGAAGACACGCACTTAGTCATCCTGCCCGCCCGTCCCACGCGTACTTACCTTTGGGGTGCGAAAGTAGTTACACCCCCAACTCCAAGTCTGACACGATGCTTCCTCCAACCTACCGAAAGCATCGATCGGATGCAGGTCCATCATGATAGTCACTAGTATATTTTCAACATCCGCTACGGCGGACGCTCACTGTGAACTTTGAACCCGGGTCCCTACCTTCGTTGGCGGAATCAACATCGATCAAATACTCACTCTCAGTGTGCATGTCGATCCACGGCTCACCAGTGATCCAAGCGATGCAGGGTGTTGCTATGAGCCTGCGATGCTTGTCCTCCTGTCATAATAGTAATACGCGTCTGTCGACGGCTTGCCTCGTATAGAATTCGATTGCGGTGGCCCACAATACCATCATTCACTGGCAAGTTTCATATACATAAACGAAGAATATGGTCTTCCAAGCCCATCATACGTCATGTATAAAGATCGCAACGAACGAACGTGGCGCTTGGAATGGTAAGATGCGCTACTTCTCTGTCGTTTTGGTGGAACTTGACAGTGTTTAAGTTGAGAGTCGGAGTTGTTCTAGGTTTCCTGTTCCATTTTTGCAGGGGTGCGTGTACTGAGCGTTTCGATTATACTTCGCAGCATCAACCTACACGAGACTCTATGAGGTTTAGTGCCCTACCTTTTTAAGCCTGCACCCAGGTCATCACACATGTGTTCCTTGACGGCTCCGTTAACGTCATACACCCCTGCACTATTGTACGCTGGTCCACATGTTCCCCGCTTGATTGGAATGTGACCCTCAAACGCATCTTTTTACAGTGCCTCAGAGAAGTGAGGAATAGCAACATTCTACGGGGATTTCCTCGATTAGAGACCATCGGGCCTCTATGCTTCCAAAAATCCTGCAAGGAAAATTTTGGGCCGCCGGCAGTTGCAGGCAAGTTGTGTGCAGTGGACAGGGTCGAATTTTAGCCTAATTAAAGGTCATAAACATTCAGTTTGTGACGCCACCATGGACATACACTAAGACTTGTTGCATTAGTACGTACAGATTGCCGTCGAACCGGAGGAGTGGAGATCTCTTTCGTGGACCTCATGCATCCCGCCTAAACCAACAGATCGCTTGGCAGCCGAAAGACAACGAGTTTATCGGCGGTGACACCCTGTCAGGTTATGGAGCCCTGGATGTTTATTGATGAAGTCACATCCCCGCTGCACAGACACGAAGCCAAGTCCCTAACTAAGCCCTGCCTCTACTCCGCTCCTCGTGTTTTAGATGTGAGATTGAGTTGCGAATTCTGGTTTCGTACTTGGAGATTTACTACCACAGGAGTAAATAAATGTGTATATAAAACATTGGTACTGGTATGTTACATCGAATCATAAGTCCGTAGAAGCACTAATTGTAAACATGACAGTGAATAAGCACCACAAAACGAGTTAAAGTAGCCATCATCTGGGCACGTCCTGGCGTTTGTCCATGTTGAAAAGTCCCCCATCCACGCACTGCTGACCCGAGCAATTCTCCTTATGACTACTAAGAGTGTTCCTGCGCGAGAACTTGCTCCCACAGTCGCAGAAGTATACAATCCCCATATGGATCTCTTCCACATGCTCGTACAGGCTCTCAATATTGAACTCCTGACCACAATGGTTCCATTTGCACTCGGCGCGCGCGCTCCCTTTCCCATGAATCCCGTGAATTTCATGTAAGTGAGCAGACAGATTGATGCCACGAATCAAGTAGTTGCAGTGCAACCCGTGCGGATAACCCCACATGCACTGGAAGGTCTCTTCGCGAGAATGGGCAACCTGAAAGTGCTGATTAGATGCAGCGATGCACGGTCAGAATATTGATGATTTAAACCTACAGGTACCGCTACAGTGGAGGAATCAGACAATCCGTTGCTAGAACAGCTATAAAAACGGTTTGACATGGTATGGTCGAGGGGAACTGTGTGCTTTGTGCAGCTGGAATATCTGAGTGAGCAGTGACCTGGCGAGATATGAAGGGCATCAGCAATGTACTTATACTCTTCCCCCCCCCCCCCAGCTATCAATACGAGATGATGTATACAGCATGTTTATCACACTTGCCAATTAATCAAGAGGAGCACCCGGTTACGTTTAAACTTGTGCATATTCTACGGGAGTGATCAAATTAAATTATCGGGCCAATCAGCCACAGTGCTGGCCAACTTGTCCCAGAATGCCAAAGTTCCACACAGCATTGTGCGCCAACTTGCCGTCCACTTCGGCAAACAAACTTGATTGCCGCCCTAAATAAGCGCCTTAATTCGGCGAGAAAGATAGCGAGAGCTATTGCGACACGGTGTAGGCGGTAAAATAATAGTATCATGTCGATATCAAATACCAGAGATCTAGCTTCAGTCTAGAGGCGACACAACAAAGCGATATTTCTAATTCACTTTCTCTAAGTTAGCGCGGGCTAGCAGTGCAAAGCGCCAAACCCAGACTTCAGGCAGCATATACATGCTAACCAAATGCTTACACTGTGTCTGATGGAACCCGAAGGTAATTAAAAATTGGATGGGCGGAGGGGACTAATAATCACGAGATATCAGCAAATTTCAATCGAACCAGCGCCCTGCAAGAGAAATGGATTTTGAACGTATCAAAAAACTATTGTCCACGAGTTTAGAACCGGTACGGGGTCTAGGAACGAATTTCAAATCTGTTGAGGTCCCCGCTTGGCTATGACTGGTTGAGAAGGACCTTCCTTGAGATTCCTCCCCAAGGATTTATTCATGAATTTATGGCCAAGGTGTGGTCATCAAAAAAAACGGTCGTCGGCAAGTTTTGAACGTGCACCAGGAGGAACAGATTTTTAATCTGCCGCACTAACCCTTTGGTTAAGGCTAGTTAAGGTGAACAAGCAAGGAACTGACCGTGAGTGAATTGAGAGGAGTCATGGAGAATTAGATGATGTGATATAAAATATCGATGATCATTAAAGTTGACTGTCTGTGTATTGAATAGACACGCAACCAATCCAGAGCAAGAAACGAGTTTAGAATCCGGCTTATCGTATGGTCAAGATGCGATGGTGTCCCAGTCGCCACTGCGGCACCAGGAAGCCATGGATGTCGTGGCTTGCTGCAATGGTACCCCGTTGGTATGAGGTCGAGAAGAGCCAGCAGCTGTCTTCTTTCTTGTATGATAGTTCCTCTATATAAAAACGAGTGAGTGACAGAGATGAACCGAGAAGTACTACAAGCTGGTAAGGGACATCGACTATGTGTGGCTCTCGCAACTCGATATCTGATGCATCTCCTTTGCGTAGCATGCCAGAGATGACGTGCCACTCGAGCACAGCTGAGGGTATGTGACGGAGACCGGGTGTCGTACTCAGTTGCTCCGTTCGAATTGGAGCGTAGTAGGGACCGAGGAGGGTGCGTTGAGCGCTGTGATGGTCACGTCGCCTATTGGAGGTAGAGAACTAACACTATACTGTTCAAGAGGAACTGAGATATACAAGGTTGTAGGGCACGTACATCAGCATCCTCGGCGTATTTGATGAGCATCGCTCGCCGTGTATACCGTAGTGTGGTTGTCGTAGCAGTCAGTGACTTTCCATTTGCAGAAAAGGCCGTAAATTCCACCTAGGTTTGATGGTGGACCGATAGGTTCAAGGTCCCGTATACTAGTTGCGCTGTCTTGTCGCATCATACACTCACGAGAATGCAATCATGGTGAAATTGCATTATGTAATACAAGTGCTCTGTCCAGGTGGCTGTGTTCCCTTGAGCGGCGTGCTTCCATCCGAGGTCCATGCTCAGAACAGCTGACACCGGTACCACCTACCTTAACCGTCTTAAGGATTTTGCCTGTTTTGGCATCCCAGACTTTCAGCGAGCGCCCGCCCGTCGCGATCATCGTATCTGGTAAGTAGCAAACAGAGCCTCCACACGCCGTCACGGTACCAGTTCCCTGCCTCATGATCAGTAGTTCAATGGTCTCGCCGCTCTCAATATTCCACACTCTAACTGTTCCACCGAACAACCTGCTCGTCACTCAGTCCTTACTTAGACTCCAGTAGACAGACCACAATCACCTTGTGTGCCACGTCCACTTTTCTATGACTTTGGGCGCCCGTGTCAGAATCTAACTGCGCCATCTTCACTCCCGCCTGTTACTTTCCTGCTGTCTGGTGACAATGCTATTGTGGGCACTCCTCCATTGCCTTCGTCCTGCGAGGCCTTCCCAACCCTGCATGCCGTTCCCTAAGTCCAGGCAGGCGTAAAATGCCATACTAGACGGTACAGGCGTGTCCTTCTGAGGCGCTCTTGTTGATATTTCTTGCTTCAGGGGCAGCGAAAGGCATCATTCTTGCTCGCGGACGGACGCGGCATAATCTCAGCCCCCCAAGCCACCCCCGAAAGCCACACACACGTTTACCCACAGGTACCCCGCCCCCACCCCTGCGAATTGGAAGCTGTGATGGGGCGGACGGTTTGTAAAATGCACAGGAGGAAAGTCCCTCATCATTCATGCTGTATCCTGATTCCTCGTGTTCGCTTCACAGCTTGACCACGTGACTAGCTGTGCAGCGCCCAAGTCTCGTTTCTGACCACATTGCAGCACAGTTTCTTCATCTCCGTTGAACTCTCAGCATCGCGTCTTGTAGTTGGACCCATCCACCGCATATCGATGCCTAACCTACAAAAAGCTAGGAACAGCATAGATGAAGATATTGACTCCGAATTGTAATTTATGGATATGCGAAGGCAAGTACGCGCAGCAGGCACTAGTTCCTGCCACCGTGCTTATCCAAAACATTTATGATACACGATGAATTTAGCGTGATACGATTCACATCGGTTTCAAATTCATCAGTAGGCCCTTGTTATATATTTCCATCTTTAAGACATTATGTGTTACAGCTCTATGGATCGAGGCAGAGAGTGAGCGGCTAATCGATCGATCACTGCTATCACGCTCCCACGTTGGAGTTCCCAGACCGAGTCAAGGAGGCCAATACGGTGTTCGTGAGTTCATTGAGAATAATGTGGCCATCAACTATAAAATGAGCGTCTACAATTCATAGAGTCAAATTTTGAATCATAGCAGGTTCGAATTTCATCTCTCCTGGTGGATGCTGTCTCATCTACCCTCTTATCTAGGGATGGGCGCCATATATTCATCCAGTATCAAAGAACGTCAATCAAGGGTTGGGACGTATCTGGCTGGGATAATTGATGTGCTACCATGACATCAACTTCACAGAACGTTTAAGCTGGTATCTTTTGCGTGTGCTGTCACGGTGTCGGTATGCCCAACACGAACGTATTGTTGTACATTCACCAAGTTCGCTGCTTGCTCGCATCCGCCCTCTAACAGTGTGGCCCTGATCTCAAATTATCATAGTTGGCGGCCGTTCATCGATGCATATCGTCCTGGTAGCCATTTTGTAGGTTCGTGGAGACCAGTCGGATGATGACGGTGATGTCCCGATCTAGCCGTGGCTGTGGTATCATATTTGAACTTGTGTGTTTGGGAGCCAACTCCCGGCCACTTATTGTGTGTATGTCCCTATACTTGGTGGAAGGTGTCCCTGAACCGCAGATACAATACCTAGGGGTGGCACTAACGAACACATTGGAGACTCTCCCCATCACCAGAAATAGGCCATCCATGTGTTCCTCTCGGAAATAGGGTATGTGCACCCCATGAACTCAGGACTTGTGCTTGATAAATACCCCCTGCAACGAGTCAAACAAGAATCATCTTGGAGGTGCTAGCGTCTTTTCTAGAGGACAGTGGTAGTGGTGTACTAGTATATACATCCCAAATCATGAGTCCGTACAAGCACTAACGAACAGAAGTCATGAATATCATTAGACTCCCTGCGACCAGTCAAGGAATAATCATTTTGGCACGCACTAGCGTCTATCTATGTTATGTAAGAGACTCCCTGCCCGCATACTACTGACCTGAACACTGGCAGGTTTTCTTATGTCTATTAAGAGTGTCTCTGCGCGAGAACGTGGCCCCGCACTCGCAGGGATGTGAAATCCCCATATGGGCCTCTTCTACATGTCTGACGAGTGATTCTTTGTGAAGTTCCCGATCACAACGTTTCCATTTGCAAATGACGCGTGTCTTGTCTGTGCCATGAATTCCGTGAACCTCACGTAAATGAGCGGACAGATTGTGGCCACGAATCAAGGCGTTGCAATACAACCCATGTGCACAATCCCACATACACTGGAACACCTCATCGAGCAAATGCTGAAGCGCCAGCTCTTAGACGCAGCGACGTACGTTAAGAAGATTGAGAACTTACACCCGGTCCCGATGCACTGGAATCAGATACCCCATTGCTCGAGTAGTTGTAAAATCGCATCGACATAGTAGTAGTGTTATGCGTTATGCAGCCTGATGTTCTTTGGATGGAGCGCCGACTCTAGCGCTCGAGATGAGATTGAGAGAGAAGACTCAAAGAAGGCAAGGCAGCCAAACCTGTATCGGTCCGCATGAGCAGCCTACCTAAATATACCAGCCCCGGGCTGTGCGTGGGCAATACTACTTTTACTATCAAACATGAACATGTACGCCACTCATAAGTATGCATCATGTGTTTCACATATAGCTATACAGGCTGTGCACAAGTTCATAACTTCCTGTGCAGCCCTTCGAGTTCCCCTCGCCAATCAGTCCAAGAGCTGTCAAAGAAAATAACTGCGGACTTGCCACTGACCAAGCCAAATCTACAGCATCAGCGAGGAGCGCCGCGCCAAATTGGCAGAAGCTTTGCTTCCCCAGCATCATCACATCGTGAACTCCGCGGATAACTCGTACACCTCCTAAATGATCGCGGCTCGCAGTGGGCTATCAAATAGCCTGAAGTTGTGGGGAGTAATTTTGAGGAGACTTCCACTGCCTTGCCGAGGCGTGTTTGTGAAATTGCTACGATGCCTGCGGCATTTCATAAAGAAGTGCGTGCCCCTCGCGTATACAAGAGATGCCACGGTGTAACAGAAAGAATAGCGCACCATTCAAAAGAGCGAGTGGACCTGTTAATCTAATGAATTCAGCGTGTTTTCGCGAAACTGTTGGCGACCGAGGTGAGCTCTAGACTAGAGCTTCTTCAGTGGCGACGCAGAGAGACAACCCGATTCTGGTTCACTTTCTCATAGACATACACAATGTACATTACACTTACAGTATATATTCCCCTTGGAATCCAATGATCCTTCCCAATCGAAGTTAGAGTTTCAAGCGCTTCAAAAACTGGTCAACCAGATTCTTCGTAAAGTCCTCCACCACCTGGAACCTCGCAATCCCACACACTTCGCTTTCAATGTGCTGCATCAGGCCTGAAACCAACTTGTACTTCCTCTTGCACTTTGGGCACTTGAACTCGTCCGCGTCATGTGTCGGAGAGTTGATATGGGAATTCAGAGCCCCCAAGGTACGGAAAGTACGGTGGCAGAGATAACATTCGTAAGCAGTGCCGTTGAATGCGCGCTCTGTCGCATAGTAAGATACAACGCGGATCGTTCCGCCTTCTATGCGGCGAGAGACCGAAATCGTAGGCACTATCTTGAGTGCATGGACTGCCGCGGTTACTTGTGCTCGTGAGATATTGTGACAAGTCCCCGACTCAATGTGAAGGGCAATTGAAGAAGGGGTCTTAAACCTCTTTGGGCATAGTGGGCACTCGAAATCCAGGCCCCTGTGCACGGGGGAGGATGAGTGCTGTGCAGCAGGGTCTTTATTAATATATGAAGCGTGAAAGCAAGTGCAGGACTTACTTGATCCAATGAAGTCGGGGTGGCGAAATCGCGCGAGCATACAAAGCACCAGTTGTGCTTTGAGCTGGCAGCAAGGTGCTGATAAAGGCTTGCCAGGTCAACAAACCACCTATTGCATCCCACACAAAACGGCTCGTCGTCGTCGTCACTGTCATCGTCACTCTCGAACGCACACTCGTCCGATTCACTGTCGCTGCGATGTACCGCAGCGTTTTGCATGTGCTGACATAAAAGGTACGTGAGTTGGGAGGAAAATGGCAACATGCGCACCGCGCACCTGATCCAGTCCGGTAAAAGTTGAGAATAATCTGTCACAATCCTCGCAGAAGGGGTGGTCATCTTTGTCGCGACAGTGGGCAAACAATGCCTGTGTGGAACGAAACAAACGGTCACATTGATTACACTGCGCCATGATGGTGGAAGTCAAGACAAAGGTCGTCACAAGATCGTCAGAGTCATATTTATTCGAATTTCCAAGTATGAACGCAAGATATCCATGAGGCGCATGTGAGGCTGTAACGAAGAAGCTTGAAGGGGGCACAAATATTTGCCAGATGTTTAAGGCGACTCTGACTCATGTGATAAGAATACTTCCTCATGATACGGATGTCCCTACGTTACCATGATGATTCTGTTGTAGTGAGACATCTGACATAGGGGCATGCGTATCAAACAAGGTTGTGATACGCTTTGGCTCAGTTAGCCAGCCGTCTCCAGCTGCTACTGGCTTGCAGCCGTATGGAACAGAACGCTGCGTGACAGGTATCACTGTGATAAGAAAATGGGGGAGACAGCGAGAAACGACAAGAACATGCAAGTGTGTGCGAGAAGTCGAGAAGTGAGTGGTCAGGCAGGAGGCCCTTAGCTTTCAAAAATAGTGTTTATCTGAAACAGCACAGAAAGTCCAACGACGAGAAGAAAGAAATTTGTTCTGGTTTGGAGTTGTGGCTGTGTTCGCACCAAGGCGTGCCTACTGCGTGTTTCGCAGTTCAAGTCACGGTCTAGCTTCGTTCATTTCTGTAATTCTTTGCCCTTGTCCATCATCATATAGTCTGCCCATCATGTCAACCGGTCTCGGTTCAGAAATTGTCTCTGTTATCAACAAACTGCAAGACGTATTCTCGGCCGTTGGTTCCTCAGCATCCCAAATAGACCTACCACAGATTTGCGTGCTTGGAAGTCAAAGTAGTGGTAAGAGTAGTGTACTTGAGGTGTGTACCGCGATATTCGATGTATATGAAGTGCACTACTTACATCAATGCATTAGAACATCGTTGGAAGAGATTTCCTTCCTCGTGGCACTGGTATCGTGACACGGCGACCACTAGTCCTTCAACTCATCAATCGTCCCGCAACTGCGCCGCAAGCGAATGGAACAACAAATGGTATGCTTCTTTCTTTGACTCTGTTCACCTAGCTGACTTGTGATAGCACAATTAAATGGCAGTGATAAGCAAGCGAACGAATCGGAGTGGGGTGAATTCCTGCACCTTCCTGGCGAAAAGTTTTATGACTTCAACAAAATCCGTACCGAAATTGTTCGAGATACAGAAGCTAAGACTGGCCGCAATGCAGGCATCTCACCACAACCCATCAACCTGCGTATATTCTCTCCCAATGTCCTTACTCTCACTCTCGTCGACTTGCCCGGTCTAACCAAAGTCCCTGTCGGAGACCAACCCAAAGATATCGAAAAGCAAATCAAGGACATGCTTGTCAAGTATATCTCGCGGCCAGCATGTATCATCTTGGCTGTCACCGCTGCCAATACAGACTTGGCAAACTCCGATGGTTTGAAGTTAGCTCGGGAGGTTGACCCAGAAGGAACGAGAACAATTGGTGTTTTGACCAAGGTCGACCTTATGTAGGTCCATGCTTTGATAACGGTGTAGTTCTCGAAGCTAACGCACCGAAAGGGATCAAGGAACGGACGTTGTGGACATCCTTGCAGGGCGCGTCATTCCGTTACGTTTGGGATACGTGCCAGTGGTAAACCGAGGGCAACGCGACATTGACACATCCAAGTCAATCAGTGCTGCATTGGATGCAGAGCGCAGCTTCTTCGAGTTGCACCCTTCATACAAAGGGAAAGCCCAATATTGCGGAACACCTTTCCTTGCCCGTAAGCTCAACTTGGTGCGTGCCTCAATTACTCCCCACGCACAGCAGATTTGTCACTAACATCTTACTCCCGTCTTAGATTCTCATGCAACACATTCGTGCCACTCTGCCCGACATCAAAGCTCGTATAAGCCAGCAGCTTCAAAAATTCACTGCCGAGCTGGCTACCTTGGGCGGTCCTTTGGGTGATGCATCCTCTGGCAACATAGTCCTTTCGGTCATTACGGAGTTCACAAATGAATTCAGAACAGTCATTGACGGTAACACCAACGACCTCTCGCTGAATGAATTGAGCGGTGGTGCACGAATCAGCTTCGTCTTCCACGAGCTGTTCAATAATGGTGTGAAGAGTATCGACCCTTTCGATCAGGTCAAAGATGGGGATATCCGAACTATCTTGTACAATTCTTCGGTGGGTTTGTTACTCGCATAACCGGAGACTGCTGAATTAAATTTCTTAATGCAGGGTCAAACACCATCACTTTTTGTTGGCACGCAAGCCTTTGAAATCATTGTCAAGCAACAGATCAAGCGACTGGAAGAGCCGAGTGTTAAATGCTGTCAGCTTGTATATGACGAACTCATTCGTATTCTCGGACAACTGCTACAGAAAATCGTACGTATTCACACAACCGACGAATGCAATAAAGTGCTAATGGTATCGTACAGCAAGCCTTCAGACGTTTCCCTGCGCTCCGGGAGCGCTTCAACTCCGTTGTAATTAATTTCTTCAAGACTGCGATGAATCCCACTACGAAGCTTGTAATGGACATGGTTTCGTGCGTCCATAACAGCAGATATTATATTTTTTCTACATTCTTATGCACTTGATGATTAGGATGCAAGCATGTTATGTCAACACGACTCATCCCGACTTCCTTAACGGACACAGGGCAAGTATATATGACTTTGATGATCCTTTATTAGCTCATGCATCCTGCACAGGCTATGTCAATAGTTCAAGATAGATTGAACGTCAACAAGCCTCCAACCCCAGTCCCAGACGCCAAGTCAGGGAAGCTTGCCCCGGGTCAAATCAACAATAACCGTGACTTGGATGTTGATATCAAGAAGGAAGAGCCGAGTTTCTTTGGCTCATTCTTCTCGTCTGCCAAGAAGGGGCAGCCTAAGAAGGCCGGTCCCATCATGGAAGCGGTACGTCCTTCTCATATACCTGAATATTCCGCAGCTTATACTCGTGTTTCTTAGCCTCCAGCAGTGATTAGACCCCTGTCCGCTCTCAGTGAGAGGGAAACAATGGAAACCGATGTTATCAGTACGTCATATTTACACGTTTCTTCACTCGCACAATTAATTTGACCTCAGAGCTACTGATCCATTCGTATTTCAACATCGTCAAACGCGAAATGATCGACATGGTTCCAAAGGCTATTGTGCTAACGCTTGTCAATCACTCGAAAGAGAACTTGCAACGCGAGCTTCTCCAAGAGTTGTATAAACCTGAAGTGCTCGATGACTTGATGAAGGAGAGTGACTTTGTTGTCAATCGCCGGAAGGAGGTTGTTAGCATGGTTACAGCACTGAACAAGGCTGAAGAGTACGTTGAATCTTCTCCCATCAGACTTGATACTCTACTGACTATGCATTGTCATATAGGATCGTTGCTGGGGTTTAGACACGTCAAATATTGGGAGGTTTCATTGCAGGTTCTCTACATGACCTCGTTCGTTGTGCTTATGGACTGACTACTAGTATTAATACCCTCTACACAATATGTTCTACCTGGTGTTAGTCTCCATACTTCCTATTGTTACAGTTTTTGACATCCACCGGTGTGCGCTAGTTGAACGTTAAAGTTGATTGGTTTAGCGTGTGTTCTTTTAATCCCCCTTGGAGTTGTTCGACACGACGATCTTTCCAAAACCAACAGTCTGATCTACTTTCGATGGAATAAGCTATGAGGTACAAACGATAGAAGCTTCCGTCCTCCATTACACTTCAGGGGATCTTTGCCTCATCTACCAGATTTACAATATGCTGTGCTTCAGCACTTCAGCCGAGGTTGAGCCGGAACATGTCATTGAGCCTGCAAACGATTTCTAAGGAAGATTTCAGCACCAGGTTGATGAACATACACGTAGAATGATTCGCCCTCCTTTGCCAGCACAAACACCTGGGAGAACTGCAACTCTTGGTCTCCGTCCACCTACATCATCTTCAGGAGCTAGATCGCGCGATTGATCAATAAGAAGACGAACCCTTAGTAGCCCTGTCACGTTGATCAAGAGAGTACTCATATCAAGGGATGACGGCTGCGCGTCAAATGTGCTGATCTTGTGGGCGACCTTTTGAAAAGGTAGATCCTGAACCATACGGAAGAACAGTGAGCGATACGTGTTGAAATACAATCAGACTTACGGTCAGATGCTGCACGATGTTAGATCCACCCTGGACCGGTTTGCCCTCCCATGTCAGCATGGAGTGCGGCCGCTAGAAGTTGTCAAAAAGTGTTTGAATACCGGAAAGTTGCAAATACACCGTGACGAAGTGCTTACATACAAAGGGGCCAGGCTCTCCCGGCCTTGTGCGAATTGTGAGTAGTAGAAGTCAGTAAACTGCTTTGCTATAGCAGTGATATCCATTGTGTTCAAAAACTAAGACACAGACGATTGCAGAGATGGTGGTAGTAGGGCAAGGTAGTAAGCAACTTGCCAAGTCTAAGTTGCAATCGATGACCTTCCCAATTTGGGTTATCAACGTTTCGGCTGTGATTCTCACTCGCAAGATGACAGCTGTTTTCCAGGCTGCTCTTCCGCCAAGCAGTCCACCAATGACAGAGTCGTCTCGTCCAACTATGCGCAGGAAGAGTTCGGCGCAGAACTTGCTGTCGTCGTTTAAGCCTGCGAACGGCGCTGGCAACGCAGCAACGATGGGCAGCATATCATCGGCTACCAGCGTCGCTTATACTTCAGTCTCCACACCAACTACAATTCCTGCATCCGGCAGGGAATGGGATGGCCAGTCTGTTCACTCTGACACGCTTTCATCTAATGCCACGTTGGTGGGCACTGGCACACCGGTCATTGCGCAGGGAACCTCTGTCGAATATCTCCGAGATTTGGTGCAGAAGCGGATCATCACGTTAACTTACATGCGAAATGTTCATGAAGGGTGTGTTCGGTCTGCCCTTATATCACTTCCTAGAGCTCATGACTGCACACAGGAGAAGTCATTGGTTCCATACAATTATGATGTCCAGGACTGAACTCGACAAGGCATTCAATAACTTAGCCATGCGCAAACGGTGCGGCAAGCCCCGGGATTATTACTTATAACGATTTTGCTGAGATATTATGAGACAGGACATATCGATTTGCTATCCTTGCAATGTCTCTTTCAAATCTGTTAGATATTCCTCAAGTTCAAGACTTTCTTCGCGGACTAATGAATACCATGAATGAATATGACCAAGCAAAGGAGGAACCTGACCGTCAGCCAAAGATCGTAAGCTTTTATCCAACAACCATGGGTCGTTCACGGCTTACTGCAGGTCCAGCGGTTATTCCGGCCCAGAGTATCAAAGCGGCAGGCTGCTGGCGGTTTCGCTGAATATACTGTACCATATACGGACGGATCGGAAACATCATACCTCGTTTCACCTCATATAGTGCGTTCCCTGCGGGTTTGACAGTATTCTAATTAACTGAAATGTTCACAGCCATTCCCTCTAGACTATCATCAGACCCTTCTCTCCCTCCTGGATGTCATCTCGGAAGTATATAATAAAATATCTCGAATACTGGGCCCCTCACCATTTCCAAACTCTGGACAACACATGATGGGACCTCTCGGACTTCTCGCACCACATCCTGGTGTTTCGTATTTGTTCTCTGGCGCCGACTCCAATGTGAAGCAAATGGACGACGGTGACTCCAGCCTGTGGGGTATCGCAAACGTACATGGTGGCTACGGCGGTGCTCTTGGAAGCCCGCCACCTAGCTGGACGCCCGGGATGGGAGATATGCTCCTAAAAGTGGACACGAAATTCAAGGTAATAAATTCGGGATGACATGGAAACATGGATATTGAACAAAACACGACAGAAAATAACGTCAGCATTATTGAAAGAGTTAGACCAGGTCGCTCGAAACGGAATCAAGGATGAGTTGACGTCTCTCGATCCACTCCTTCGGAATGTTGCTTCACCCGACGATGGAAAAGAGATGTATGATTTTGAAGGCATTTTCTGACTCACTGGAATCATTCGCGGATATAAATTGTACTTTTATATACCCACCCCATTTGCATGTAGAATAGTGTATCATTCATCTCTTGATGGACGTTCGTATTTATTATGTCGTGCAACGAACCTGAAGTGCGTGACGTCAGAACGCGAAAAGTCACACAGGTCACATGTGGGACAGTGGAATTACGCGACCACAACGCGTTGCTAGTGCCAGAACCTCTTTGCTCCTTTCTTTTTGGAACCTTTGGACGAGTTCTTCTAGCATCCTTCTATTCTTGAAATCTTTTATCTACCACAAAGTTCAAACTCTCGTCCCACCGAGCTTCATGCCAACGAATAACGTTCAAGCTCTTCTTTCCACAAATATCCCAGACCCGAGCGATTTCCCTATGCCAGACTTGCGACAACTGGATGCGAGTATGCGGTGCACAATTTGCGGCGAATTGTACGATGCACCCATAACGCTTGCCTGCGGGCACTGCTTCTGCTCACTCGTGGGTGCCTTACCCCCTTTCTCATGCAGCCTGTCATCTGAATGTTGCCGGTAGTGTATTCGGGAACATATTGTCAAAGAATCGGAGTGCCCAAGCTGCAGGAAGCCGACAAGTGAAGGACAATTTAGGACAAATCCAGTTCTCGAGGAAGCAGTGAGTGCATGGAAAACTGCACGGTGAGTCCTGCATCCCCCCTTGCGTAGATGCAGTTTCAACAAGTACAGGTCAACTATCCTCCGGCTCTCCCGTGAAGAACAAGACCGCACCAGAAGGAGTCAAGAAGAGCAAACACCCCGCCGGTCCAAAACCCCATTGACCAACGGTAAGAAGCGCAAGCGGCGCGTCAGCTCAATGTCTTCCGATTCAGATGTTGTTATTGTTCCGGGTCCTTCTAATTCAAGCCAGCTCACCTCTTCCCCGGTACCAAACAAGTCCAGGCGTTTGAGACGGCAAGACATGGAGCCTTCGTCCGATCCACAAGAGGAAGAAATAGTGCAAGGTTTGGGTGTCCTTGTATATTGTGGCACAGTAGTGCTCAATTCGTACTTAGGGGGTCGGATGGTAAACTGTCCTATCTGCAACGTGTCCATTGTCATGGGGGATATCAACACGCATTTAGACTCGGGATGCCAGAAATTCCCATCCGGTGCTGTGGCATCAGGCACAAAAGATCAATGGTCAAAGTTATTTTTAAAAAAGGGGAAGAGTAGGGACAACGGGTAAGCGTTGGTTTAATTCTGACCATAACGAACTGACAAGAACGTGGAGGCAGGATTGACGTGGATGATGCAACGGAGCGCATACCCAAGGCCTCATATGATGTATTGAAGGACAAACAAGTCAAAGACTTGTTGCATACTCACAATTTACCCATCATCGGTGACCGGAAAACGTGGATCGCTCGGCATCAACGGTGTGTGACTTCTTGGTTCCAATTAAATCCGCAGTTATCAATGGATCTTAGCTGGGTTATGATTTTTAATGCCAATTTGGATAAATCTGGATCTAACAGGAAGACTACGAAAGAATTACGCAATGAATTGAAGAATTGGGAAGATAGTAGAAAGCGAAGACATCTTGTGGATAATACAGCAACTCACATGGTGGGTCTTCCGTTCCTTCTATTGCTGAGAATGCTTATCGCAAGCTGTAGTTGAACAATCAAGGAGAGTTTGCACGGCTAATTGCCGAAGCACGGGACAGCAAGGCTAGAAAAGACTCCAGTCCAACAATCGTGCGGCAACATCCTCAGGACGATAACGTTGTTGGAGATTCTGAAGATGATCAATCGCTTTCGTAAGCCAACTATCCCTATCTAAAAATGTGGCTTGGATGCTGCAGACATGTATCGTACGTTGTGTTTTGTCGTGCTTTTCGGCAGGTAGCGAGCGCTCGATGTGAAGACACCCTTACTTTCTCGCCAGCTACTCCAGAGCTGGGCGGGTAACGTGTAATCAATTTCTTTTGACCCTCAGATTTGGGTACACAATGCCCTTTTCCATTGATCCTCGTTCAAGTGGTCCACTCGGTTTCGTTGGCGGTCGCGTATGAGTTCAAAACCAGGTACACACCTTCGTGGAGCAGTTTCCCAACACGTTTCAAGAAAACCCGAAGCTTCTCCTTTGTGTTGTTGCAGAGCCTCCGCTAAGTGCCCGTGCCACAGTAGCCTTTGTCCCAGTGGCGATCAGTCCACAGTAGTCCACAATTTAACTGCTTTTTCTGACAGTCAGACGAGTCTGAGTGGCAAAGTACTGTATATAAACTTGATGGATCTGTATGATACACTAAACATTATTCTGAACATGAGCAGGCTCACCCCACCACTGTCGGTTAGCGATTCTATATCTCGTAGGAAATCGCAAACTAACGCAACATTCATACAGCTTCTTAGTAATTTAAGCGCTCTGTCGGCATCAACCACAGCAGAGGTAAGTTTAAATGGAACATGCCAGGTGTTGGGTGACTTGACTGCCATTCAGGAAGAGAACACTGCATTTGTGACTGAGCAGTTTCTCCCCCGCAAGCAAGATGCCGTGTTTGGAGATCCGTTTGTCTTCCAAACGTCAGCAACCAATCAGCATATTCGCGCGAGGCTCATCATGCTCTCACCGTTCCCATCTGATACTGCTCCGTTGGCCAAATCGGTAGCATATCTTTCTAGTCGCTTTGGATCCATCAAGGCCGAAGTTGTAAGTGTATCCCACCAGGTGGTCACTTAGGTGACCGACCAATAATGAAATGACTGCATTTAGTAATCTTGGCTTCTTTAGTTTCGTACACCTGGTGCAGAGAACCACTTCTTTCGCCTTCATATTTTCGCATGCTCAGCCGGTGTGAAAATTACACTACCCCCCTCTTTCCGGGGTATTGTGTCCATCAACGACTACGAGGGTCTACGTCGTCGTCGGCAAATTCGTTGTGGTCGTACCTTCAACGAACGAATGCGCCGTGGTTTTATCAGGCTTGGTTCCTGTGCGCTCGAAAATGACGACGAAGTTTTCATCCACGCCGAGGGAAAGATCGAGCTAATGCTGAGAACGGAGAGTGATGTCAATGATAGGGTTTGGTCTCGCATGGATCGTGGCATGCGGAAGATTTTTCAACGGCGCCTAGGTTCTTCTAGGCTGTTAGACTCAGCTTTGGGCGCTGCAGGTGGTTCTTGAAGACGTTTCTCTGTGTATTGTACTGCTCAGTGCTGTCTGGATACAGCTATGTACAACTTGAAACTCGTAATAGGCATTGTTGTGGTATCGGAATGATGGCCACGTGTTGGCAGGACACGAGCGAGGCACGCGGAGTACATTGTCGAGCCGAAGTAGAAGGCATAATTGTTCTCGCCTTCAGAGAATCAAGATTGCAAGCGCGCTTTTTTGTTTCCGAGTACAAGACTACCCAAATAAGGCATAAGGGAAACGATTTGCGGGATCATGACTCCGTCTCGGTGACGTATAGTGACCGCCCTTCCCAAACCCTTAAATATGCAGAGCCTTGGGAGAGTTCCCGACCCAAGGACGCACTTCGTATTCTTGTCCCCGCTCGTATTTGTTCATCACGATATTTCGTTCACTACTGGATTAATTTGCGCGTCATGTCGAGATATTCGAACTGCTCAATGTCATCAGACTCGGAGGTCAGTTTCGTCCTTCAAACACAGTATAACGTCGAGCTAAAGTCTGCCTTAGAGTTCATTATCACTCAAAAAGACTCATTTATTGGTACAACACAATCCTCTTTGCCGTATTTGCGTGCCAGTAGCTGACCCTATTGCACAGAGGATTAAGCCAACTGGCACTCGTAAGATTCACTACAACGCTCTGAGCGACTACGATTTTATGCTCAAGACACCGAAGCCCATTGATATATCTCTGGCGCTCCCACACTATCGTGCGCGCAATCAGCCGGTAGACCACCGTTTGGCTATGTTCATCAGTAACGAGACGTCACCGATTAAGCTCAAAGTTGTAAGTGCCATATCTTGACTTGCTGTATTATGTCTCAACATCTCTACAGTGCCGCTCTGTGCCTCGTTGCAAGTTTTTCCTCGATATCAGAACCACCACTTCCAACGTGACCGTTTGGTTGCCCTCAGATTTTCGAGGTCACATTCGTTGTTCGGGTACACCATCTTTCTCAGCTGGTTTTGTCAACCGCATGATGGCAAATGTCCGTGTGAATGAGGCAATGTCAATGGAAGACAATTGGGACAGCGACGAAGTATGGGTCGATACCCGTGGTCTGGTGACTTTCAGGATGTGGGATCTTCACACCAACGCTCCAGAAAGCCAGCCCAAAGAAACGTTGAAGCGCATTTTTAGTTCGACTTGTAAGAAATTACCGGAGAGGAATGTTAACTGGGATTTTCTTCTTGAGGATTGAGAGCCGGGTTTTCTTGACTTGTTCTGTCGCTCTTTTCGATTTCTGACTTCATTCGAACCCTATACACTTCTTAACACTGACTGCCAATTGATTGGTCTTTAGGTTATCACTCTTTCTTATATCCCAAGTGTAGCATGCTTTCATTCACTCTGCACAAATGTAGCCTTTTTATACCTACCGCAAACATCACTGTATCAATATGATCCTCGACGGACTGACAGACTTATAGTAGGTACACAACATTATAATCGATTCAATTTAATACACAAAGTATTCGGCTATCACATACCAAGACGGCTTGGGAAATTTGACTGTCTATGGTTTGCCGCCGGTAATGAAGGTCTTGCTACACGACCCTGGCTTTCCAACAATAATTGATGCACACTGCCCCTGTAGCAGTTTGATTAAAATTAGCCAGCCTGTTGGACGTAGTCAAATGCTCAAATGCAACCCTACTTTTGTAGACACATGAAGTACATGGTTGTGACCAAGAACGATGGTCGGAAGGCTAGCCGCCAGCCCACCAATTAACCTGTCACCCCCTCAAGGAAAGACTGGTGCAACGCATGTTCGCTTGCAAAGGCATATCAGCCTGAAGGCAGCCTGGCACTGGCTGAAACTTAAAGCGTCAATGCGACTTGTTAGAGTGCTCGGCTACCTCTATTTATCATGTCCGTGTTGAAGTCGAGCTGGAAACCCCTGGCGGCATCGGGATATTTGTGATCCAATACGTCTAAACAGTAGTAGTCCTTAAGCATTACCTAATTCTGCTCGTCATCATTCGCTGCAATGACGGAGATTCTGGTGGGAAGATGGTTGGCCGCAGCACGGTCTTACGACAGTCAGTGCCTACTCAAACAAGGGTGTCTTCCGCAGCCTGTGACGCGGTGAACTCGGCTAGGCTAACCCTGACGGACTTCGTAAAGAGCTTCCCGAGGTGTGACTACTTTTGCAATGCACACTACACCCTTGGACGAATGTCCTCGCTGCGCAGTCACCCGTGGTTGTCGCTTTCGCCGTGTGAAGGTTGATACAGTAGCCGCAAAGACGGGTCCAGTTCGGCATCGGCGTGACATAACTCTCCACGTTCTGAAGGCGGGTAGAGTCGAATCTTGAGCAGGCCAATGGTCCAGTGCACCATCTCATCATCAGTGGCAGGTGAATTTGATAACTGACCGTGTCTTGGACCTGGCATTGATTTGATTGCACCACTCTTTTTCTGGCTTGTTCGATTCACGCGAAGGTAGCGGAAAAAAATCCACGCCCTCCACCTATAGCATAATTGTTCTATGTGCGTCCATTTTTGGGGCTCCTTGTCCACTCCGTAGCATACCAGCCGTTATTGACATCGGTAAAGATCTGGGGTAGGTTACAGCTATAACCGGCCATGTCGGTCTCCAAAAGCTCTGTTTTTTCGTAATGTGCAATCTAGTTGTCGTCGTCTGTATTGTTGCAGTAGAACTTTGCAGCGGACCACAAAATAGCATGAGCGATGATGACTACATCGGACCGCCTGTCGACAGAAAGCTTCATGACATTGGACCCTATCCATTGAACCTGGACGCGATGAGAGCGCACGCAGGAAACCTGATGGGGAAAGTGCGATACAGGCTATGCCGATAGCAAGAAGAGCCACGATGAATCGCGATTAGTCTCCTAGAGAAACATAATGTACTGACACGGTCATAGATCACTTACCAGGAGGAAGATGGATGCTATTTTTGGAACAGTATAACTGCACTTAAGTAGAACAAAGGTGCTACAATCCTGTAAGATAAAGCTATAGATACAACTTGTCATATAAAGGGAATTAACACTTGCTACCGGCTGTCGTGTCGTCCAACAGGCTCAGACACTTTTCTAGTGTCTCCACCAGGGCAGAGTTTTCCAAAGCAGCAGCAACACGCTCCTTATCATTCAACTGTTTATTTACTAAGGTATGGGTCAAAAAGGGGTAGAAGGGGGCAGGAGTTTGGTTGCTAACCTGCAAGTTCACTCTGATGCGATCCTGGTTTTACTCGGATATCCACTTTGAAACGCTGAGGCAAACTTCGCATCAGTCGCACGCGAATGGACAACCCTGAGCAGGTAGTTAAGAGAGATTCTTAAAACGTTGTAAAAACACTCGCCAATCAATGTTGACATCCCACAGTGAGGTACGGTGGGAGTAAACTCGACCATGATGTGATTGTCACCCATTTTAATCTGCTCTGCAGAGACTACCCTGAGTTCTTCAAGAGAATTGGGATGCTCAGGATCTGCGATAGAGCGGATCAAGTCTGTAGAAATGTGTGCGATTTAGGCGAGTTTAGGAGTTAAGAAGGCCTGAAACGTACCAAATATCTCATCCTCGTCGATAGGCTCCACCTCAGACTCGCTGCTGAACTCGGGCTGGTACTGTTCGTCAATCCATAGTGACTGCCCTGCTTCAAATTTCGATTTACGGGTAGAGCGTTTGGAAGCATAGACGGTTGGGTTGGCATTGAAGATTTCTCCGTTCATGGCAGGAGGATTTATGAGTAGATCTTGATTAAGCGGCATTTCAGCATTCTGGAGAGTCGCATTGTCACGTGTCGTGACACAGTGTGTCACAGCGCGCCCTGAACGCGCCAATAATTCCCTTTACCTTTACCCTTTGAACGACCATTTATACCTGCTCTCTTCTGTTGTTTCTCCAGTCTGGCTCCTTTACTTGGATATGCCACCTAAAGCAAGTCTTGTTCACTTTCAAACTTATTTGTCCTTAACGCAGCCATTTCAGCGAAAGCGTGCGGACGCAGACCCCCAAGGGGCTCCTGCAACTCGTTCGACGCGAAGCTCAGCGCGGACCGGTAGGCTCCCATAATCCTAATGATTCCAGTCCGATGAATTGAAATGCAAGGTGGAGGTCAAAACGCCACAACAAGTGTAGCCAGTGTTGGAGCCTCGTACGTCCTGTCTTCTTACTGTGTTCCGTCCTGATGATAATAAAGGCTATGAGTAGTGTCGCAAAAGACAGTTCTGCAGATGGTGTAGATGTGCGCAAGCTTGCCCGGGCTGTTGAACAATCTCCTTTACCACTCACTGTTCCGCAGGTGGCTCCGCCTCAAAAGAAAACAAGAAACACCGGAACGAAAGCAACGTCAAGAGCAATAAAAACAACTACAAAAGGTCGTACCAATACGACGATTGCGTGAGTCTTCCGGCCCTTGTATGCTGTAGTGAACTCACGGAAGACCTCCTTACGCCCAAATTGCTCGCCACGTTCACGAAAGAAGTAATGATGATGTAAGCCTGCGGCAGACATCCTTTTCCCAACTTTATATAACACCATTCCATCGCTTGCAGAAACTCGCCTCGACTAGGTTTGCATTGAACGAGTAAGTCTGCCTTTAGTACACTTCAATCCTGACGGCCACGACGGATCAATCGTATCTCACGACTCAACCTTCACGTCGTTCACGACATTCCTTCATGCGCCTCTCGTCTTTGTTGTGCTGTGTCTCTAACACGCCCGCTCGCAGCGACGAAGTAGATGAGATAAACACGGTGGCGGTACGTGCAACTGGTAATCATCGCTTATACTCTGTACGCCTCTGACGTCATCGTTGTTCCTCTGTTTCCCTAGCCCAAGGAATCCCAAGAAGCCCCCACCGAACCGTATGTCCCTCAGCGGGCGCAAGTCCTGTTCAACTCATTTGCCGATGAAGACGACCGCGATGTGATTGGACCAGGAGGACTGGAAAAATTATGTACGGAGGCTGACATACCGCTTGATGGTGCACAGCCCCTTATCCTTGCGTGGCAGCTAAAGAGTAGCGAAATGGGCAAGTTCACGAGGGCAGAATGGTTGCATGGAATGGGGTTACTTGAGTGAGTCTCTATGGTTTAGTTGTGCTTTGCTATTTCATAATCAAGTGTATCAGAATCTCCTCATTGCCAGTTCTAGCTCAAGCCTTGAGAGAGCTTGAAGATCTTCTTATTCGTGATAAGCAGGCGCTTGCTCGCTCGGCTTCCATTTCGAGTCAAGCAAGGAAGCGTGGTATTGCGAGCACAAAAGAGCCCTACAATCGAACTCGTTACAGGGAGTATGCTTCTGACCGCAAGACTGCTTTCGCAGATCTCTATCAGTTTTGCTTCACGCTTGCTAAGCCACCGTGAGTTTTCAGCTATCTCCGAAAGGTAATCCTTCCGATCATTCATATCAGACAAGCACGAAACATCGACTTAGAGGTAAGGAGCTCTGCGTCCGCGGCGAATCATGTATCTTATCATTCCCAATATAGACAGCTATGGCGCTGTGGTCAGTGCTCCTTGCTCCACGATATCCAATCATCAACGATTTGATCACCTTCTTACCTGTACGTCGCTGTCACCCCTGCCATGGATGCCGCTCATATGTTCCTGTAGGAAAAAGGTACATACAAAGGCGCAAACAAAGATATTTGGAACATGGCAAGTCCTTTCATCATCAGGCATATGACGTACTGATGCAAGATAGGTACACGAGTTCTGCCACGCTGTGGACCCTTCCTTGTCCAGTTACGAAGCTGATGGGGTACGTCACATCTTGCGTGGTAACTATGTGTGCACTAAATCTCGTAGGCTTGGCCATCATTACTTGATGACTTCGTTGCATGGATGAAGAGTAAGACAAATGATGGCGCGGGACCTGTTCCAGCCAAGCAGGAGTGATAGTAATCGTCGCTGTCATACATTGTCGATCACATAATGTCTACTCGATGGCGGGTACGATTGTCGACTGCGAGCATCATTTAGTCATTCATAACAGTAGTCAATACATCTTTTGCATTTGTTGGGTCCTGCCAGTCCTCGATACGTCTCTGAACCCGTACCTTTTGTCCCGACTTCTCATGTTTGCCTCGCATCTCCGCTATCTCTTTCTCAATTGCTGCAATGCGGCGGAATGACGCAGCTAGTGCTTGCACTGATACGCGGGGTGCGTCTTTCACATCGGCAGCGAGGTGAAGTCTGCTCCGACTCCGAAGTTCTGCTTCGGCGCGCTTTCGACGGAGATCGAAGCGCGAGGCGAGCTTTCCTGTGCGAGGTGGTATCGACGGGGGCAGGATGGCAGCCGATGGTTTGATGGTGTCAGGAAGAGGAGGTAAGCCCAGTGACGACCGTACGTCTTTCCAGCGCCCCTCAATGAAGGTGTGAGGGCTGTGCGCACGAGGGTGTTCATCGTGAAGGGTTGCTTTCGAGAATAGCTGGCGTGCCAGCACAGCAGCGAACAGGATAACAATGATGATAATAGCGAGCTGAGAGAGTTGCTTTTGGCGTTGTATGCTATGACCAGCCATGTCAGCCGGCGGGTTGCCAAAAAGCTGAGGTGGGGATTAAATGTTAATTACCTGGACATAATGACCTCGAGACTCATGGTCAGCCACACAATGTACAATACCGTGTTCCAGACGTGTCTGGCCAGGCGCGTTCGATGCACGTGACGAATATCACTCTGACATGCAAGCCAAATGCTCATCGTGTATTAAGTACGACCAGTCAAACTACTGTATGCTTTCTTGCTAGCCTACTCAGTAGTCGTCAACTTCCACGGGCTTCACAGCTTGCATTTTCTCCATCGCCTCCCGGAACTCAGTCTCCGCAAATATGGCAGCTTCCTTGGCCACCTGCAGCTTCTTCTCCAACTCGTCTACTGTCATCGGCCTCATCTTGCCACTGTGTTCTACCATGCCAATATTGTCGAAGCGGCGGAGGGTATTGCCAACCCGAGGCATAAAAATGTGACGATCCCAGCCACTGTCATTGAATGCAAGGACGGCGCGTACCGCAGCTGTGTTGATGTCACGATGAAGTTCCTCGAGCTTGGACAACTGCACTTCCATCCAACGGGCTCGACGCTCAAGGGCGAGCGTCAACGCGGCGACTTCGTCTTCCTTGCCAGCTGTATCATCACCGCCGTCGTCTAAGAAATCATCACCCTTGAGCATGTCACGAAGTACGCCATCAAATGAAGAGCTGTCGTCCCACGTCGTCCGAGGAAGCAGGCGCAGGAGGTCGGAGATAGTCTGTGTCAGTGTCTCCAACAGCTGTTGAAATGAAGACACGGCATTATCGATGGAGCCCGAAGGCATGTTGGTAGCGAATGACCCGCCGCCCACAGAAAGGGCAGACAACGCATGCACCAGGGGACCGTACTCAAGAGGCATCTTGGCAGCGGGATTGATCTTTACTAAGTCAAAGAACGGATGATTTGGAAGATCCATGCTCGGATTCCTCACGTCAATGTCGTCGAGTAGATCAGCAAGTGAGGTAGGTCCCACAGGAGATGATGTATCCACAGACTGCGCCCTCGAGTTGTTTGGGCTAGAGACGACTGTATTCGTAGTCTTGGGAGGTGATGGAAAATTCACAGCCTCTGAAACTGAAATCGATGGTGCAGCCGATGCATCTCCAAGAGTAACCTCATCTTCCTTTGGGATCTTGATTGGACGAGTGATGGGTTTATTCTTCTTTGGCATCTTGGACAGTATGGGGGCTTGTTCCACGGGTTCAGATGTCTTAGATGGAGCGGGGGACTGCTTAGCAGTTGGAGTAGCGGGCGCCTGACCAGAGGAGCCTGCAGACTTCATAGCTTTGACCGCCAACGCAGACTTTGTAGCTTTTTGAGCCTTGGCCTGAGCTACCCTTGCCTTTTCGGCTTGAGTCTTTTCAGCCAGGGCTTGCCTCTCCTTCTCCTTTATGACAGCTCTCTCCATCTCTTCCTCAGCCGCCTTCTCTCGTGCCTGCCTCTCCTTCTCCACTCTCTCCGCTTCTGCTTTCTCCCGTACCAACTTCTCTCGCTCTTCTCTCTCCTTCGCCAGCTTCTCCTTCTCCATAGCCTTCTCTTGCGCAATCCGGGCCTTCTCAGTGGCTTTTGCAGCTGCTTTTTCTTGGGCTGCCTTCTGGCGCTCGAGCGCACGCTCCGCCGCCGCCGCCTTTTTCGCCGCCTTGCGTTCTGCTTTGGCCTGTTCTTTGCTGCCCTCGGCGGGTGATGATGCCTCGCCAGGCCGTACATCAGGCGGAGGCAGCACATCGGCGTTCAGGGCGGGAAAGTCAGCAGACGACAGTGCCGGGACCGGCGAAGGTGAGGACGAAATCGAAGGAGTGACTAAAAGTGAAGTTGGCGAACGAATAGATGGTTAAAAGAAAAAGAGGGAGGGAAACAACCGTTAGTCAGCATGCATCTAACCAAGGCTAAAACCATCGAGGGAGGGGAAAAGGAGGGGACAGAAGAGGAGAATCGAAATAATGTTGGCCGGATGCGAAGGTCCCGGAAGCTCTCATGGCCGGTGGTAGAATCTGCGCACTGCAAGCACGGGGCTCGGTACTCTGACCTGGGACTCCCTCCCCTGAACAAAAGAAAGGGACTCACTATTTGGGTATGCTAGGCCCGGCGGGGGGCCATACGTGGCCGTAGCAGCTGGTGCCGCGGTCGCAATTGCTGGTGTACCAGCACACGACAGACTTGCGGAGGATAGTACGGGCGAAGCGAAACGTGCTGACATGATTGCTGGGTCACTGAAAGGTGCAAACTGGTACTGAGGTTGATCTGAAACTGAAAACAAAAATGCAAAAAAAAACATAGACGGCATCATCATACAAGAAGCATACACGTGAACCACAATGAATCAAATCGAAGCGCAAAAAGTGAAGTGAAGAAAGAGAAAATCGTCAATGCGCAGTCCAGCGGCTTACACAAACAGAAGTCTCCTACCAGCTGTAGCGTTATGCATCTGCATCGAGCCAGCACGCTCCCTGCTCGACTGAATCAGCTCACGGAGCTGGGCTTCACTCACGCTCACACTCGTGTCGAACGGCTGAAAGCGTGTCGGCTGTGTCTGTGACTGCGCGTGCTGCTGCGGGGGCGACTGCACCGTCTGCGCTTGCTGCACAAGCGGAGAACTGGTGGAATATCCTGCGTAGTCTCCATGTCCTCCATGACTCCAATGCGACGATGTCATCGCGGGGGTCTCCGAAGCCGTGAAAAACGAGTGATGGCTATCACTCGCACTCAACGGGGATGACACATGAACGGGGGAACTCGCAGCTGTTGAGCCTTGCCTCCCCCGTGCGAATCCAAATCTTGAAACCTTCCGTTCCTCATCAGGGTACGACGGCGAGCTACGCGCACCACCATCAGTTGAGGATCCTTCCGTCTCCCCGAAGGGATTAAACGACCCAAGATAACTCTCACGCATTGCGAGGGGGTCATATATGGAGCGGGCGGGATTATGAGGGTACATGGCTGGCACTTGATGTGTGTGAGGATGTGCTTGTGGTTTGAGCGCAGGGAATGCGTCCATAAAGCCACCGGCGAAAGGCACGCGAGCTTCCGCTTCAAGCGCGCTGAATACTGCCTCTCCTTCCGCATTCACATCTACATCTGCAAGCTTCGGGTCCAGATTGAAGCTGAACCCACCCTCGCTCCCCGAGAGCATACGCAGCGTGCGATCGAAATCGGGAAAGACGCTCACTTGCGTGCTCGAAAGTACCGCCTCGCGCCGCGCTTTGACATCGTCAAGTAGCGCTTGTGCAGCGGTGGACATCTGATAGCTTCCTCCAGACATTTGTAGTGCTTGGAGACTTGGCGCAAGAGCAGGCTCTATCTTAGATGTACGAGTCGGAGGCGGGAGACCAGGCGGGGCATCTGGTAAACCTGGTGGCAGAGAGGCAGGTACAGCCGGTGTACTGTCCACACTCTCCGTGGAGCGCGGGCGCACCGGACTTGGTGGCATATCCTGACTGCCAGATCCTACATCATCTGAGTCGATTGCCATTGACGGTGAGGGCGACGTCGGCGGAAGCGGTGCTAGTTCCTTGACCCGGAGAGTCTTAACTTCAGGTGGCGTTGGGGGACGCGGAGAGACAGCGGGTGTCGGGGGCCGAGACGAAGATGCGACGGAGGGTGTTTTCGTACTTCCTCCGCCACCTGAGCCGGCCTTGCGATCGTGCTGTGGGCGTGGTGTACGCGCCTGCCGCTGACCACCACGCCGGGGACGCTGAGCAATGGTAGCAGTGGATATCGTACTGCTGGGCGTCGGATTGGCAGGTTTGGCCCATGCTGCAGTGCGCGGGAGGCCTGAAAGAGGTAATGTATGAGCGAGACAGGAATAATTGTACGGTCACAACGCACCATCCCCATTCTTGGTCCCCCTGCTTTCTGTGTCCTTTATGGTATGCTTCCTGGAAACGGGTAAGTCACCCCATAAAAACGTTTTCAAAATCCACACGTACAACGTTGTTAGATCTTCCTTTGTAAAGCAGTCTTTCTCATCTCCCCATTCGTGCAGATTCATACAGGTGTGATCAGTACATGACACACCGCGAAGAAAGGCCATGCAATACTTGGTCGTCCCATAGCTAGCACGCATGACCTCTCGACCTCCTCCTGGACTTGGGGCGCCATCAACGGTTGAGATACAGCGTGCGGCATCCTCGCGCCGATGATACGTAATGTAGAGTCCTACAATAGGTGCACCACCCCCTGAGGATGTACGCTTGACGAGTAAAATCTTGGAGATTTTGCCGTATTGCCCAAAGTAGTCATTCGAGCGAAGGGTGGGGATGAGCTACGTCGAAGAGTATTATTGGATGAGGTGAGAAGTGGTTTGATGAAAGGTGTAACATACCTCTTCCTTTGCAAATCGAGGACCGATACCAACGACATATACAACGTTGCGCTGGACGACGCGGACATTGGCGAGATGGCGCCTACCGAGGGCGTCAAGTTCTTTGCGCTCACGTTCACGTTGTTTCTTCTGCTGGGTCAGGCGTTTATGGCTACAACACGCCAGGAAGGCCTATATTGAATTTTAGAAGTAAATTGTGAGGGCGGAACGCACTCTTCTTTCGCAATAGGTTTAAACTGAACAGTTTCGTCGGTATATTCACGGCGACAAGCGGGACAGCGGCCGTTGAGGTTCTGCTTAATATGATGCCAACAGAATCTACATATCTGAGTGGGGCTGAGCGCGTCTACCTAATACATATGAACGAGAGGATATACCTGGTACCCGCAGACACACGGCTTAAAATTAAGGTCTGAAATATCCATCTCTTCGAGACAAAGCGGACAATCTGCATCATCCTGGGATCGGTAAATAAATGACGTTATATGTGATCATCAAAAAAAAAAAAAAGACTTACGGCGTCATCGTCGCTCCAATACGCGTCCTGCACCCCGGCGAGAACATGAGACTTGGACTGGTGGGCGGAGAAGCCAGCGTGGACGACGGGGGCGGGAAGAGATGGATGGTGGTGTAACCTAGTGGTAGACATCTTGAATATGCGTAAATCAACGTGCTCGTTGTGTTAGACGACGATGAAGATGACGGCAAAGGGTTGAAATGGATGAATGAGTTGCGTTTGAGGCGTTGAGCAAACGCGACTTACAATGAGGCTGCAGACTTTTCCCACACTTCATCTATTGTTGATTGTTTGTGTTGTGGCACTCATCTAGATTCCATTACGGATTTCTAGGTCAACCTGAAGAACGATGTTCAGAAGGAACCAAGTACTATCTATCATGGTAGGGGACACTAATTCCGCATCCAGGACTTGCAGAGTATGCAGACTGGTGCAATTGACTCATTTCACAAGTAAGTACAATCCAGCCTCGAGCACACTGGCATTGATACGTAACTCGCATACGCCATAGCGCGTCCCTCCAATTCCTAGAGGTTGCTATAAGTATTAGCGCGGCTCTGACTTTTGTTTCCTCGACGATTTAAGAAGTGCTCATTTTGTCGTATTCTGGCTCCCGCGTATGACTATGTTTCTTACATGTTGAGGGCTAATACGTCTGCTCATAGAGCCTTACGCGGGTCGCTCAGGTCTTTCAGCACATCCGGTCCAGAAGTCGTCATATATGTGAAAAATTGCTTTAGCCTATCACAGCTGAACCTGCTGATTCACCATTCTCTTGCGCATCCTGACACCCATACAGGCTGCGACTGTCTCGAGAAGAGAAGATCATATCAGGCTTGCACATCCTATCTTCATACGAAGAATACGCAACTAGACAGCCGGGAAGATGGTTTACAGTCAAGTTATCTTCACCGCTCATAGCTAATCCAGTTTGACAAGACCCAACCTCTGCATTGCCTCTCATGCTGAGAAGGTCTAACTTGGGGCTTGATTTGGTCCAAACTGCGGGACTCCTCGTGCTTAAAACACTCTTTGAATTGGACAAGGCCGCTCTTGTGCAGGTCGGTCTTTTTGTTCCTGCTGGATTTTCTGGATCATTGTGGATCTACTCCTAGACACCACGGGGGCCGTCAACCGTTTCAAACTCGATATCTACGTCGATTCTTCTGGCGTTCGGGAGCCTTCGGTCAGAAGTTATCATGAGCGTCCACGCCTTCAGTCGTCTGCGATTCCGTAGGGTTTTATATCGAAACTCACGTCTAAGTTTGTATGTTGATTACCTATCATGTTACATGCTTGGATCGCAGATAGGAAGGCTGTCCTGGTGCATTCAGGTGTCCCAAGGCAATACATAAGTAAATCTCTGGGGATAAGTGTCAGGTCTTTCTTTCTTCGATCACTGGTTGTCGGCGTTGAAAGCTATAGCATGATTCACGTGAAGGGCAGAACAGTCCAGTTTTCAACGCGATTGGAACTGGGTACAACAACTGACTCGTCTCGCATCTGTCCACTGCAGACACTCGAGTTGAGGTGCATGCCCTGTTAGTATGTGGAAGTGGCGATGGACTGCGGATGACTCTTGGCGATGGATGGAACTCAAATATTCTAAGACTCCCGAGTCGTCGAAAATGCGGTGCAATGAGGGGTAAAATAGGTCTGTGGGCTAGTTGATTATAGTCAAATGGACAAGGCAGATCTTCTCCAGACTCCAGCTGGGAGCTCATCCGCTGGACAAAATGACTACACACCAACGCCATGTCGTGAGGGAGAGTCAGGCGTCCAGTGCTTGCTAGGACCTATTATATCATCTTTGACAGTGGCATCCTTGACTCACTGAGGATACTGCAGACCTTTGCTGTGGAAGGTGAACAGAAGAAGCACTGAGTTACTTAGTAACTGTGAAGTTTTTCTGATTCGCTATTGATAGCTACTGACTGTAGGTCACTAGTGATACGAGGAAAGATGGAAGGAACCTACCTCATGCACATGAATCGTCTGCGAGATAAATGATAATGGCTGACCACACTACCAGTGATTAAAGTTTAGGGGGTAGCACCCTTATGTCAGCTCATATCGCAGCCTAAAACGGCAACATGCGGTTTGGACTCGACGCGTTATTTTCGACAACCTAGACGCGGATTCCGGAAGCAAATTTACGAGGTCAAAGTAACTGAGACGTTCGCTTCAAGGGCTTTCACTGTGCGGAGATCTGTAGAACTCGAGAACAAGAAGATTGTGTTATATGTTTGCTAGACTTCAAGTTCATTGTTTTATTCGATTGATGAACAACTTGAAAGTACGAAGGACACACCTTCCACGACACGCGTCAATGGCCGCCACTCAAGCTCCATTCAACCTTCACCAATACCTGTTCTCAACAGCGTATCTACTCCAAGCCACAGCACAAGTTCAAAATCTACAGTCATGGCTACAGAAAAAAAGCACTTCACGTCGAAACGGTTTGTAGATGCGCCTATCTCACAGCTGTCCAAAGCTGGAATCAGACATGAGTACGTTCCATAGTCTGCAATTCTACCCACGTTGACGGACCGTCACGTAGGTTTCTGACAGATGTCCAAGGTCAGTCTGGTACACACTGTATAATGCGGCTGAGCTGATGCGGTAGTATTTGCCATAGATGCCACGCTCGAGGTGGGTGTGATTGAAAATCAGTCTACTAAGCTAATGATCGTACATTGTAGCATGCTTTGTCGGGCATTGATCTTCTGGTGCAAGCGAAAACTGGAACTGGTGTGAAGTGCGACTAAATTATTCAGTCATAGACTAACTTTACACACAGGGAAAACCATGGCGTTTCTTCTCCCCGCCATCGAACGACTCGCTTCCTCCCAATTGACGTCCTCTGACGTGGGCAAGATTCTTGTTCTGGCGCCTACACGAGAGCTGGCACTTCAGATCGAGGAAGAGGCAATGTCCCTTCTTGCGCACCACCCGTACGGTGTGCAGTCTGTCATCGGAGGTACAAAGTATGCATTCTTTGGCGCATATTTTGATATATATTAACATTTGCAGCATAAACACAGAAAAAAACCGCCTTAACTTCTTCCACCGCTCGCACCGACATCCTAATTGCCACCCCCGGTCGGCTTCTCGACCATCTGACTTCGGGGCTCACCCTCCGCCCAAGCGTGCTCGTTCTAGATGAGGCAGATAGGCTGCTCGATCAAGGATTTCGCAAGGATTTGGAGCGCATCGTAGGATTCTTGCCTGATAGACGGGGAACAAAGCGACAATGTATGCTGTTTTCTGCGACTTTTGATAAGGCGATCCAGAACGTGGGTGGGTTTTGTGTGTAAAAATAACATGTACTGATCGTTTGGGCGAGTAGATCGCAAAGATTTACCTAGATCCAAATTACAAATTCATATCTACGCTACACGCGGATGAGATCAACACACATGAACATGGTGTGTACATCTTTTTCATAAGCTATCGATGAACTAACAGGGTGGCATGTATGTAACTTAGTTCCCCAGAGTTACCTCGTCACGCCCCTCGAAGATACCCTTCCGATACTTGTTTCCCTCCTCAAGCAGGCAGGCCCAGAAGCAAAGACGATGTTGTTCTGTACAACGGCACGTGGTACGGCCGTCGTTGCGAGTATCTTGCAACAAGTGTCTGCTGCAAGCCCACAATCTATGCTTCCCCCAATCTACCAGATCCAAAGCCGTATGTCACAGGCTGCACGTACACGCGCCGCACAGGAGTTCCGCGATGCCCCAGAAGGGGCGGTTTTGGTTACAAGTGATGTGACTGCGAGGGGGATGGACTTTCCAAGGTGGGTCTTATATCAATATCTTAAAGTATCCTCTTTGCCAACAATCATGCTGTCGTCCAATCATTTTTCTCTATGTTGATCTTTTTTATTTCGTGTCTTGCTCCTGCAGTCTACTTTCTCTTCATCACAAGGTGTACTGACATCATCTTACAGTGTAACATATATCATCCAGCTTTCCCTCCCCAGCTCGCCCGCACAATACATCCACCGCCTCGGCCGAACCGCGCGCGCAGGGGCTGCCGGTGAAGGCATATTGATGCTCATGCCCGACGAACAGTTCTTCTTGCGGCTGCCAGAGATCGCCTCGCTTCCGTTAACGCCCTACACGCAGCTTGAACGTACTGGTAATTTGAAGTTTAAGCTAGACGACCGCTCCATCGGCCAGGCATATTCTGCTTGGCTTGGGTTCTATAAGTCCTGGCTAAAGCAACTGCGATGGTCACCCACGGAGTTGGTGAAACAGGGCGCTATATGGGCGCAGTGCTTGGGGTGGCCGAGTGTGACGGAGGTCGGCGGTGGACCTAGTACTTCAGGTAGTGCTCCAGCACAAAGAGGCGCAAGGGGTAGAAGTGTGGTGGCGACATGGATCCCGCCGCCTATCGCAAAGCGCACTGTAGGATTGATGGGTCTGCGTGGAACACCGGGGCTAAACGTGGTGGATCGCCTGGACGATGCGGGTGACGGTCCAGCTCGGAATACAGGAGGAGGGGGACGTGGAGGGGGGCGCGGGCGCGGGCCAAAAGCTACCAAACCGCCCACAGAAGGGGCAAGCGATAATAGGACTGCGCACACACCAGCCACTAGAAGGGGCAAAGCGAAGGCAGGACAATAAATGTTCGAAGTGGCTTATATTCCTTGGGAAGAAGTTGGTAGTTAGAGCTGTTAGAGTCCGACATCATGCCTATACCTCAATGCATTGCTAATTGATTGTCTTAATTCAAACTGCGGCGCTCAGTGACTCAAACATATATCGCAGTACCGGCCTCCCTGAGCAACTGCTTTTGTGTCACGATGTTTCACCGACCGTTAGCATATAATTGACAACAGAGAGGTCCAGCTTGCACTCCTGTGGGCTCAACGGACGGCCGAGACAAAGTCTTGACAGGAGAGACTAACGACAAGTATTGCGGTATTCGAGGCGATGAGGGCAGGGCACTGACAGGGGTAGGGTGGTACATGTTAGCATTTGGTAATTGAGGAGTATGGTGAATGATAATGAATGATATGATATCACGATATCAAAGCAACAAGCTCGAGTACATTAATGAAGCATCTAAAAATCATCATCATCATCAAAATCTCGCCTGCGCTGGTACTAGTTGGTAGTCGCGATCAGCAATCTTCCGTCTCAAAAATTATGACATTGATGTGGTCGAATACTCACCACTATAGTGGTCTTCGTAGTTGTCTTGGACCGTGCGTCCTCCATCTGAATACATCAGATTCAGCACTGTACATGCTCACACGAACAAGACTACACACCTGATCAAGAAGGTCGATCAACTGCTGCTCGCTCACACGTCCCCGCAGCTGTCCTGACTGAGCCATCCGCATAACGACGGTCTCGACCTGCCGCGATCTCTCCGGGCTCACAAGGGCAATGCGGGATACTGGGTAGTGAACACAAAATGATGATATTGAGTACGGGCACTGAGCCAGAAACAAGGAGTACGCACATCGCTCTCGGGCAGCAATGTCGAGGATGGTTGCCATCATATCCCTGCGCATCTCATCTTCAGCTGCCTTCCGCTTCGACTCGTCTTCTGCTGATGCATTTTGGTTTTGTGGTGACAATCCCTGTAGATTCTCCATGAAAGGGTGTTAAGAAGTGTTTGAAGTCGTGAAAGTTATTATAGTAGGGGTCAAGCTTGGATGTGATTAGATATGGGAACTATTTGGTGCAATATTGCTTCCGTTACCGCGAGCTCGTCGATCTGGACTCTAGACAACGACGGCATCGATTTTGTCCATGACTGCAGCACGATGTCGACATCGTACTACATAATAGACCCGATTGCGACGCTACATGATTATGCTCAGCCAGTCACTGCCCTTAGCTTCGACCCCGTCTCTGACACGCTCTGGTCCGGGACCAGTGTAGGCACGGTCGTCGCGCTGCACACAATACAGGGCCTCCGTGGCGTGTCATTCCCCGTCGGCGGTGTTCTTCCGGTCAAGCAGATCGTTGCAGGAGATAACTATGTCAGGGCACTTGGTATTGCAGGTGAAGGCGTCGGCTCGTGGGCCAAAGGTGGGATGAACAAGTGGTTCTTTCGGTATGTGATTTCCCAGTACTACACTTGTGTATCCTTTCATGAAGGTTGTAGATCAGACTCTACTCTAACAGCATTCTCGAACACTACGTATACTTCCAATGTCCTTGCAGTTTCAACAACTGCACCTGAACTTGTCCTATTGAATGCAATCACAGGCAACTCCGTCCGTGTTGCTCCCTCCTCATCCGTTGTGACACACCTCCAGTTTTCACATTCCACGCTCCTTGCGGCGCTTACGGATGGGTATGTGCGTGCATATGACCCTCGCACTGCGCTTCTGCGCGAGAACGGAGAGAACTCGGTGCTGGCACATAGTAGTGGTGTGCAAGACCTCCAGACGAGTGGAAACTATTTCTACACTATTGGGTGGAGTATCAGGTTAGCAACGTGTTATCTGCGTATAGAAATACCACTGATGTGTTGCAGACGCGGTCACGATTTTCCTGATCCCCTAGTGAAAGTATATGACCTACGTACAATGCGCCCTCTCCCTCCCATCCCCTTCCAGGATGGTCCTGCCTTCATTGATATCCTACCTAAACATTCTTCTAGCCTCGTAGTCACCTCTGCGCAGGGTCTAGTGAACGTTGTCGATGTATCCGATTACAGTAATGTCTCCGGGTTTTATCAGGTATGTCAGTAATTCTCCCCAGACTTAATCGCTCATGTATTGCAGCTCGAGACCACATCCTACATCAGCTCAACAGCTGTGTCGTCCAACGGCTCGTTCCTCGCTTTTGGTGACGCACTCGGTGCCATCCACCTCATGACAGCCATCGCAGAGGACGCAGAGCCGCTTTTCAATGGTTTTGAAGGCCAACCCATCGAATGGGCTGATACTCCTGAAGCACCCCCTGATATTAACTGGACAGATTCAACGTGAGTTATCTTCTACCATTCATACCCTTTGCTGATTTCAACACACCAAAGACCCCTTAACTCTATTGGCATCCCACACTACAACACTCTGCTGCTTTCCTCTTGGACACCACAATTCCTTCCGCGCTCTGGGATCTTGAGTCCACCTCCGCCTAAAATTCCGCCCCAGGTCTTAAGTACCATGAAGATGAACGACAATATTGCATATGCGGCTCTTCCGAAGGAGCTGCGTGGGCGGAGGAATCGTGTGCCTGTGACTGCTACTAAAGATCAAGGGCGGTTCAGGAGTGGAAAAGGCAGAAAAGATGATGTGAGTGTGATTGTTGTTTGAATACGCATAATTGACAGGATATAGCTCGAGCTGGAAGCACTAAGCATCGACGACAGCGTCGAGGAGGTACCCCGGATTTATCGAAAGGTGGAAATTGAGTACTCGAAGTTCGGCGTGGAGGATTTCGATTTCGGGTGCGCGTTCTCTGTCTTCACTTCTGACGGCTTTCATTGATGTTTCTGCAGCTTCTATAATAAAACACCGTACAGCGGTCTTGAGACACATATCCTCAACTCTTACACAAATTCAATGCTCCAGGTCATGCACTACACGTTTCCAATACGGCGCCTCGCCAAGTCGCATATCACGACCAATTGTCCAAGAGAACACTGTCTACTGTGCGAGCTCGGTTTTGTGGCACGTATGCTCGAGGATGCGGGCGGCACAAATTGCCAAGGAGGGAACTTCTGCAAGACCGTTGGTGTGCTAGCTCAAAGTCAAAACCAGATCGAGTTGATCGATTACGGGCGCGAGCCCACTGAAGTCGACTATGCCCATATGATCCAGTCATTCCATCGTTTCCTCGTTGATCATCTTTCGCTTGAAGGAAACTCCTTCCCACACAATCCATGCCTCATACACCAGCCATTCCAGGAGGACACGCATTCACCTGCGGCTGCACCTATCACACAGCTTCTTGGTATAGACGCGAAGAACGTCATCACATGTATGAGCTGCAAGGCTGTGAGGGAGAAGGAGAACATGACACATGTCGTCGATATGGTTTACCCACGCAAGGTGAGGACACTTTATACGCATACTGGTCTGTGGTACTGACTCAGATAATCAGCTCACACCTTCAGATCCCCCTCCTGCAACAGATTTCACCAGTATCCTTCGTGCTTCCCTGATTCGCCAGATGACATACAAGGCAACATGTCAGACGTGCAAGCAATTTGGCGCCTTCAATTCCCGACGCTCAATACCTTCATCAGAGCTTCCACCTGTGCTTGCGGTCAATGCAAGTGTCTATAATGAAGATAATCTGAAGCTATGGTTAGACAACCGACAGTCGAGATTTTTGAGTCCATCGGTGGAGGTAAGAGGCGAGGTTGATGGCGTGGACGAGGCAATGGGGGTTGTGTATGAACTGAGAGTGAGTTTATTTTCTTGCTGCTGTTGCGCTCATTTTCGGTCCGTATAGGCCATGATAGTGCAAATTATGACGAAAGAAAGACACTCGCATCTCGTTGCGATTGTCAAGGGTGAGCTTTTCATTCTAGCTGTTACTAACGCAATCCCTACTGATAACGACGCAGTTCCTGAAGCGGAAGGTCGCCCAAATTTCAAGAGCGCCTGGTTTCTTTTCAACGATTTCGTTGTGCGTAATATATCAGAAGAAGAGGCGTTGAGCTTCCCAAGCACGTGGAAGGTCGGTTGTGATGTTTTTTCTGTGCACCAAGATACTTAAGATGAACCAGGTCCCAGCTATCTTATATTTTGAGCGCATCGATGTACGAGAACAGCTCGACTACAGCGGACTTCCAGACCAATTGGACCCGTCGATTCTGAGTCTAGATACCTCTATCTCTGTGTCAGTACATTCATCTCATGGCCGCTTTACTCTTTTTATCTTTAGCGCATAGGAACCGCGACGAGAATATCATCCAGCACGAGTGCCTCCGCTTCGAAGAACTCCCTAAACCTGGAACACTTGTCGCAATCGATGCTGAGTTTGTCTCCATGCAGCAGGTATGCTTTGTGTACAATTTCCGTTGGACTGTTTTCATATATCCTCACTTGTCAGGAAGAAACAGAGTACCGTTCGGATGGTACCAACCGTGTCATCCGCCCTGCACGGCTCAGTCTTGCTCGCGTGTCCGTTCTTAGGGGCGATGGTCCAAAAGAAGGTGTCCCGTTCATCGACGATCATATCCATACGAGCGAGGTCATTGTCGATTATCTGACTGAGTTTTCTGGTATCAAATGTAAGTGTGGTCCAGTATTTCTTTTTCCTGGCTGAAAATGTGACAGTCGGTGACCTCGATCCGCATTTGTCGCGGTACACATTGACACCCTTGAAACTTGTGTACAAAAAGCTCAGGGTGCTCGTTGATCGGGGATGTATATTCATTGGGCACGGACTCTCGAAAGACTTCCGCATAATCAGTATGTTCCTGCATTTAAACGAGGACCACTCACTAACTGTCGTCATGGTCAGATATATTCGTACCCCCAGAGCAAGTTATAGACACAGTTGACTTGTACTTTCTGCATACCCGCCAGCGACGACTATCACTACGTTTCCTGTCTTGGTTCGTCCTGCATGAGCATATTCAAACCGACACGCACGATTCGATCGAGGACGCTCGAAGTGCGCTCAGGTTGTATAAAGCGTATCATGATTTCGAAGAGCGCGGTGTCTTCGACGAAAAGCTGGAAGAGTTATATCGTGAAGGAAAGCAATATGTAAGTGTTTGTGGCTATTCTCCTCCCTTCCGCACAATGCTGATTGACTATGTCAGAACTGGAAACCGCCACCCCAACCAGGCTCACGGCCAAACACAACCCGCTCGCCTGTTCCTGCTGTGCAGGCCTCGCCTATCGCACAGTTCCCGATGATAAATCAGAATTTTGCGCAATCGCCGTTCAATGCTGTGAACTTCCCCATATCTAATCCAACATTCTTTACCTCTCCTGATATGGGGCAGTTCGGAGTCGGCGGGCAAAGCCAGATTTGGAACAGCCAAAGGCATCGATGAGGAAGATCTGATACATGCATGTAATTTAAGCAATGATTCCGTTAGTGTAGCAATCGCATTCGCTTTCCTGTAGGTGAAATACTGATATTGCTACAATTCATGTCGTTAAGATGTGGCGACCTGCGCCTGAAGGTGGAACAGGACTGAGAGCCATCCAATCGATTTCTTCCCCGTGTGTCTTCCGCAGCCATTCATTGGCTTTCTTGAAGTGGGCGTTTCCAAGGAAGCCCCGATGAGCTGAAAGAGGAGAAGGATGTGGAGATCTGACACATAGTTACCAGCGTGTCCATCAACAAAGTGAGTCAGAGCGTACCTTAACACCAGATGCTTTTCCTTCTCGGCCTGAGTCAGTTGTCCCAAAACAAAACAGCAGATGGCTGGTACACACCTCGTCAATCCCAAGTCTGTCGTATAGTTTTTGGGCAGGCAAACCCCAGGCAAAGAAGACAACCCCTCTTCCGTCCGGACGGTCGAGCACCGCTCGGATAACAGCGTCAGTGAACTTCTCCCAGCCTTTTTTTGAGTGCGAGTTCGCATTATGCGCCCGTACAGTCAGGCAGGTATTCAACCAGAGAACTCCAGCCTTAGCCATGGGCGTCAGATCCCTGTTGTACAGAGTAAGCGAATCACAAGCTTGAAGCTAGAGATATGACAAACCCAGACGTGGGGACTTTGAAAGTGGGGATGTCAGTTGAGAGTTGTTTATAGATATTCCTCAGGGAACCAGGGAGCTTAGTTGGAGGAAGGACGGAGAAAGAGAGCCCTAAAACATTGTATTAAACATATTCTTAGTGAACTGGACATACGTACCGTGCGCTTGTCCTACATTATGATATGGATCCTTGTAGAGTGCCGTGGTGAGCGACGGAACACATATAAAATTATACAACGCACACCTGGCCTAGTATAACGGCTTTCACAGAGTCAAGTGGCGTCAATCGTGACCAAGAGTAGACATCATTCACTATAGAGAGTTTTATAACGTCTTATTGATAAACGACATGAGTATCTTACGCTTTGGGTATACGGTGTGCGCACGATGCTCCGCAATGAGGAATTCTTTGAGCTGAGGTAAATGGTGTGCTCAGAGGAGAGAATACCAGGGGGAGTGAGTACTAAGGACACACCTTTTGGAAATACGGCTTCATAAATTCCTTGTCTAACGCAGCCCTCCAGGAACCACCCATAGTCTCACGTTCTAAGTTCTCTATGACAGCCTTAATGTCAGGTACACTGCTCTGACATGATTCTTCTTCGACTGTTGCGACAATGACCGTCGAACTACAAGCAAGTTAACTAGACTTTATTAAAAAGTACTTGCAAAATGGTGTACCTTTTAGCCTGGATCTTCTGTCTTTTGGTAGAGCTCGAGTCCATAGAACTGGCCGCAACGCGCTTTCGTGACACTGAAGCCATAGGATAAATTGAAAGCAAGACGCGACGCGCTTGGTCGCACCTACTATATGCCAGTGGCACGTGACATAGTTTCAATTTATACGCTGCTCCGACGAGCTGTAACAAACTGGACATGCCCCCGGACTATGGTCGACTAGTTTGTTTAGGAGCCACTATCGATGAATTTATGCCTTGGCTCGCAGTGACATATACTTTTTTGATGGTGGGGGGAATGATTGAGAGGATTCGAAATGACCAGGTCGTTGCATTGGTACAGAAAAACATGACAGAAACTTCAAAGGACAAAACTATCTCTTTCTCGCCTTCATTTTCTTGTGTAGAGTCGTCTTTGCCTTTTCAAACCTTGTCTTTTTCTTCAGTCGCGGTCCGTCATCGTTTGCGCCCTCAAGATCCCCCTTCCATGTCGTTCGCGATCTCGACAGTGCATCAGCTTTCTTACCCCTTTGCCTCAGCTCTTCATATCCATCGCCGAGCACCCCCGTCTTCGTGCGTCCGACTGAGTGTAGCACATCCGCAAACTCATCCTCCAGGCCCCGGCCTCTTTTCCTACCCTTTCCAGCTCCCGTACCTCCGAGTGCCAAATCCTCTTCATCTTTTCGTCGCCTACGCGCATCTTTCTTCTTCATGACTAGTCGGGTGAAGTTCTCCTCCTCGAAGTCTTTTATACGTTGGATCTCGCGGGCGCGGTCGGATGCGAGGGAGGGCATCGAGCCAAGGCCGGACGTACCCTCGACGTGCGGGCGCGAGGGGTCTTGGTGGAGAAGGGTAGAAAGTGCCTTGGGAACGGGCTGTCGTTTAGAACGCTTGTCGGCTGCGGCTTCCGTGTAGGGCATGGGTGCGAGCTTGGGAGGGCGGTATATTCCATCGGGGTCTTCAACATCTGAACGGGCGTCTTGGTCCTCGTCGGAGTGCTGCTCATCGTCGACGAGATTTTGGGGATTTGGACGGAAGGCGAGAGGATCTGAGAGGGCATATCGGCAAGGAATTGCTATTACAGCGTAAAAAAACACACCTTCGACCACATCTTTGCCAGAAGGTACTTCTTCAGCAACTCTGACTAGCTTTTCGATCTGGTATCGCATCCTGCTTTCCAGGACTTTTATTTTTTCAAGTACAACGCGACCCTCTATCATAGAGTCAACCAGATCGCCAGCGCCAGAGCCCCGTGCCTCTCGATCGACTGTACTGAAGGGGAACTGGTTGGTGTTCTCTCTGTTAACGAGTCTCCAGTTGCTCGGCGTGCAGAGAGGAGGACAAGCGACTGCAAGTACGACAGAAGCAGATGGTGTTTGAGTGAAAGCAATGAGATTCCGTCCTTCATATCCATCTCATTTGCAGTTGTTAATCTGGAGCAATGTCAATAAGAGCTGCACTGTCATGGGTACAAACTTTTACTTTTGTTTGAGGGATTGCATCGACTCTCGCACTGATGTCATACTACTAGTCATCTCATCAAGTATGCCGCAAACGACTTGCGAGTCCGCCATTTCGAGCAGGATGGTGCAGCTTGCTGCATACAATGTGGTCGTCGGACCAGGAGGTAGAAGTCTGATGATCTGACGGCTCGAGTGAATTCGACAACGCAAAAATCTTGGCTCCGGCTCCGGCGGCATTTCCCAAAAAGTGTCATGTCAAAACGGTTCACCCCAAAAATACTTCTCGACTACCACAAAAATGTTGACAAGTCGCTCAATTGCAAGTAATCAAAGCACAGGTGCGTGTAGCAAATTTTGTAACAAGTTGTGCGTGAACCTCCCTATAGAATATAAAATCAATCCGCTGTTCCAGCGGAATCTTGTCTCAACGATTTCACAGCCTTGTGCAATGTCACCGTAGCGCGCATGCAGTCCAATATCCCTGAATATCAACCAGGTTGCCGTAAAAAGCAGACACGATCTGTTGGGCACCCTCGTCGTCAAAAGACCGCATGGAACCAATGACACGATAAATCCGTATAATTGCATAGCTGCAGCAAACCGAATCAAATCGTTGGGACTTCTCTCATCGCCCACAGCAGTATGGCAGGTTGATGATAATACAAACTCCTGATGATGTAGCGTATGAGCAGTGCAGAACGCTCAGTATTTATTCGGTAAGCTACCATTCTTTTGCCATTCTTTTGGCTGTGTTATCCCTTTCTACGGGCGGTTAACCGACTACTAAGAATAATCGCGTGTGTTTTCTTTGTAGGCCCGGATCAAGAAAAGTCTAGCGCCGACTGGTAACATGATCATTGTGTGAGTACTTACCGTACTTATCTATTACTCAGGACCGCGACAGAACCTAACTTTATTCCTCATGGCCATTGACACTGACTGCCAAGTGGTCTGTTTTTGGGCTGTTGCATTTAGGACAGCGACGGTATGCTCTTGTAATTATGTATAGTGTATATATATTAACACGGTCTACCAAATTAGCTGGGCATCTAGGGATTGAGAAACAGCAAGATAGAGCAGTGTTGGGAATGATATAAGTAAAGTTCGGTCAACACTACGGTTCCCTGAGCCCCCATCCCGTCTTATATTTACTTCGCACGCCAGGAATGTAGAAACTTGAAGGTGTGTTATATATGTCCGCCTGGATATCATGCTTTGATAACGCCGTTATCGAAGCATCGTTGAATAGCAAGTGCCGATGGCCTTGCAACTGATAGGATGAGAACATAGGCCGACCCACGGTGGTGTCAAGGAGATTAAACAGTCAGATTGGCCTTCGGTGCCTCTTACCTGTTCGTAGAGTGAAGGCCTGATTATTGAATAGTGCTGAAGTGTAATTGGTGCCTGACTTTGTGGCCTTCGTTTCGGCCTTTTAGCGTTGCCGCCTGCAGAAGGGTATCATTCAACTCGCTGCGTTTTAGGAAGGTTGCAGATGCAGACTATGTCAGCTCCCTCGAATCGCCCTTTCTGGAATTCTTGACGCATTATTCATCTATCATAGCATCTTTTGGAACCATCTTCATTCCCATCAAACGTGTCTGTCCAAGTCGGTTGACGCTGATCCCGCCGGCCACTGGTTGACCCCACGCCCAAGAGGGATATTTCTTGGTAGTAGGCCAGGATTCCATGTTCCAGCCTGACAACTGCGCGGAAGTGCTGACACATCGAGGCTATTACCATTACCCGAAGAGCCAAACTCAATCCAACTTTATTCACGAAGGTTCAGCTTACAGCACAAAACATTTCGTATCATTGTGTCCGCGTTGTGAGGTCGTCTATAGGTTTCATCACCGAAAGCCTCATCCGTGGATGGCAGGAGTCTCCGAGTCATAGATATGATTCGATCTCACATATGTTCAACATGACATCGATGAAACGGATCTGACCTTGGCAGGCTCGTTGGCCTGATCTGCCTGATCGACTGCTAACCTCTGGCCTCTGCCTTTCTCAATCCACTTTGTTCATCCCGACAGATCTTTGGTGGATGGCCCTAACAATCAGCTCACTTTATCCTAGTTCGCCCATATATGCCACCGGTTCCTGGCCTGCGAACACCCTTTGGCTGTTGGCCTGCATGGTTTCTCCTGGTGCTACACAACTTTTCGCTGGCTTATATAGGTTTTCAGAACATCCCTATCCACAGTGTATTTCAGAATGTTTTACCATCACTGGTGCGTCTGCACCAACACTATGCTTCCTCTCGGTGCTAATCCATCATACAGGCAGGATTTTGAGCTGTACAATCATGTCAAGGCATCACAGGCAGGACAGTCACAAGCGACCTGCCGATAATGTACGTTTTTTCCATGCTCGTAAATGTTGGTGCCCTAACGTTTTGCTGTATGGTCAGTCGACTCAACAGAACTGCCTGCCGTTTGCTTCAGTGAATTCAAACGAGGATCCTACACCTGCTGATATTCAACATCAAGTCATGTATGGCGTGGGCTCGACGAGCAATGACCAAGCATTCGCTCTTGTTAGTCTACATGACGCGGGCCTATCCCAAAGTGATGACTCAAGTCCACTTCCAAGCGATGTCTCGGACCCACTTCCGCTCCTTGATCGACAGATCGGTCAGCCTAACGTTCATAGGTATGAATCCCTCATAATCCCTATTATTCGGAACACTAACTCGTTCAATGGTGTAGTGTTGCTGGACGGCCTTCGCGCGACGGTTTTTTCATACAGATTCCATGCTTGTGGACTAACCATCAAAGCCAGTGCGACTTTTCTGCGGATACTATCAAGAGTGTATTAATGCATATGACATCACAACATCTCCGTAAGAAGCAGCCATCCAGCAGTCAGGTGCAATGTTGCATTTGTTCACCCCCAAGGACCGTCAGGAGAGATACAATCCGCCGACACATCAGGGAGATACATTACGGAGACAAGTCTCGCTGCAGACGCCCCTCTTGGTGAGCCCCTCCCTTCCTCCATTCCATCTCCTTATCTGATTGGCCCCATTGAATCTCATAAGCGCCTCTACATGACCTACCACGCAACCACCATGCATCATAATCGATGGTATTCATCACAGCCCTCGTCATCCTTCCTCTGGTAATTCACATGACCTTCTGCAACCACACGGCCAACGTTACCATATACATCATCTCAGGGTCCTGAATCAGTGCGAAGTAACTCCAATTCTCGACTGTGACTTCCTTCACCCCCGTGATACCTTCTACTGGCACGATTCTCGTCATTCCCACTACCCGATGCTTTCCCACCTACGGACCTAGTGAGGTTCGCACAATGTGATTTCAACACTTGGGATAGCTCTCCTGCATCAGATTTACTCGGTCATTTCAGTCACGGTGAGCAAGGACGTTCATGCCCAAGCCGATATAGCCCTATATTTGATTCAGGCTATACTTGTGAAGCTGGATACAATAAACGCGATGACCTTGACGAGCAAAAGCATTCATCAAGTCCCTATCGTCTGGTTACTGTGATGGAGGATACCCCCAAGACAGGAGACATTATGGCGACTCGAAGTGAACATACCGTGAGGATCCCCATGTCCGTGACGCCGTGCCACAATCCAGTTATGATGCAACTAACCCCCTGCGAGCACCTCCCTCTTTACCAACTCCCTCCTTGAATTCATGCCCATGTTTTGTTTTCGATAATGAGTCTTCGTCCTCCTCCCCATTGTTATGCCGTCTTGTCGTATTTTTCTCATGCCTTTCCAGCATCCTTATCATCTTGTCGTCGTATCGTGGACGCCTGTTATACCCCACTTGCTACTATATATTTGTTCTGTCAACATCAGTATGGTAGCTAGGTAGCCTGCTTTTGTCTCATTCAGAACATCCTTCAGAACACTAATGTCTTCGTGCATCGGAAAACTGGAATCTATAGAGATCTCATAAGTATCAAATGACTGAATAACATAACATAAGCAGTAATAAAAATGATGAGGAGGCACAGTGTGGTGCCTGCACGGCCACCAGCAGAAATCCTCCCTTTGAACATGTGATTACTTATCTTTATTTCCTTAATACTCACTCTCTCAACTCCCGTGTTCGCTAACCCTTACTACTTCGATCGAGCTGTCGCCAACAGTGCTGCAGCGCTTAGTGCTTAGTACTCAGTACTCATGCTGCCATGCACATAATCAGTTCTTCTGAGTGTATCAAGGTCTGATTGCATGAGACTAATGACCATGAAGCTCCAATGGCACAGTCCCCATTTCACATCCGTGTCAGCAATGAGGGGAAAGCGGCTCATCACACCTTCATGGATAGTATTGATTCAGAGAACTTGCTGCCATGCAGCGCCTCTTTGATGTGTCCAAAAACCTGGAGGATTCAGCTTCCCAGGACTTTGTCACCGCGCTCTGTAAACCTAGCTCAGAGACTGCTTAGAGATGGTTGGGATGTCCAATGATTGTCGCAACTAGATCCAAATCATATCCTTCGTAGTCCATACCAATACCAGGATATGACCCTCGACGTCACTCTCGTACGTACTCATCCTTTTCTTTTGCACACGCAATCACTCTTCGTTACAAGCCTCATACACGTTCACCTTTGATTCATCTTCTCAGTCAGCGTATTAATTCATCTCCCCACCGAATATTCTTCCTCAGTCTTTCCAACTGAGACTGAGGTGAGCGTACTGTTTTCACGTCTACCTACATGTACCTAACGATACGTAATAAGTTATCTCGTTTCTAGGTATGCATGTGCCGTAGTCGATTTTTCCAACCAAGACTGAGTTCTTCTCTCGTTTCTAGAATGAACCTATTCCATTCGTCATAGAAGGTACATCTAGGTGGAAAAGAACACGTCAAGTGTTGGAAGTTCCTCGTAAGCAGAAGTAAAAAAATGACGTGATGGATGTCTGAGATCCGCTGTCATGAAACATGCATTATTTTAGTACCTTGCATGGAGCTGTAGAATAGTGTAGCATGAACGATACATTGCTCGACGCCAGGCGGGGAAATTTTTTATTAACAAACGTGAAAATTACATGTACGATGTGTTAATATAATAATAAAGGTCGATGGTCCTTTATATGCATAGGCGGCGGTGGTATCGAAGCGTTCATATTGACGTCGAAAGGGTAAATGAGTAGAGGTCAGAGCGTGATAGCGATGGCATGTCTGTGATTTGAGTTGTGTGAACAGTGGGCGTTTGGATATGGACTACACGATGGGAGATAAGTTTTTGTCGAACAAGGGTATGATTGAGCTGAATCGGAACATACATGGATATTCAGAGTGAGCAGCAGGGTTGGGGTTGACAGATGGCACCAGCGAAAGAATAACTGTTGGAACTAAAAAAGATGGGCTCATCGGGGCCTTGCATAGGCTTGAAGGAACAACATATGCTCGTACCTTGAAGTGACGCAACTTCCGGGAGCCGAGGATTTTCGGACGAGTAACGGGGACTAGTCACTCCGACCGGGCATGGCGTGGCACGCCACGTGTCGTTTGACTGCGGGGAAAAGTCAATATCGATCGGTTCGAGGAGGCATAACAAAAACAATGAAAGTTGATTTATTCAGTTAACGGTTTTCTAGGCCGCCGCTCTAGTTGGAGCGTAGTGCATGACATCTATTTTTTTCAGAGCCCAGTGCGTTTCATCTTTTGTGGAGCAGACCGACAGCAAAAGCCATACAAATTGTTGCCAATAGGACTTACCTGAGCGTGTCCTCAAGCGTCACGATTGAAAGGTGATGGGAGTCAGAAAGGAACATCGAGTCATGTGTGGTTGGATAAACCCTTTTATACGCGAAGAAGCGATCAACGAACGGACAAGGCCGAATGCAAAGTTGATCAAATGTTAACGTCAGACTACTTATTCCCTTTCTCATGATCATAGTACATATATGTGAATCTTTGCCCTGCCTCGAGTCACCCGCAGCTGACTTCCATTATTGTCTTGATCTCCTCGTGTGCACGGCCTTGCTCCTGCAGGCGCCTTGTACTTTTATCTTCTTCCTGTAATACTATGACCTCGTACGCACCACTCATACCACCAAAACGCTATGATCTCGTCGAGGCATTCGATGCCATGGCACTCGCCGGCAAGTCAAACGAGAGTAAGCGGCTACCTGATCCTCTTCCTCCCAATGGGAATCGGGCAAGTAGTTTTATAGGGGGTTTCAATCCCGAAAAGTTGGCAGCGAACGCGCTACTTGACGCGACGAAACGACAACCCATACACAACGGACAACCCATTCCGAGCAGCAAGGGCGTATCGTCCCCACTACAAAATCCGCCTACCTTTGTGGTGACCATGCCATCTCCTCGGTCGGGGAAACAATCGTTGACGATGCAGCACGCGCTCAATACCATGGCACCGCCAGTCAACTCTTCACCATCGTGTCCTCACTCAGATTCCTTCCTTTCCCCTGGCATCATGGCCCATCCCTCTATCTCTGTGGGAATGCGTCCGCGTCCAACACTTGATGTTACACCTAAGTCTCGTCCGCGTGCTGCTTCTCTACCCCCTTCCCCATTATCACCTCCGGTATTCAAGAACACCACACAATGTAGCAGCATGACAAAGCTCGGGAAGCAGTGCTCCCGCCAAGTCAAGCTTCCGTCGACCCACTCTCATATCGACCCAATACCTGTCGTGTATTGTCATCAGCACCGTGATGCAATGTTTCATGCGCAGACTGGGTTTTATGTCAGACGGAAAGGCATGGCCGATACATTTGTAGAATTTAGTGGTGAGCACCACATTCATCTCGCCCGACACGCTCTTCAATACAGGGCAGATTATATACCACAATACCTCCAACGCGATACCCAGCTGGCGCTTAGAGTCGAAATGGAGAAAGCTGCTTCTACTTCGGACGTTCCCGGTTATATTTACACGTACGAAATTCGAGGTTCGTCGCTCTGAATTTTCAAGCTTCTCCTGATATTTATATAATCATATTTGGCGTTCATGTTAGACCCGAAGCGTCTTAATATAATTCAGCTCAAAGTCGGGCGCGCTGTAAATCTCACAAAGCGATTGGATCAATGGGGAAAACAGTGCGGTTCGAAGGTGCCAATTGTCCGGGGGTGGTGGCCAGGCACAGTTGAAGACGAAAGTGACGATGACGGCACTAATGGGAGCCTGCTTACAGGAAACATCAAGGCGGGAGAGCCGGGGCCATTGTGCCACCGTGTGGAGAGGTTGGTACATATAGAGCTTGCGGACTTGGTGGTCCACACACCATACCTAGACCCCAAGTTTCCGAAAGTCGACAATTCAGACACCTCTCCTTCTACTTCGGGGTCGCCGAAGAAGGCTACAATGAAGCCCTGTCTTGATTGTGAGCAATTGTCATATTTATCATGCTTGGAATGTAGGATTTTTGACGCTGGGTCCAGGTGGTGCTATGCACAGGGAAATATTCGCATTTCCACGTCCTGACAAGGGACGTTACAAGGGGCGAGAGTGGGAACTTCTCGTGAAACCCGCCATCGAGAAATGGGGCAAATTTGTATCAGAATACTATGCTTGAACTATCATGTGCAACACTATCACCTTCAGAGGGAGCCAATGGGAAGTCTTATATCCCTCAATTGATATCCACGGTACAAGCCCCAGGATGACGTGCTTTCCATCCGAGCTTCCTGCGTCGGTAATAGGTTTGACTCTCGAAGGACTTTGTGATTCTTATAGCGCACATCACGCCCTCCTGTACTGTGCGATGATGGTGACAATTGTACTAGAAACACTGCCGCAACAAATACTTGTCACAACAGTCTTAACCCTCCTTGGACTTGCGTTAGACAAACTAAAGACTATAGACGAATAGATATAGTCGTTCCTTATTCACTCGACTGCCAGAGCTCAGTAAGCAAAAGTTCACTCTGAATCCGACCTTTTTTAATAATAAAAATCCTGTTTATTGTCTGCTGAGGGCAACGCCCGATGTAGACAGTACATGCTATGTGTTACTGCGTTCTAGTTACGTTATTAACATTGGTATACTTATGGACCATTGGCTCGCGCCCCGAATCCGACCTTAGTTGTTGCTCGGCGCAGATCTCGTCATGCCAAGGACCGAAAGCAGCGCGTGTCATAGGGGCGTAGAGCGCTGGTAGCATGTATATATGTAGTTCAGTGGCGAATTGTGTTACGAAGCTTGTGCGGGACCGTCGATCAGGCCTGCAGGTACTTGATCCTTAGCTGGCCCTTAGCAGCATATCGCGCGATAGAAAACACTTTGTAATGTCAGGAGCTCCAGAGTCCTAGGAACATTCTGTGATGAGAAGAGCGGGCCGCCTTCTTCCGGGACTAGCGGACCATGGATTGATTAGTAACAACACTGGTCTACTATTTAATTCTACTTTGTTCTTTCCTTCTAGAACCTCGCCGGAACTCTCGGATGTAGCTAAGGATGTTGCTGATACATTCTCGATTGCTATCCCTGTGTCGACGGCCACGTCAGAAGTTCCAGTCCCCTGGCCGCGCGGTTCCCGAACTCTTTTGTGAGTCACTACTAGACTATTACTCTCCCCGATCGGAGTCTTGGTCCCTGCAGGGCAGACACTGGCCCACTAAAACTGTCAATCACGAACAGCTTTATCTACACATTCCACGCGTATTGGTAATGAAGTCACTGTATGGCAGTAATACATATATCTAGCGTGGACAACATCTTCATACCTCCACCAAGTCCCCCGCTCACTCAGCACTGATACCCGTCCCTTCAATACCATGACACTAGTATCAGATAATCCCAATATGTGGCCGCTAATAAACTTACATCGTATTTCCAGCTATTTTACAGGTTCGTGGAGAGTATTTCGGTGTTTTACTCAAAGTTTGACTAACATTTCACAGTTGCAGCCTTGATTGTAGTCTTATACGATTGAGGTGAGCAAAATATTTTATCTGGGAAATCATCGATATTTAATCGCACCATCCAGCACTGACTTTCGGACAGGAGGTGGGTTGGCAATTCGGTATCACTATTACTGGAGCAGCCATCTCACTAATAATGGTCTGGTAGTTTGAACTTGTCTGGGTGAGTAAAATCTCATCAGAAGAACAACGCTTGGTTAAGTCGGGCAGAGGAAACGCTGGTCCTTTATGACTGTTCTATATATAAGCGTATGTGCTAACTTACATATTGGCGAGTCGTGCTGACTTCAACATATTCTAGGTGCGCTACACCGGAATAATATACTGCATGTATGTTCGCAAGGCTTACAAGTTAGCACTGTGCTAACGAGCCATCTCTCACGGACAGCAATGCCGTCCTGCGTATGTTTCCTTACGTGCTTACAATGCGTCCATTTCTTCTGATTAGCAACATCATGTGCAGCAACACTTCCGTCATTCTCGGTGACAGATGCAGTGGGTATTCCGTGCAAACGCCTGTTATTCTCGTCCAGCTAACTGCACTCCTGTGTAGAGGTGAGTGTAATTGTCGATCAACTTCTTGAATCGATATAACGACTGAGCTAGCTGTGAGTTCATTCGAAGAATCGAGCCCTCCGATGCTCATTGGTTACTGGGTTTTTAGGCACTACTTTTTACCTCGTACAATGGTGGATACTCGTGGTCGTAAATGCAATGCTAGGCGGTGAGTTATTCGGCTGCAGCACCTGGGCATTGACTGAAATATCATGCAAGTTATTATGATCGCTCGATTAAATGCCATGTATCAGCGATCCCGAAAGATATTCACCTTTCTTGTTGTAACCTTCGTGGTTAAAACAATTCCCTGTGTAGTAATCAGTGCAGTAGACAGCAGTCATGTTTCAGGAGGTGAGCTTACAAACAACCTCAACACATCAAGCTCATGGGGTAAATTCCAGCGGAACTCGTTCTCTCCAACATCCATCTGTGCAGTTACGAGGGAGTGAACTTACTCATGAGGGCTGAGAATTGGATACTCATCACCGCATGGGAGATCCTCATACTGTGTCTTGCAATCTGGATTGCTGCAAGACACTTTCGGGAACTGCAGTACCCATCCACAGGCTCGGCAATCGGAGACTGTTTCACGGTGTTAATTAAAACTCACGTGCTTTACTTTGCAGCGTGAGCTTGTCGATTTTAAAGGTGATTATCTCTTTCGCTGATGATGTATGCGTTAGCTTTACTGTTGTTTCTGGCTTTAACCTCGGCCTGCTGTCCCAAAATATCTCGGTATGTCAATCTGTGACTGAATTTGCATTCGATCATCCTCACCGTTTCTAAAGGAGTCAATTTCCGTGGGGGCTGAAACGTATCTTGGCATTCTTCGTGTCTTCTCTTTGGCGCAGACGTTTCTGCTCGGACCACGCCTCATCATTGGTGTTCGAGAATATCACACTATGCTCGTGGCCAACTCTGATGAAGGAAACAGCATTACTACAATTGCTTTCCAGGAAGGCGCACATGTCTTAACTTATGGAGATGCGTAGCACGTGAAACGATGGAAGCATTCTCGGGTACGGCTGCAGGCACTATTCATGATTTCGTTTTGGGATGCATTTGGAGCTTGTTGTTTCGAAACAGGCCTGAAAGAGATCATTACAATAGGTACGACCAAATCAACACAACGAATCATTGTTGGACCTCGCTGGCCAAAGTCACATCGAGCGATTGGTTTCGTCGCAACAAGACTGTTACCTTGATTGAAGAAATCTTGTTTGTTCGAGTGAGAATAAATGCTGTTGCTCAGTGGCCTGTGTACCTCGGACTTGGCATTTCACGAGCGCCAGTAGCTCGCACTGCTGCCAAACTTCCTTTCACACTTCTGAGTTCCATCTTACCAGAGTCTAATAGCCGGTGAATAAGTTGGAGAGCAGAATGCCGCGGCGGTGATGACCGGAAATGGTGTTGTGACTCAGTAGTGGTGGTGGCGATGAATTGTGCGGGGTTTCGTGCAGAGCTTACGCAATTCGATAGAGCGAACGCAGCTGTCCACCAGTGCCTCCTGATCCAGATATGATAAGTGGACATACTACCGTTATACGTGTACTAGGCTGCGTTTGGGCTGCGTGCAAGTCAGTCGACTATGGGGTAACAAAGTACTCGGTCGAAGTCACTAACTGCCAGAGCTCAAGCGCTCAGTGAAAGTCCGCTCTAAGTTAAATCCAACTTACGCACGCATAGGTGCAATAATTTCAAAATAGTGTGTTTTCACTATCTCTGCACGGAACACCAATCTGAAACAGTGATAACTTGGTGATAGAATTTTCCTGATGTGTACCAGATGGGTACCGCGACACATCGTTACCTTAAGCCTTGGGTTCATCTGCTTGGCGATCGGCACTAGTTTGAGTAAACTGAAGACTCAAGAGGCGTGTGATCAGGAAACTTCCGATACAATTGTGTAACTCATCAGTGTTTGGTTGGTGTAGGAGTTGTTCCCAAATCACTGTATGTGTGTTATATGTACATGCGTTGTACTTACGGCAGGTGATACCGTCCTCAAGGCCTCACTTACGACGTGGATGATATGACCCGTGGTGGATGAAATCGTTTGAGATCATGTATCAAGCTAAGTCTGATCCGATCTAGCGGGCTTTTCCGCGGTCGTCACTTGTGACAGTGACTGACAGCGGTGGCATCAACCTGGGAGTACTGATTTTGCGGCCTCTGCATGTGCAAATACTCCTCATTCTCTGTGGAAGCTCACAACGCGTCCTTTGTGCGGTGCTGATTTGCCGGTCTAAACACTATGCTATCTGGAGGCACCAGGAGGCACTCCAGAACTGTCAGCCTGACTCCTGTTCGGACCTTGATCTGGCGCACCACGGACTTCTATTGTGATCAGTGTAGCGTTACGATATAGCTGAGGTTGGCATTACCCTTGTGATGATATAATTCTAGGTTTGAGAACATGACTATTTCTAGATGACCTACCGTTTTGAATGTTTAGTGAGAGGTCCCTGCACTCGGTCACACAACTTGCGAGTGGGAACGCCGACGTTGCTCACTCCTCTTTTTGTTCCTGGAAATGAAATTATACATTGTCGATAGGTCACCCGACTTGAATACAGGATCACAAGAAACGGATATGTTTAATCTGTCTATCAGCAGTCCTGATAGCATGAGAAATCAGTCGTAAAGGTTCTTTTTGTTCTATCGTTTCTCCAAACCTATACTTCGTCCTGTGCGAGGGACTTGCAGCGTTGGCATGGAATTAAGGCATATCATCACTGCCAAGACATCTTATGGCCTTCCTAGTTCCAATGTCCAACGGCACACAGGAGGGCATCTATCCTTCCAGGTATCTATTTATTATCGATGACACTATGTGATCACACTACGCCTCTTATCCCTCTTCTCGCCCCACCATCCCGCCATGGCTACAAGTCGCTACCAGGGACACTGCCGGACAAGTGCTCTGGAGGATGACGGTCGCGATGATGCAGTCATTATACCACAGACTGCTAGCGTGACGCCATTGGTTGGGAACATTCCTTTGACACCGCCCCGCAAGTTGAACCAAGTCCTTGGGCTGGTAACGCCTCTCGCGACCCCGGACTCTCAGTTACGACCCAACTCCTCTGAAATTCGTTTCACCTCTCCACCTCATACCCCTGTCCGACGTCCCGACATCCCAAAGGACACGAAGCTGCTGACCGTCACAGGAAACCCATCTGAATGGTCTAGCGACCAATCTACTGTTCCTTTTCTGCTCCTGACAGGGCTTTTGACGCCCGACAACACGCCTCCGCGTCTTAGTAAACCAAGATCCGTACCTATCGATCATAAGGAAGAGACGACAGACAAATCAGAGTCGAGCCACTCTCTAGAAATCACCCCGACTGTGAAGATCTCGGAAACGTTAGTGTTATTTCTCGGCCTTCAGAAATCCCTGACCTCAAGTTGCACGATAAGTTCCGAACTTTATGCGAAAGTCATTCAGAACACCAGAACATCGGAGCCAGTTACGACACAATGCAATGGCATTACCAAGAAGACGAAACGCCGATGCTTTAAATCGGTCAAAGCCCCTAATCGTTATTGCGTCTACCATATTGACCAGGATACTGGCCCTCCCTCTAATTCATCTGTAAGTGTGAGGGGTCCACACCGCCTTGAATCCCAGGATACTGCTACGAAGCCAACAACAGACGTAAATTCGCAATGCCAACGTTCAGTCAAACCTCCGGCTCAATACTGCCATCAGCATGGATATCAAAGCAATAATATTCCTACCACATCCATCGCACCGCAACCGACGACAGAGGTGAACTCACAGTGCCACGAACTCACACTGCATGGCATTCAGTGCCGTCTTCCAGTCACATCTTCAGTTCAATCCTGTTATCAGCATGGATACCAAAGCAATAACGCTCCTACGACACCTATCGCTCCGACATTGACAATCGAAGTGAATTTTCGGTGCCATGGACTCACACTGCGCGGCATTCAGTGCCGACGTCCAATCAAACCTCCGGCTCAATACTGCTATCAGCATGAATCCCAAAGTACTAATACCCCTACCGCACCCACCTCACCTCAGCCAGCGACGGATGTGAATTCGCAATGCCATGGACTCACACTACGTGGCGTTCAATGCCGATGTTCAGTCAAACCTCCAGCTCAATACTGCCATCAGCATGGATCTCAAAGTACTAGTACCCCTACCACACCTACCGCCCCAAAGCCGACGACAGATGTGAATTCGCAATGCCGTGAACTCGCGCTACGTGACGTTCAATGCCAATCTCAAGGCAATATGACCCCTACCGTCCGGCCAACAGTGCAATGCAATGCCAAATCCAAGTCGAAAGGACGTCGATGTAAACTGTGGGTCTCGATTATCCCCGGGCAACTCACAAAGGATTCTTCGCAACCAATCTATTGTCGTTATCATATTCCAGCTCTAGTGGGAATTATGACACACGTTGCCAACGAGGGGTTCAAAGTGCAGCCGGTCGGCCGGGAAGAGGTTTTCGTCCGTTTTTGTGGTAAGGTGATTGTTACCGATTCTATTGAACCTTCTTGAACGTTCAATAGACTATATTCCTGAATATCTGCAACCCGATACTCGACAGCGACTACGAAATGCCATCACAAGAGATATTTCGGAAAGGTTCAGGATACCAGGCTACGTATATGCGCTAAACGTGTTCGGTAGGTTTTCCTTGACCCACCATAAAACGCTAGCCTGCAAGCTGAGCCCTTAACAAGACCCCGAAATTGAGGGAAAGCTTTCGTTGAAGATTGGATATAGCAACGATGTCAAGAAACGTCATGCAGAATGGAGGAATAAATGTCGATCTTCCATAAGAGATGTTCGCGGGTGGTGGCCTGGGACCATAATCGAAGCCAAGGATGATGACAAGATGTCGATACAGGAGCTCATCGGAAATAACCGCCAGGGTGCCAAGGGTCCGATGGCTGAACACCTCGAACGGTTGGTGCATATCGAGCTCAATGATCTGGCAACGCATGCTCCTTACCTGCATCCCAATTTTCCTGACGTCCACTTTTCGGACATTCCACGTCTGCCAAAGGCTGATCCTAAACCCTGCCGCGATTGTAGCAAGTTATACCTACTGAATGATTGCGGGCAGGTGCTAAAGTTTGCGGATTTACAGATGGGACCAAACACCAGGAAGTATTCTCATTCACGCGCGTCAAGGAAGGTGAGTTCTTTGGAAGGGAATGGGAAGATATCATCAAACCTGTGATAAGGAAGTGGGGATTATTTCTCATGGAATATTTTGCTCCGAGTTAAGGTGGTGCATGCATATGAGTTTTGCGAATGACTCTTGGACTTGATCGCTCTTTATATTTATTGCGGAGGTTCACTTGTGTCATACATCGCGGACATTTTATTGGACTCAGGGTCCGATGTTGTACACTGGCCTGTATTTTGGTATGCTGACTTGTCGTAGCATTGTATGAGTTCTATTATAACAAGTGTTGACAGCAACGTTCAGAATCCAAAGTGAGGTGCGATGTTAATTACCAGGTCTAAGTACTGTCGAATGACCGCCGACTCGGACCAGGCTGGTCCCAAGCCAGTACCTATTACATCAATTTTCACTTCCAGTACTACAATCCGCCAGTCCCAAGCCTACCCTGCAGTAAGCCGTATTTTTTACTAGCGTGATCATTGTTCACTTCTGTCATTTGTCACCTCAGTTGTATCACGAAATTCAGTACAACACTCCCATCATTTTTCACTTCCAGCACCATTGGTCCTAGCCTTCCTGCTACCTTCTCGCACCCTCCACTATTTTTGTTCCACCCCTCCTCAACACCAGTAAGTACCCTAGAACGCAATAGCAGGTGCCAACGAGAAACCATTGTACAGCAATGTGACAAAAATAGAGCGAAGGACTTGATGAGGGTAGCAAGCGGTGCGGTGAGATCTCGGAGACACTTACAGAGCAGGTAAGCCTGTATTTAACCTCCCTACCTGGGCTGCCTCCATAGTATTGCCCTCCCCTGCTACTTTTGCCTGCCACTGCCACAACCAACAAGTACTTTCTGTTACTGCCCAAAACTTTCCGTCGCCTTCTGTTGTATGGCTCCCGACTACAGTTTCATGTACCCTCCCACATTCCCTGCACCCAGTTGTGCCACTCCCAGCATGCTTGAACTGTACCTTTCGCTTTCCACACCCGCCCACTGCCTCGCGCCCCAAAACCAACACTTCCAAGACCTTTGAACACATCGCTGCACACCTATACACTCTGCCATACCATTCTTATGCCCAAATGCACCCCCGCAGCACATGTGGATCCTCGCCGCCTCTGGTATTATCCCGCTGCCTCACGCGCTCAAACATGGTTTTCGTCACTCTGCCGCACCCTCCCGGTGTCCTACTGTCCTTCTTCTCACTTTTACACCATTCCGCCAACCTATTGTTACTGCCTGACAACAACGACCATGATATCTCAAATGCTTACTGCTGACTGCCTCTCGCAGCCTTCTTGTGGTTCACGCCTGGTGGGTCTTGATTCGAGCACGAAGTTTGAAGTGATATTTTGTTTAGATGCAAGAGGTTATAAGGGCAGGAAACGATTGTTGTGTTCACACTAGTGGCATGTGCATGTGCGACCATAGCCGCGCAAAGCTCCGTGAAAACCATGCGAACTGATAGATTGCACAAGGTCGTTGTCATAGACGACGAGCGCGCGAGTAATTACACTTAGAAGGCATTCAAACCACAAACCAGAAATATTAGCGTGCGTGGCAGTGTTTTGGTGTATCGCAGCAGAAACTTCGAAACGCCATCAAAATGGATCTTTCATCGAGGGACAAGAAACCAGGCTATGTATATGCGTTTGATGTGTCTGGTAGGTATTCCTTGATTCATTGTAAAAACATTGGCCTACAATCTGAGACCTTACAAAGACCTGGATCACGAAGGAAAGCTCGTGTTGAAGATTGGGTTCAGTAAGAACATCAAGAAACGCTACGAAGAGTGGAAAGATCAGCATCCATCTATAGAGAACGTTCGCGGGTGGTGGCCCAAGACCATAATCGAAGCTAAAGACGATGACAAAACCTTGATAAAGACACTCATCGAAAGCAATGACCAGGGCGCCTTGGGTCTAATGGCTGCAAAACTCGAACGATTGGTGCATATCGAACTCTGGGACCTAGTGACACACCTTGCTTATCTGCATCCCGAATTTCCTAACGTCCATTTTTCGGATTTCAAATACCAGGACAAGGTTGTTCCTAGACCCTGCGATGAATGTACTGGTACAATACACAAGGAGATATTCGCATTCACACGCGTTGAGGAAGGTAAATTCAAAGGGAGAGAATGGGAAGATATCGTCAAGCCTGTGATCAGGAAGCGGGGGCTATTCCTCGTGGAATATTATGCTGAAGGTGACCATGACGATACCACGAGTTTTGCTAATGACTCTTGGGCTCGACTCCTTTTTATAACTATTGCCACGGAGGTTCACCTGTGGACGCTCTTCATTTTGATATGTCCGAGTCGCGGATATCTACTGGACTTAGTTGGGATGTTGTATACTAGCCTGTATTTTAGTGTCCTTCGTAGCATGAGTTCTAGCATTCGTACGTTCAACATCGACCTGTAAACACTCAGGATCTGGGACGATAGCATCAGTTAAGCCACCGATTCCTTATGTTCCTTAACGTGCCTTCAAATTTCGTGGCGACAAGCCTACTTCTTGCTTTTTGTACTTTGTTCCTTGGCTGAAAGCAGGTCTACCGTGGCGTACAATCGTTTCCCAAAAAAGGCAATGCCGACGGTCTCTTGGCATTAGGACGATCGGTCGCATGGCAATGACCATTGTTGACAGGATTCGATCATCCTTCTTGTCCTCTTTTTTTTTGTGGACTTTGGCATAAATGGCGCACATAAAGGACTTTCCGTTGTTGTTTGCTGTTTTAGCTTTTCTGTCTTGACCTTTGCCTTCTGACCCTCGTCGCTGCGCGTCTTCAAATTTTGGGCTTGACGCCTCATTCTATTTCTGACACTTCAAAACATTCGCCTACGATGTTCTCGAGCTTATTCTTGGCCTTGGGTGTAGTGTCACTGGCGCAGGCCGCCCAGTTTAACGTTACTGTTGGTGGAGGACCATTAAGATATGATCCACAGTTTGTTGTATGTCTCTGTAGTCAATTTCGCAGTATTCTTACTCATTAACGTGAAGAATGCAAATCCTGGAGATATCATCATCTTCACTTTTAAACAATCTAACCATACGGCTTCCCAATCTACTTTAGCCCAGCCATGTGTGAAGGCGCTCAATGGATTTGACTCTGGCTAGTAAGCACGAACATGCCGTTGTATAAGTTTAGACTGACATATATTGGCGCACATAGCATGCCAGTATCAGCCAGTAATACGAACGGCCCGTTCCCTGCAGCGCAGTATACGGTGCAGGACATGAACCCAGTTTGGGTATACTGCAAACAAGCCGATCACTGTCAACAGGGCATGGTCTTTGCCATCAACCCAGGCACTCAGTTTGCTGCATTTCAAGCAGCGGCCATGGGCAATACTACGGCCTCCTCATCCTCGTCCGTTTCAACGACTGCGACTACTCCCACCGGGGTCGTCACCGCCACTGCGACTGTCACGGGAGGTGGGCAAACTATGACTACAACCTACGGTTCGTTCCCTGGCAGCTCGGCACCGACAAGCGGAACCAGCACGGATCATAAGGTCGTTGTTGGTGGCTCGACCCTGACGTATACGCCGTCGAATATTACTGCACAAATTGGAGATACGGTAACGTTCCAATTCATGCAAAAGAATCACACGGCAACGCAGAGCACGTTTGCGGATCCGTGCCGCGCACTTACCCTCACGTCTACGAGTGGACAAGTTGGGTTCGACTCTGGATTGTGAGTATTTTTTGTTGGTTAAGTGATGTGTGAGACTGACAGCGCTGTTAGCATGGCTGTTGCATCTACTGCGACGACATTCCCGACGTACACGGTCAAAATTAATGATGTAAGGAACTTGGCATCGTATGATTTTCTGTACTGACATCGAGTGCCTTAGACTGCACCGATCTGGGTATATTGTAAACAATCTGGACACTGTGGGCAAGGCATGGTGTTCTCTGTGAACGCGGTCGAGTCCGGAGCCAACAACTATGCTGCATTCAAGGCGCAAGCAATCCGACTCAACGGGACCTCATCCTCGACCACGAGTACAGGAGCACAAGCTACACAGACGAAATCGGGTGGTGTGGTGAAGATGAATCAGAATGATCGTGGGACAAGCGTCTTGGTTGGCCTTGTGGGTGTAGCGGCTGGCATGTTCCTGACATGAGGCTGTCATGAGATGTATCTTATCACATCTTTCAATTTTGGTGTATCGTATGGGCTGCTCGTTCCTTATAGCATGTAGTACTATGTTGTCCCGCTGATCATGGTAATTGAACTGTATACTGTACTAGATTCACAATGTGGGTGTGGGTTGGGCTAAAATTTAAGTCGATCTAAGTAATAGTCTCCAATTATGTAATGCCCTTAATGAGAGAGGTAACGCTGCATTAATGTGAGGCGCCTGCGGTTGTTGTAGAGGACGCCGGTGAGAAGGCGTTCACGCTGCACAACCAGTGCCCTGACGGGCTCACGATCCTGATTTTGGTCGTCGTCATTCCGACGGGCGTCCTGGGTTTTGCTGTGTACCATCCTCTGTTCACGCTACTCGGACACACAAGTGTGTCCACCGACTTACTACAAGTTACTTTGCAGACATTTTGTATATCCAATTGCTCAGCTGAGCCATGGATTCATCGCCTAATGTCCCGTATCAGGCCTACAAAGTGCGTCGATCATCTCAAATCCTCATTCATTCTCATTTAAATAGAAAAAGTCGAAACGACATTCTCGAGTAGTCTCATCTATTCAGCTGGCTCCTAATGTCTCCCCGCCGCCCATGTCCCGCCCATCGAGCATCACATCTATCGTCCCTTCTATCCCAGCTCCTACATCCACTCGTCCACACGAATATTTTGAGTCTGAGAAGGTTCTGGCAGTCTCCACAGAGTATCCAAGTGTCATTACAGTTGTAACAGACAAGACACGAGCTCCCAGCACCGATATGGTACATTCGAGGGACCTTCCTTCCTCACCAACCACCAATAGCTCACAAACTAGTACTGAGTTACCTTCCCAGAAAGCATTGATGTTGCGCTGCCAGATCCTGTCCATGCCCCCGTGTCCGACGAGCCAGTTCCACGTACAAATGGAAAAGACAAAGAAATCGAATTACCAATTTCATCCCCTGCATCCTCCATAACAAACCTGCCTGCTGCTTCTCCGAAACCATCCAGGTTCAGGCGCCTCCGTCCGCCCGCTGCGAAATCCCTGCTCGTTTCGCCTCTCCGTCCACCCGTCACCCACTCACCCGCACCATCGACATCTAGCCGTCAACTCGATGCACCGCATTCACCCGTGATGCACAGCCGTGTCACCTCGGTTACATCAGTGATATCAGATAGTGGTAAACTACCTCCGCCAGTCGTACTTCGAAGAGAAAGCGCGCCTTTTCCTCAAAACATGATCAGTCCACCCCCGCGCTCGTCTTCGATGGTTATACCCCTGCCACCGCCGACACTCTATTCACCCACACCCATACCAGCACCTCTACCGCCAGCTTCTACATCAGCCCCAGTATCAGCAACCGCCTCAGGTTCGGCCTCTCCCGCAGCGTCAACTCCCTCCCTCCCCTCCACCTCATCTACACCTGCATATTCCTCTGCACACGCACGTATATCCACCCCTGCGCGGTCTACAGCGCCTTACCGTCCAGGCTTCCAGCCTAAGGGTGTGTATCGGCCCCGTACATGATGAATTTGCTGAATACCGGAAGAAACGTGCTGACGAGGGGCGGATGGAACGAACAAAGCTAGAGCGCAGGCTAGAAAAGCTTATCGCTTTGCATTTCCCTGTGGAAAATTCTGTTGAGAAGGGCGTGAGTGCGAGGAAAGATGAGGTCGGTGTTAATGGAAGAGGAATGGAGAAGAGGAGGGCCTCGTCGTTTTTCAACCTCGACCTTAAGAATATGGATGCGGGTGAACTGTGGAAAGGGGTATTACAAAGTCAAATGATACAGGGCTCCAACGGTGATACTCGAGGTATATGATATTGCTCGTTTTGTTGAACTGGGTATTGACTAAAACAATTCCTTTTCCAGCTGCAGAGCAGCGGATAACACCGTGGCAGGATGATGCCGCCGTATCTAAATGTCCTCTATGCATGTATGTCTTCCTTTTCATATCTACATCTCTAAAACCACCACTGTTCGAACATGATAATCTTACTTGCATTCCTCCAGCGCGTCCTTTCACCCACTTACGAACCGTAAACATCATTGTCGCCTCTGCGGTACCATCATCTGCAGTCTTCCTCCAAAGCTTCCGCAGCGCCAGAGCCCCTGTTCAGTGCTCTTCGTTGTCGATGCCAAGACGAGGCGCATCGAGGAGGTTGGGGAGGGCGTCGATTACGGTGTGCGTCGTGCGGGCGCCGGTGAGGAGGAAAAATTCCTCCGTGGCGTCAGGATATGCCGTAGCTGCAGACCTGTGCTCACGCGACAGCAGTATTGGCAAGAGATGGCGAGTGTGCCGCCGTTTGTAAGGCTCTATGATGTAAGTGGGTTACTGGAGCTATTGAGCTTGGGTGATACTGATTTGGACATAGGCATTTATTAGTCTCGAGAAAGAGATAGAGGATGCAATTCCGCAGTTTCAGGACCTGCTTCTCACACTCAGGTACGTATTGACTGGGCTCTGATTTTGCACAGATTAACGATAACTCTTTTGCATCTAGCAATGACGACCAGCCAACTAAAGAAGCGTCCGCAGCACGGAAACGTCTCCTAGATGCCTTTGCTCAATACGATGCTTTTGCCAAACGGATACGTGCCATTCCTTGCAATACAGGGTCTTCCCAGAACCACGTGCAGCTCGCAGTCCTCAGCAGGGCGAACCTATTTTTGCAGAAACATATGTTCCCATTGCAGGTACGTGAACCACGTTTCCTTCGATACTCTGAACTGACTAGCACGGTGTGCAGTCCCTGCCCAAGCCTAAGAAGCGTGATTCAACGTCATCACCTGTGCCTTTCGAGACACCACTTGTGGACCCCGATTCAGACCTCGCTCATACACTACAACCGCTTCTAGAACAAGAGGCTCTCCTCGAATCCTTTGTCGGCGAGGCGATGGCGCATCGCAAGTTCGAAGACGCGAAGACGCTCAAGGCGAACCTCGCCGAAATCAGAGCCGAAATCGATCGTATGCTAGGTGATGGTGTGCGGTGAGACGGAGACGCACGTGAGGTGATTATAGTTGGAGTGATTATAGCTAGTTGACGACTCGTTCATGCACGCAAACAAAGCGCTATCTCATGAATCTACCATTACATCCGTATCCTCATTTTTATCGCTCTGATAGATCTTCTTATGTTCTGGGACCCTCGTATTTCACATTCACATCACCTTCATGTAGGATCCAGCATAATATAGGCGTGGAATTTTAAAAGCAAGAGACAATACTAGTCGAATATGTAATGTGAGATATTGGTATGATGATGCTACAATAACTGCAGGTATGCTTCATGCGTCGTGAGGATGAATCGTGGATATAACAATTAATCAAAGCCACCAGGGCTCAGCCTTCATCACTCGTGTCCCGCATACGAGGTATATTGAAGGACTGGTTTGGAAGAGCGCTCCGAGGGGCTGCTATGTGACCAAATAGTTTTAATGTCTTCGGCTGCGTGGAACTGCGGCTCCTGGATAAATTTGCACCTAGCCGCCCATCCTCGGCGATCAATCCGACTGCGGATGGCGCCAAGATAGCAGTCATGGGACAATATGGTCGTGGCGTCGATGGCGAGAATGACGAGACATGTAGGAGCATCACAAACTCCTGCGTGGCATTTGTCAATGCCAACATTTTGCCTAAGAGATCTGAGAATACGGCGTGGGACGTGCCGTGCGTTTTGACCATATTTGACAATTTGACCACAATCTGTAGAAAAAATATCCCAGTAGTCAGCGTCAGATGACCCCAGTGAAATCGAAAAGACAAGCGGATCACCACAGGAATGGGGCCAAGACAAGGCAATCAGAGGGATGAATCACCTTGACGAACACGTGTGCGTCCTCGCGGAGCCTTTTTCTGTCAGCCCCTGGGTCTCCGCACCGCATTGCGTTTATATTAGTACGCAGGCGCTCTGTGGTAGTTTTAGCCTTAAGCAGTGTATTGCGGAATTCTTCAGCTCCTTCGGATAAATTGTCCACGATCTCTTTCAACATCTCCCATACTGCGGGTGCTGCCTCCACTGCCACTTCCATCGCGTCGAGGGCGTCTTTGTCGACAAGTGTCCGTGAAGGAGGTATTTCGAGTGTCGGGCGTCGGGCAGGTACATAAGGCGATGAAGGCGCAGCTGATGGCGTCAATGATGTTTGGGAGGCTTGCCGGGAGTGTTGCCCAGACAGCAATGACGTCCAAGGCATGCTAGAGTTCATCAATGAGGGAGTCAAGCTCGATGTTGATGCTGAAAGCGGTAGCGCCGGATGACGTTGTCCTGCTCGAAGTGTCGTTGCTGTGGAGTTTACCACTGCGCCAAATGGCACTGGCAGGTCATATGATGGCAATGATTTACCAATCTCCACGTCTTTTGAACTGAACGACCCAGCATGGCGCCGCGTGGTTCTTGCTCTACCAAGGGATTGTGTGGGCCGTGATCTGGCGATTGGAACACCATGCGGTGGCGGTGCATTGAATGGGGAGTACGGCGGTGGTGCTGAAGAAGGAAGCTCGGGGTTGGGATTCGAGGCTGGTTGGGGCTTCACTACATGGTGTCGTCGGCGATCCGAAAGGTGAGGTTTGATAGCTTCAATGTGTGGAACCATCGACTGCCACGCACTCGATATCTCAGCCATGGCGCCGTAAAAGATAAGCACCAATGACCGCATATATCGGTCATCATCTTTAGATGCAAGGATGTTCAACTGCAGTGACATCATCGCAATAGCTTTGCCAAACATGGCCGCAGTATCTCTACTACTCTCCACAAGTGCTCGGCAGAGCGAAGGGGGCGGCGTTGTTTTCTTGCAAATTGCATCAAACCGATCGAGAGCACCGTTCAACTGCATCATGTAAGTATACGCAGGGTCGGTGACTTTCTTCAGCACAGAGGATAGTTGTCGGTCGTTGGTATAAGTGATGTAGTGTGAAAGTGCCTGATACACCTGTGAAACAGCGAAGAACAGCGACCGTGCACATTCTACAAGGGAGCGCAGAGAGGGCGAGAGATTGTTAATCATGGCTGTAGAGGGAAGCGCCGAGAGGCGCTTGAAGTATGCATGGCGTTCGACTTCGGGAACCGGCCGAGGAACATCGCCAGAGGTTGGAGATGCAGATGTAGGGGGTGTCTGAGCATATGCCTTTCTGCTTTGGAAATGCGAGGAACCGTCAGAAGATGATGACGAGTCTTGACGATGTGAAAGAAGTGAGGGCATGGGAAACTCGTCTTGCGACAGTAGATCAGGTGCGAGGACTCCTTTGCTTGCCCCCCTGATAACCTGCTTATTGACACCATCACTCACGTTGGCTGCACGGAGATCGGGCAGACTCTTCTTTCCGAACAGTGCTGAACGTCGATCACGAGCTGAACCGGCAAATGATGCATTACGGCCATGCTGTGGACCCTCTGGCACAGCTGTACTGTCATCATCTGTAGAAGACACAGACTCGGCAGGAGTGGGCAGGTAGGTCCCGATAGTCACTGATCGAGGTGGCACTTTGAACGGAGGAAGCATCCCCAGGCGTAGAGGTGGCGGCCGGTCAGAACGCGGCGATGTCGGCTTTGCAGGTCCCGGAAGGGGAGAAAAGTTGGCGTCGATAGAAAAGGAACGAGCATGAGGGGTAACACCTGGGTCTGAATCTTCCTGTATACGTGACCAGGACTGTATTTGGTCTTCGCTGTAGGTGCGTCAGCTGGCGTTCAAGTACGATAGAGACTCGATCCTTACATAGAGTTGTCCAAAGCAGCATTTGCACTGAGGAACGAGTCGACGCTGGGCTGTTTCACGTCCAAACGAGACCGAGAATTATTTCTCATCCACTTCTGCATGAATGTTATCCACTCCCTTCCTCCATCTGGCGTTTCCATGACATGCTTCGGCGGCCACTCTATGGGATTGTGATCTACCTTCAAGACGTCCAGTTCACGAAAGTCTGTAAAGTACCCCGGGATACGAGTTATTTTGTTGCGTGACAGGCAGAAAACCTGACAAGATCATGTTTGACACTAAAAGGAAGTACAGGACTACGGAACGTACCTTCAGGTGGATCAGGGAGCCTGATTGGCCCGGTAGTCTTTTAATTTTGTTTCGACTGAGGTCCAGAATCTCTAGGGACGGCATGACTGTCAACTGTGTCATGTTCAGTGACCGTTTAACGCGTGAACTTCAAGGCTACTCACCACATCGGGAAAAGAGGTGAAACTGTTGTTTTGCAAATTCAAATATCTCAAGCGAGATAGTAGGGCAAATGCAGTAGGGAGCGTAGCAAGGCGATTGTACCCCAATGCGATCCTAAAGTAGTCTGTAATGTGAAGTTGCGGCAACAACGCGTCGCAGCAACGTACCTGAGTACTGAACTCTCGTCATCGAGGGAGTCGTTCCTGCCCATGGTTGCCAGGTGTTCTGCGCCATCCTCACCGACATCTGTCAGGTTCCTGTGTGTGAGATCAAGGGTAGCGCCATTGTCGGATGACTGTCGAAGTGCTTCCGCGATGTGTTCTTCCGTTAGTGAGGCAGAGAGCAAAGGAGATAAAGCGCCATGTTTACTAGTACCCGGGAATGGAGACGTGCGCCCAGCAGCACGGTCAGCGTCCGAGACTGACATTTAGAGGATAAAGCAAGAGGAGCAGGGTCGACGGTCAGCAGGGCTTTCTAGGGCGTCGAACAAATAACGTATTGTTCCCAACAATGATTATTCTGAACCAGGCAGTCGTCGGTCCCATCCGGTCCAATGAATGCTGTACACTCACGCGGTCTATCCGACGCTTCCACATGTACAGTGGACAAGTCACAGTGGCAGATCTCATTCTCCGACTTTCGCATTGCTCGTAGTAATGGTCACCATCAACGTATATACGTATACAATGCCATTTTAAAACCACAACTAAAACCACATCGAAACAGAAAAACTCGTCTCTTCACTCCGCATTGCATGCCACCATCCAGGAGGAAAAAATAGCACATCACCGGGGGCCAAAGTCGTGCACATAGCTTTCTGCGGCACCCATTTCCAAAAATCAGGGAAAGCATCTCGCGAGACTTTCTCTACCTCCGGGGAATCAGGAAACACATCCACTCGAGATGTATTGCACATCGATGGCTCCGTAATGTTGGCCGCCGGATTGCAAGATTTATCAGCAGGGTCAGATGTCGATGTGCCGAATGGGTACATCAGATCGGAAACATCAGGCGGTGCGAGCCAGACAGTCTTGCGACCGACCACTTGGGCTAGCGCAAGAAGATTTAATATACAAGTAAAATAGCGCGCAAAGAAGTCGTTCACCATAGCAATTAAAGAAGGGGTCCTATCAAATAGTATTAGTATACTCGTGCATCGACAGGGCATCTAATCTTGAAGGGACTCACAGTATGGGCTGGGGAAATGGTACCCCTTGGGCCGAGCCACGCATTGATGATCAACCCATCCGTATTTCCCGGAGGTTTGTAAGCAGGATAACAAGATGGGGGATCAGGGCACGCATAAACGTATTCGGGAATACCAATATCCCCTTCAAGTGCCGGGAATTGCATGAAGAGGTTATGTTGTGCAAGGTATAACACCTCATTCTGGGGTTGAGCTGAGTGTTCAGGAAAATCGAGGGACTGCAGAAAACAGTCCCAGCTCATCAGCCTTTGGGTCCATTCCTCAGTCCTGTAGTCTTTTCCAACTTCAACAGGCACAAGACGACCAGGGCCCGCCACGGAACGGAGATAGTCAATAGACGCCCACGAACTTAAGGCTTTCCAACCTTGTACGTAACCATGACGTTGGAGTACAAATGGCTTTTGTGACCACTCCCTCCCGAAGGCATTTGGTGGAGGGTGAATGCAAGGAATACTAAGGAAAAAGGCGCTGGAGTGGTACATCTGTATCAGTGATTGTTTGTGACCAGAATAGGCTCTGAGTGGTTTCAGCGTTAGATTATCTTGGATATCTTTGATGAGTTGATGGATGGAATCCAATCTGCCTGGAGCGCCTGCTATAATGATAGCGCGATCTAAGAAAGCTACAGCTTCTGTAGCTGCTGCATCATCCTGTACCAAATCAGAAACCTCAGATACAGCATAAAAGAGGCAGGCGTCTGTGTATAGCCTTCGCCAGCAAAGGGACTCGGACGGCAGTAAGCGGCTCATTTCTTGATACGCCCTATCAATGAAAGGTTTCATTGATGTCCGCGAGTCGACGTTGTCATGCAATGAACGAGCCGCAGCGTAAAACTCGAGGTAAGCCGAGCCGCAGCGCCGTAAATCTAGTTTGTGATCGTGACCAGGACATTTGGTAATTTTCGACTTCTATTCGAAGAATGAAGCTTACCAACTGTGCACGGGTGACTTTCGTCACCCAATTCTGCCAGGAGTTGGTCAAAAAATTCAAGACTCATGAATCGACAGAGCCTGATAACCTGCAAACAAAATTAAGAGACAAAGATATACGTCTGGCGGCGGCTACATGGGCGTTTTGCTCTGCGGACTTCAACACTCCACGTGTGAAAGGCGTCGAAGTGTCACAAACACGCGAACATTTACGTGACAGAAACCATTTTCCGTCACGCGTGGCTGAAGATAAAAAGGACAACGGGGAAGGTGCGGCCGTGAGAAAATTCCCCAGACGATCATTTCCTCTCAAAGTAACCCATTGCATCCGGCCCGCGCCGAACGGCGTTGACCGCATTCCTTTTTCGGATATGACTTCGAGGTACGCCTTTCGCCCGCAGCGTTATTGCATACGAATAATCTAATGCTACTTCCAGGTTGGACAGGCTCCTCCTTCTTCTTGATACAGGATCTTCGTCCTCCGTGAGGAATACAGCAGCCAAACAACTTGCCCAACTTGCAGCCAAAAGTGTAATCAGTGATGTTGCAGTTCAAGACGATATTAAGTCAACTCGTCACCATGTCCCTCTCGGAGACTCCTCAGCATGGTCTGAGTTAATGGCCGTCGTGGCTCGAGTGCGTATAGCGTGTTCCACTCCATGTCTCTATGCTAATTTTCGCTCACTCAGATTTTACCTTATTTGCATTCAAAGAGTCATGAAACAAGGTCGGCCGCATCAAATGCACTCTCACAAATATTCTCCCTTGTGCCAGTATGGCAACCACAAGCTGTAGACATCAAACCTCCCCTAGATCTAGATACATCTTCCTCTGATTTTCCTGCATTTTCTGTACAAGAACTCATGCAGAAAGGCGTGCTGCTTCTTGCATCATCCGGGAAAGAGTTCTCAAAGCCAACGGGCATCCTTGCAAACGCAGCAGAGGTTAAGAGAGCTCGTAAGGAGGCCATGGGTCGGCTAGGTCTCGACTTCCTTGAAAGTGTGGGGGCTGCGGATGATATGGACCTGGACAAGGAACTCGCCGTCGAAGGGGAGACTGAAACTGATCATGACAACGAAATTTACCCTAAACGAGAGGACACTGCTACCCCCATAGACTCCCCAATGGATATCGAGGCTCCAGTGAAACGTGAACGGTCGCCCCCTCCTTCACTATCTCGCCCGAAGAGCACCACGCCCGCTGCACCGTCACCCGTAACAGAGGGAGAGTGTCTTAATGGACTTTCAGCACGCGAACGAAACCGCCTGAAACGTAAACGGAAACCAGGAAACTCTGCATTTGTTGCGGCGCCCCCTCCACCCCCTACTGGGGCCAAGTACAACGCAACTCCTGCAGGGCCATCAAATAAGTAAGTCCAACTGCAACAGTAGTTCCTTATGTATCTCACTATCTTAATTGCTCAGAGTGCGATTGGTATCAGCAGAACCGCAGGACGCGCCAAGGTCACGATTAGATAGCCCTGTTGACACTGTCAAATCATTCGTTCAGGAGAAGGTTGTCATAGACCCATCAAAGGGTGGCGCTGTGTCACCGAAAGCAGCCCAACAATCACATGCGCTGGAGGTCATTCCAGGGGCTTGGGTGTGGCAAGGCATTGTAGCCCTCCTAGAGGTCGACTTATTCTCTGCAAATTGGGAATCAAGACATGGTGCTGCCATGGCTTTGCGCGAGTTGCTCAAGGTCCAAGGATTATCAGGTGGCATGAAAGGTGACATTTGACGTTCGTTATAGCGCCGAGCTTGTTCTTGACGACAGAGTTTAGACGGTTTATCCACAGAAGAAAATTCCCTTGCACATGAGCGTTGGTGTAACGACCTAGCTGCAAAACTTTTGTGCATTTTCGTCCTCGACCGTTTTGGGGACTTCGTCTCTGATCAGGTTTGTTTTCTTTCTCTTTATACACTCACACATAGCACACGTCCTGAGTGCACTATAGGTTGTTGCACCTGTTCGTGAGACGGTGTCACAAACACTCGCATCTCTACTGCTACACATGCCTCAGCAGTCCGTGAAGCACGTCCATTCCATACTATTGCAAATGATCCGACAAGACTTCCCGTTGGGGCACAAACCAACCAAGAGCAAGAAAGGCGATGGTAGCCATGTGTGGGAGGTTCGGCACGCAGGTCTTCTTGGTATCAAGTACGAGGTCGCCGTGCGAAGTGATCTTTTTGAGACAGCTGGTGATACAGGAAAAGAGATTCTGCAGGGCGTCGTCGATGCCGCAGTGCTCGGGTAAGTATGTCGTGTAGTATTCATGGTCACCTTGCTGACGTCTGGCCATGCAGCCTCAGTGATCCTGATGATGATGTTCGTGCTGTTGCTGCATCTTGTTTGCTTCCAGTTGCAGGTCATCTTGTCGAACAGCTTCCAGAATCTCTGGATAGAGTGCTTTTAGTTCTCTGGAACTGTCTACGTGGCATGAAGGATGACTTGAGCTCAAGTGTTGGCGCAGTGATGGATTTGTTGGGTAAGATTTTAATTGTTGTCTCACAGGGTAGTACTCACGGGCGGTAGGTAAACTCGTAACTTATAGCAAGGTCATTGATATCCTTGCACAAGCTAGCGTGTCGTAAGCTTCTCTTATTTATTCTCGGTCATGTCTAATGGTCCTGACCAGCCTCCCGCTCACGGAACTGGCACCCACACTCTTCCCGTTCTTCCGACATACGATCCCCAACGTTCGTCTCGCCGTAGTCAAGACTTTACTTTCCTTCATGACCGTAACTTCCCTTCCCCGCGAATGGATCGTCACGCCATTCCTTCGCCTCCTTTTCCAGAATTTGGTTGTGGAAGAACGGGCGGATATTCGCGCTGTCACTTTGACAGCCTGGCGGACGGCGCTCGAAGTCGTAGCGGATGTGCCTGGATGGATGAAGAAGTTGGTGAAGCAGCAAACCGTCCTTGATTGGTACTCGACCATGATGACGCCGCTTGGCGCTCCTATCGATTGCTCGACGTTTCATTTTCCTGCCTTCACGGAAGATGACAGCGACGCAGGCCCTCTGGAGAGGCATAATGTCGACAGGAACATGCTTGCCCAGGATCTATCGTTGGTCAGTGCAGAGGTAATCATACAGGCTCGGATTGCAGCGGCTACCTCCATGGCGTATTTAATGATTTATTGGCCTCCCAAGGTGCTGCGTTTTTCAGCGTGTCGGTTTGCTTCTGATGATTCATTTGCAGTCCATCGACGAGCTTTTCCAGCCCATACTCGTGCATTACTTGCAGTCAACCAGCATGCTTCAGAAATTCTTGGCTGCCCTCGTCTCGGAGGAATGGGCCCGCGCATATGACGCAGCGTCGCCTACTGCACTCATCATCGAGACGTTTCCTCTTGCAGCAGAGCTTAGCACGATGTGTTTGGCTTGGTTACAGGGCACGCCTCCGATCGCATATCACGAGATGGCGTTCACGCTACACCGCATCCACTCAGAGTGCGCTGCGCTCCTTCGTTGCTTCGCAACTGATTGCAAGATTCCCATCTCCTTGATTCCGCATCTTGGTGACGAGATTGATATCACTGGCACAAAACCGAATAGTTTCACCATCGAGACTGCAGAAGAAGCGGTTGGTCCGATGTACATGAAACTGAAGGACAGCCTTGGGCGCACGAAGAAGCGCGAGTTGGGAGTTATTGCCGAGAAGAGACAAAAGGTCATGACCAGCATCGAACAATACTCTGAGGTCAAAGCACAGAACGACACTCGTGTTTCAGCGGCTTTTGCAGCCGCCTTCGTTGCGTTCCGGAGTACCCCAGATAAAGTTAGTCCTGTGGTCAAGGGAATCATGAACGGCATCAAGGTATGTTAATTGTTGACTTTCAATTGCCAAAAAAAGCTTACTTTGTTCCAGAACGAGGAAAATCTGGATCTCCAGACCCGCTCAGCCGTGGCAGTAGCACTATTCATCGACTTCTGCTTTCAACACAATATTACGCAGCCGCCTGACAAAATTGTCAAGAATTTGTGTACATTCCTATGTCAAGATGTGGAACAAACACCGACCTTTGCCTATTCGCGATCCGTCTACAAGGGTATTCTGTCACTTACCTCTTGGTCAAAGCAGATGACACAGCCACCAAAGAACGGCAAAGATAGTTCGAAAGGTGCCGATAGTGCCAAGTCGAGCGAAGACGCTGCAACAGCACAGTTATCAAGACGAGGGGCTTGCCTAGCATTTGATCAGTTGTCGTCCAAGTTTGGATCCCAGCTCCTTCAAGTGATCCCGAAGATGTGGATTTCCATGGCCGGAGGTCTGCTGAGCGCATGCACAACAGGTGCGAAATTATTTCGGAGCCTCTGATTTTCCTGACCCCTGCTCAGCGTTACCACACGAAGCTGACGCTCTCATGGACAAACAATATGGACAAGATGTAATTGACTCGCTCAGTGTCCTCGAAGCCGTTGTGCCTTCCTTTCACCCTGATCTTTGGCCCAAGCTTGCAGAATTGTTTCCCGCTATCGCCATGGCGCTGCGTAGCCGATATGCTATTATTCGGCAGGCAGCTGCACGCTGTTTCGCTACCATCTGTAGTGTGATGACTTCCGACGCTATGCTGTTCGCAATCGAGAAGATCATCCCATTACTAGGAGACGCTATCGTGCTGTCAAACCGTCAGGGTGCGGCAGAAGCGATCTATCGTACGTGTTCAACTGTTTTTAATGTCCTGTTCTTCACACTTCGCTCAGATATCGTCCAGCACCTCGACATCAAAGCACTTCCCTATGTCATCTTTCTTATCGTCCCTGTTCTGGGGCGCATGAGCGATCCCGATGACGACATTCGCTCTGCGACTA